ACCTGATGGGCGTCGCGTTGCGACATTTTGTGAACAGCTCCAACCAATCCCTCACTTCTCACAACAAGGCACGACCTTAGGCACACCTGGCGACGAGAACACAACGCAGGCCAAGACTTTGAAATCCAACAAGCGGATAAATTTGGACCGAACACATGCTCGATTACTGAGAAATCAAGGTCCCCGAATTTGCACTGTACAGAAGCTTTCAGAAACTCCGAAACTCAATAAATTTCCCGTACAGACTACTCGATTGGAACCTTCACAACTCCAAAGGCGATGCAGCCTGCATTAACGCTCTCGCTCTCGCGAATCGGAATCCAATGCAAAATCAAGGTCTCATCAGATTGCAGATTGCTTATTTTAGGACGAGAAATGGAGTGGGCTCCAAACCGAAGAAACCACCACGGCCGGGCTCAAAAGCCTAAAATTCAAAGCATGGCCCCGAGATACCAAACCCGATGGTTCACAATATCTTTAGGGCGGGAGGTCACGTGGAAAGGCGTCACTAGAGATGCTCTCGGCTCTTGGCCCTCACCTCGTCAGTCGCCATTGGAATGCCGATGGATTCACGTGCAGTTTATCTCCCCAGCCAAACTGAGCTTTGCATCCCCCAATCAGGCCCTTCTGCCAAAGCAGTCTATTCTTCCGCCGGAACTTTGGTGCTAACTCACTTGCTCCAAAGGTCCTCCGCTAAAGTGGAGGGAGGCCCTCGTTGACCTCGGCTCTACTTATAGAATGGAATTGGACCCATGCGGCGGCCATACAGGACGGACGGTGGAGATCGGAGGCGATCGATGCTCTTGTTAGAAATCCGACCGCAGCTACCACTGCCGGAGCTATGGGCTCTACATTTGGCCCCGGCTCCAGAGGGTGGCCTCGGATGGCGGTTACCCCGCATGTGAGGGGATGATTTCTCGGACTGATGGCCTCCAGATTTGGAGACAGTCCTGACGCATGATCTCCCTTCTTACCTTCCTTCCTTCCTTCCTTCCTGACGCCGCAAAGTTTCGGTCGTGGGATCTCGCGGCTGCGGACCCATTCCCGGTCAGGACCGTCCCATACCAGCGACTCATGGTCCCATGTGCACTGCCACTGTACGATTCGGTACAGTCCGTTAGAAGAGCATGCTCGGTCACGACAGAACTTGTTCACCTCAGGCTGGAAATTGTTTTCTGCTATTTCATCATAATATGTGAATGTATTTGGAACTAGCTAACATCCCTGCTTGGAAAGACAGACGTGCTTGCGACTTTCCTTCACAATCAGCCTCAAAATGAAATAAAATAGAATAAAAATAGATAAACTTAAAATTTTCTGCAGATAAATGATTTGGGTATTTTTGAATAAGATATTTTTCTAGATTATACCACGTGATCGTCTTTGCAAATACCAATCTAATACACGATGGTAAGAACGTCAAACTTGGGTATTGCGAACTGAATATAAAGGACCACAAAGGGTGGGAGTCAAGGATAGCAAGAAAAAGAGGGGAAGACCCCAAAATTCAAATCGCTTTTCACATTGTGAATGCTTACGATCGCAAGGAACAAAGGGCTAGAATCGAAGAATGCATGTGGGGAAAGAAACGAGGGGCAGAGAGAATAGAAGCGAGAGAATGACGAGTGCATGACTCAAACAATTCCGACGTCTACCGACGAAGGCGTGGACTAAGTTTCATCCTCGTACGGCTGGATGCGAAGACCCCATCGAGCCGTACAGGGATAAAACCAGTGGGTGAGAAAGAACGCCTTACAATAGAGACTCTTGTACCGAGAGAAACATGACCGTATGAGAACAAGTGGAGAGATCGATGTGATGCTTGCTGTCGTAGCGAAGGATCTGATCAGGGACAGACCGATGCATGTAGTCAGTGAAAGGGGCTATGGCGGCGGATTCTCCGAAGCGGGGAAGTGCCCCGTCCTGGAGGGCGGACGAAGGCATCGGGCGTTCGGAATAGAATAGAACACAACAGAACACAACCCATCCCCGAACACTGAACCTCCACATTTGGCGACAGTGGTCAGTATGGCCTCGTACCTGACCTGGTCGTCACCGACTGACATTTGACGAGCGTCGGTGCTTAGGACAGCCTTATGCCATGTGGGCGAGAGAGAGGCTCAGCTCCACATTTGGAGACATTCCTCGTGCTCCAGAGCCCGATTCGAATCTCGCCCCTCGTCATTCGCTAATTTGGTGTGGATTCTCGTGGCGGGCCAAGTGCTGCCGTATTTTCCTGCATCTGCAATGTCTCGAACTCCAATCTGCACATTCGGATGTTGATATACAGCAAAGGTCTCTGAGTTTGGCTGACTCATATCAGGATGTTCACCTACTGTAGCGTGCTGGATTTTGAGAATTGTGTAGTTTTCTAACTATGATTTTTACGGAGGATAAGATATCTCCTAACTTTCATTTGTATAATTATGCATCCCACTTGATTTAACACAATTGTTTTGTACGATGCCAATAAATCGTTGATAGCAAGAAATTGGCACAATGGGAAAGGTGAATGTACGTGAAAGATAAAAAAAGAGTCCCAGTTGTAATACTCCACTAACCCTACATCTATGAGCACGGAGATACTCGATGTATGTTTAGAATGAGTCAATAATATAGCCCAATCTGTAGAATTACCCCCATCAAATGTCACGAAGATAAACCAAAGGTCACATATGACAGTAGATATCCAATGGTATCACAATCCACTTATGAAATTGAAGCTTTATTTAATGGAAAATATTTTTGTCCTATTCATTGATAAATAGTCTGCATTAAAATATAAAATATCCTTAAAATATGAGAACAAATAGTGAAATAAGTGAAATAAATCTTAGGTAAAGCTTGTAACCGGAACGGAAGCATGAGAATTTCAATCTAGATTTAGGTTTGCCCGGTCTTAATCAAATGTAAGTCGAGATGTCCCCACGTGAGGTATACAACTTCACAGACCGAGATGATAGATGGGCTTTGAGCGCAGCCGGATGTAGCTAACTAGTCCAATCTCCATGTCTTCCAAAGGAGGAAGGACGGGATTCTGAACGTCTATCACAACCAGGTCAGCCATGAAGGGCAGGGGGAAGCCAAGAGCTACGACCAAAGTCGCTGCACGACTGCGGCCGTGCGGCTTTAGGCTCCGGGCTCAGAACGACGTGAAGATTTGACTGCATCCGGCTACTGCTGGGAGGAAGGCGAACCCCGAAGTCAGGTGCGATGATGTCGGCCTGGTCCTCCGTCGAAGGTACGAGAACGATTTGACGAAGAATGTCAGAATAGTCAGGCTGAGGATTTTTTTCCCTGCGAGAGCTGATTCGGGAGGCATGGTGGATTAGGACCTTTAGCTGGCCGGCCAAATTAAGGTTGCACAGCCGAGCAGAGCAGCGACTAAGTGAAAAGTCTTGCTATCACGTGAAGTTAGCAGCTGAGGCTATGGATTGCGCGAATTAGACCGGGTAAATGCGGAGGCTGTCCAGTGAAGAAGGAATCTCAAGCTTCAGCACCTCGTGGAGGGCGAGCGGGCTGTGCATGCAGAGGACAGTGGCGCGAATCGCAGCTAAAAAGGCGAAGTTTACTTGCGCTCAGTTACTGTCCTGTACTCTTGCGGGATACAGGCCAGCAGCTGCACATCGGGGATGCACATGATTCGTATGGATGGCCATATTGCATCTGATCATAGCCATGAAGCCACCAATGGTCGCCTGTCCCTCTTCCTGGATCACGTGGCCGATCGTGGTAGGAGATAAGCTGGGGCAAATCGACCGACTTGCCTCGCCCGCCTCGGCTTCGAGGGACGGGCGCGAGCCGGTGACGGTGGGCAGTGGATTTGCTTTATCTTGAGTTTACCGCTGGATGGATGGCTGGCTGGACGGATGGACGGATGGACGGATGGATGGAGGGCCGGATGGCCGGGGGACGGCGAAGGGTGCGTCACTGCGTCCGTCATGAATCTCGCGTCTAGTGGAGGACCGTATAACAAGAAGTTGGGTGACGCTATTCTCGCCGCCGCTTCTGCTCCGACGAGGGGGAAGATCTTTTCCGAAAGCGCGGAGCAGTGGCTCGTTGGGAGTTAAGGCAATGGCCCTGGCCACTGGTCACTTGACCGCCATCGCTCTCGTGGTTTGAGGACACACGAGTTCGACCACGGGTTAGGTTCGCCGTCGAACTTTTACGTCCCTGTCTAAATACGTCCTCCGTTTCCTCCGTGCTGTGGTGATTCAGAAGTTCACCACTGGTCAACTTCTGACCATGCCAACTGTTTGGGGTGCAGTTTTGTCCGACTTCGTCGAGAGGAACTGGGATATGGATGTAATAACGAGCGACCAAATTACTCTCCTCCCGTAACGCGAAATAACGCGCGAGATGACGAGGGGTGCAGTGATTATGTAGTGAGGAAATGACCGATTAATTAGTTCACACCTATTATCGAGTTCTAATCTCGCTGACCGAGGTTTGATGATGGCGTCTTAGATCATGCTTTGCATTATCTGGAATCCAGCACCATGAGAAGTACAAGGAGCCTTCCTCGAGCTCGATTTCACAATCGAGGTGGTTTCCAGTCTGTACCAACCTTTTTAAATCTTGTCAAATGGTGATCATGAAATTTCTCTCCTCTGCAAGACCGTCTCGGTGTCCAAAGACAAACTGAGGGCAATTTTCCCAAGGACTTCAACGTGCAAACAAGCAGCCAACATCAGTAACGTGGTATATGCATCTCAAATTCTGACTCGCTCTTCAACTTTCAGCCGATGAGAGGAGAAGGATCTCTCGGAAAGGATCTTGCGAGATCAGAAGCACTGTGGGCATTGCAGACGAGACGTCGTGAGTGACTGAAAGAGAGAGGAAAAGAATGTGAAATCAGCACGCTCGAACTATGATGAAGAAATAACTCATTGATTAACACATCATGCCAATGTACTTGAAGGAATGAACCTTTCTATTCAGATGGTTAAAAAACCCCAACGTACCTCCCAGGGGGGGAAACCGCATATTTTATATGAGGGTTTTAAGTTAACACTAAAACGTGTGCATCGAGTCATAAATGCGTTGTCGCATACTGTACTGGAATTGTGTGAAATTAAAATAATACAGCATGTGAGGAGGTTCTTATCTCATCCCAAAAAAACTGAAGAAACTAACAGTGATTCGCTATCAATTCCTCTGCCAGCACGACACTGTCTGGGACTTGTCATTTCTTCATACACCATGGTCCATGGTACCACCGTCCGTCAGATGTACATTTACACAATAACGCCCTGCCTCGGTCGTCCCGGCGAGCCCTGGCAGAGAGCCCTCGGTCGTAAGATCGGCAGTATAGGCGAACATCATCATCTGGATACCCGGGCTCGAGAACTTCTCTCGCTGCTTCCCATAGATTTGCACTCTCCCTATAGCCAGGCAGAACGGCAATCGTTAGAGTGGATTTTGGAGCGAAATCAAAGTGGTTGCGTATCTATTATACAGTACAGGACTGCAGTTGGGTACGCCTAGAGGCTCGAGTACTGTTTGTGAATGTTCTGAATTGCTTATGCATGATGTGCCGATTGAACTCCCCTTCCTGCCTGCCTGCCTGCCTGCCTACAGGAGCCGCCACCTTCACGAGCCCCTTGTACTGCACACTACCATAAACTAACGGATTCTGGTTGGTGGGAAAGCAAATGGTAGCACGCAAGACAATTTTGCCGATGGGTAGAATTTAACCATCCTTCCTGTCCTCAATCTTCCTCAATCCCGCAATGTGATCTTGCTCATAATCCATCGTTGCCTGGACCTCCTCCTCCTCCTCATCGGCAGATTTTGCAGCCTGAGGTCTTTCACTCTCACCATCCCTCAAACGGTCTAATTACGAAGCGTATGAAAAAAATCGCTCTCACCACGAGACCCCTAAAATTTCGGCCGCACGTACTTTCGTTGAAGCAGGCTCAAACTTCATCTGCGCTCGCTCTTCAGATCGCACGCTCGAATCTGGCAAGGAGTTCCAGTCTCGACGACGCGATGCCGTTCCTCGCAGGTCCGAGAGAGATCGAACGGTGGGGAATATCGCTTCTGGGAGTTGGACGGACCACGGTACGATGGTATGAAGCCGACGACCGCTGGACACAGTTGACCACCCTCCGCATCAGACTCTAACACGTGATAATGAATTCTGTTCGAAGGTTGCGGATCGTAGTACGTCAGAATGGGCTTACTGCGTAAGTACGAAGAAGATTTGCATGAGATATGAAGTACGTGGTACTTTCCGTAGTAGAAGCAGAAGCAGAAGAAGAAGAAGGAAGAAAAAGAACGATCATCAGATGCTGCCCACAAAAATTCCATCAGGATTACGCGAACATTACACCGCCCCGCTGTCCCTGCAATCACCGCACGGATGCATCCACACCGTCGGATCCAGGAACCGACGGCGGAGCGCAGCCATTTCGAAACATGCGATTATGAAGATAATGATGACAGGAGTCCGACGACAGCAGGGAGAGTAATCCGCGGCCCCGACGGGGAAACAAACGGACGATCCGACGGACGGAAGGACGGAGTAAAAAAGGAAAGGCGAGGGACGGACGGACGAACGGATGGATGGATAGAAGGGTAAATGATATTTAATAAATGAGGGTGGGCCAGGCGAGCGTGGAGTAGCGGACAAGACAGAGAGAGAGAAGTGGAGCTCTGTGGGCCGCGGCAGGAGACGAATTTGCAGAGCTCGACGACGCCATGCGAGATCGAAGCCCATGAGGTGGCGGGCATTGATGATGGCCATTTCCGCAGCATTCCCGTCGTGTGGCGAGCAAATTCGCCTCTCCGTTCGGCACTCGGGGTCGGGGTCGGGGTCGGGCTCGTGCAGATATGGCGTCGCAGTAGCTCTCTGACTCTGTAGTGGTGGCAAACGAGGTAGCGCGCTAACGTTCCTTTCGCGCTTCCGCCTTTTTTTTCCCCAGCAGTATTCCTCTTCTTATTCCTCCTCGTCGTCGTCCGGTTGGGGAGGGGGGGGGGGGGGGGGGGGCGGCTTGTGTGGAGGCATATGGTCGAGTTAAAGGAGGAAGGGAAGGGAAGGGAAGGGAAGGGATTAGTGATTTGAGCGGAGGAGCATGATCAGGGCGCGAGGGGCGAGTGCGCAGTGAGAGAGTGCCGCGTATGGCTATGGTGGGGCATAGGGGCTGTGATTGGGTCCGTGGGGCTTGGGCAGTGCCATCAGGGCTCTCTATCTAGATCCACTGGGCCGCCGTGCTTTGCTTGTGTCCAAACAAAGCGAGAGAAGAGTCATCGCGAGCTGGATTCCCTGCGGTACCCGGATCGGCTCCACACCTGCTGCGGCGGTGCGCTTTTCTCCGCTTCATCCTTCTGGCGACGAAATTAGAAATCCGTGCGAGGTTTTAGCCGGATCTGCTGTCGACGGCAGCAGCAGCATCAGCAGCGCTCGCCAGCGAGCTTTAGTATCGGAACGCTCGCGTTCGGATTTAGTTCTCGGCGTCTCCGAGCTATCTATCATCTCTTCTATCTATCTCCTCCCACTCGAGCCCGGCTGCTGCTGCTTTTCGAGCTTGTGATCCTCGTGCCTCCTCCGGGCAAGCAGAGAGCACAGCACAGCACGCACGCACGCAGGAGAAGAAGAAGAGCAAGCAGAAGAACACCTCACATTCACCTGGAGTCACTATCACTACTATCATTGCGATCAGATTCAACCGAGGCCTCCTGTAGGAAGGCTCCCCAGCGATTCATACACCAGCGTCGATGAATTACTTTCCTCCAGATGATCGGTAGGTTCTGCAATCTACTCTCGAACGTGTTTGGAGCTGCGTCCGGCCACGTCGTAGGTCGGCTTCGACGTCGTGGTGTAGAGCGTGAGGAATTAGATTACGGGAGTAGAAGAAGAGCGACCGTCTGGCAGGCAGCTGTGATGGATGGATTCTACACACGCCGACAGGACATAGCGCGAGTGAGCTTCATTCTCGATGATAGGCAGATTGACTGGACACCCACAGCCTTCACTGCGCCTTCCTCTTTCACCATCAGCTCGCACTGATCTGAAAGCGGCAAGTGTTCCAATGTCCCCCCAGCTCTCCGAGTAAAGCAGGTTCAGTGTCGAGCTCCTCTCGCCAAAAGTGATTGATTCACTTGCTCTGACCAGCGTGTGGTTCCCCGAGCCCGCATTGGCCCGGCCTCGAGAATTCGCAAGTCTTGACTTGCACCAGGACGTGAGACATCGTGCTGGTGTCTGCGAGATCCCACGCTTCGCCCGGCCCTTTTAGTGCAGTAATATCCACTCTCGGAATGGCTCGAGGCCGACCACAACAGGGTACGTTCGAGGCCCATTACAGGATCGGTGCTAGTGGACCTGACGGCGAGCATACTGCTCAGCTTTGTGGCTTCCACGCTAGTCGCAGCTTCTCTCTTCTTCTCCCGAACAGAGGTTCGCACGCCTTGCACGGGAGGCTCCTGTAATCTTCCAATCAGACCTTCCGTGCTTCAGCAGCAGTGGCGTGCATGGTGTCTGCACGCGAAACGAGACTACTACGTGAAACTTGTGGGAATTTATGCCATAGTCGGTAACAGCAGAACGCTCACACCTGAGCTCATAGGAGCTGTCCCAGCCGCCTCTAGTCATAGCCGTGTCGTCTTAGGTGGTCGATGCACCACCGCCAGAACAGTCCTCTTCGGGCGGTGTGTGCACTTCCTCTGGATCTGTCCGCAATCTCATCGCCGTCGACTGTCAGACATTCATTCACTCTTGGATACGGGTTCTGAAATTTGCATCTTTTTGCTTCACAGACGTGGCCACTCTTGATTCCCGCAACTCAACGCACAAGAATGCGACATGGATGTACCTTGGTCCCGAATGATGTGTGGAACGCCAGCCTCGAAGCTCTGACCGCCCACGCGTTGGTAATTCGGCGGACTTCATAGCTGATTTGTATTTCTTAGAAGGTACGTGATTTGACACTGTGTCTGTCTTCTCCCATTTGACTTCTGGAACGTCCTTTCTAGCATCTGCCTGACCACTAATAATTCGCGCAGCGAGCATTCCTTCGTTTGAGGTTTCCATCCCCTGTCCGACATTCTCTTTGAGATGTCGGCCTTCAGGATTGTGCCACACACTTTTAGCACCAGCTGTTCTATTTCCATGAGACGTCTGCGCATCACGGGCGACCAAATCAACGAGGATTCCGACAGAGGCATTTATTTATTGTAGTTTTTAGTGCTGATGGGAGCTTCGAGGCCAACTCCTGGATTGTGTTGATTAGTTTGTGTCCTAAAGTACCGGTTGATGGGGGATCAAGAATGATTAGCATTCCTGAGTGCATTTCAGTGCTGGGAAGATCGAATTGCGTGGAGCAGATTTTTCTGCGTACACCACCACAGGGCATCCGTCAAAAGTGTTGTGCCGAGGAATCGTAATGATTGGCCTTCCGTAGCGAGTACGCACTGATCGCGTCATCGTTTTTTCGCGTCCAGAATCCATCGTTATCTGAAGAGGAGGAAAATCAGGACGAGCCAAGATGATGCCCTCCACGGATTCATCGTCTGCGAAGCCTTACAATCTGCGCAAGCAAGGGGACACGCCCACAAAACCCGACGTGGGTCGAGACGCTCGAGGCTCTCTCGAAGTATTCGGCGGGGCGCCACAAACCTCAGCATTGCTGTTCTCGAGGTCAGCTGCGGAAGATGCCTTGGCAGCGGCCGGAATTCGACCCTCGCAAATTCTGAGCCCCTCGGGCTCCGGCAGGCTTCTGCCCGCGCTCGGCCCGTTAGGGTCGGACGGACAGGCGCTGCCGCTGTCGCAGTCCATGCTCAAGGAGCGCGAGAAGCAAGTTCTGGGCACAGAGCGCGGCGTGAGAACGGACTCGGGACGCGCCAGGGATCAAGTGGACAGGTGGCTGGCTACTGTCGACGAGCGCGCTCCGCCTTCCAAAGGCTCGGCCAAGGAGCCGAGCACGGATTTCTCGTTGGACGACCTGGAGCTGCCATCTTCCGGCGCTGCTGCTGGCCCAGGAGCCAGAGGCGCAGCAGCCTTGGCCTCGCCCGAATGGGCTGGGGCCAAAGGCAAAGCTGTGGTCGAGAAGGAGCCGAGCGAAGTGGCCGGAGGAGGCTTCCAGGCGCCCGAAGGTGTGTTTCCCCTGGGGGGCGACAAGGTGGTGCCCATGGTGTCGGGCCCGTCGGACTTGTCAGAGGAGGTGCAGGCCGAGCGAGCCGCGCAATGGGGAGTGCTGATGAAGAGCACGGCAGATCTGGCCTCGACCGGCCGCGCGTCCGGGTCCAAGGACGAGCGGATTTCGGCCTCCGGCATGTCCCGCAGAACTTCGGAAGGATCCGAAGGCGAGGTTCCTCGTGTCTCTAGAGATTTGAAAGATGCTCTCGCTTCTTTCCAGCAGACCTTTGTGGTCTCGGATGCCACACGCACGGACTTCCCCATTCTGTATGCCAGTGCGGGATTTTTCGCCATGACAGGTTACACTCCCAGAGAGGTCATCGGAAGAAACTGGTACGCATTCCCACCTCTTTCACCACCAGAAATTTTATTTCATTTATTTATGGTGTTTATTCCATGCAACCTGCCCGCGTCAGCGCCTGAGCTCACTTGGAACTGCGCACAAGGTTGTCTTCTTGCCAATTTCTGGCTCAAGTCACAGAGTCTGTCTTTCCTCTCATCATCTACGTCGCTTCGTTCCTGCCTCTCTTTGGACCATCTTCATGAAGACAAGCTCATGCTGCTGAAATAGTTCCGTGGGAATCTTCCAATCGCTTGGTTCATCCTCTTTTCATCACCTGCGAGGAAGAGGGAGTATTTTGTAGCCATGTGAGCTAAGTCTTGATGACGTGCCTTTCCGCGTCTGTCACAGTCGATTTCTCCAGGGACCTGATACCGACCAAAGCGACATAGAGAGAATTCGAACTGCTCTCAAGGAGGGGAAGAGTTATTGTGGAAGACTTCTGAATTACAGGAAAGACGGAACTCCTTTCTGGAACCTTCTGACAATTGCACCTATCAAGGACGACACTGGGAAAGTGCTCAAATACATTGGGTAAGCGCTTGCATTTTCCGGTTCCTTCAAGATAAAAGGAGACGTGTGAACGAGGTTCTTCCGATGAAGAGGATGACACAGTAGAAATCTGTGCTGATTTTTTTGTTGCTGATCACTGGTGTTAATGATATGAACAGAATGCAGGTCGAGGTCAGCAAATACACAGAAGGAAACAAGTCCAATGAAGTTCGGCCGAACGGAATGCCGGCTTCACTTATCAAATACGACGGTAATAGGCCGAACTTCAGCATTTTCTTTTCGCTGACATTCTTGTCGATCAAGACGTAATGCTTGAATTATGAGAGTGATTTAAATGTAAAGGTGGACAAATGTTTGACCAGATTATTCTTTGGACTTTGCACAGCGATTGAAACGTAATACGCACTCTGTCAAGCAAGAATGCCAAATTGAATGATTAGACTGCCCAGCAAATAGCTACGTGGTCAAGCAATTTTAAGAGTAATCTCGACGAGCTAAAGTGGCAATGTCAATAGCTCCAGACACCAGATTTTCAACTGGCAGTTGAATATGTTGATTAGGAGGTACTTTGTGAGAAGTGATCTAGCAGGTTTCTGGAGTACTGCGTAACGAATCGCTTGTAATTTCTGCCGTGGTTGTGCAGCTCGGCAGCAGGACAGAGCCACGAGTTCTGTTCAGGAACTGGTGGGAGCTTTGAAACATCCTCACCAATCACCGCAAGATAAGCCCTCGGAAGGAGGCATGCAATCGATGTTTTCAGTTCCTCCATTGAAAGACGAACTGCAGTTGAAGGTACCCTCACGCTTTTCAACGCAGTCGGTTGTCGCACTGCCGCTCGAGGGTAGCCAATCGGCGAAAGCAAGGGCAAAAAGTGAGTCAGTGAGTCGACTGACCGATGTCCCAGAACAACCTGGAATGGCTGATGGCGGCCTTCGAGGGGGGCAGAGCCACCGCAGATCGTCGGGGTTGTTGCAAATGCTCAGGTGTGCAGAGGTTTCCCTATTGACGCTCTCAGACTCTGGCCCAACGTATACATGTGCTTGAATTTTCGCTTTCCTGGAAGCGTCGCTCATTGTGTTGCTAACAATGAAGTCAAATAATTAAGTGTACTGGACATTTGAAAGGAACTGTGCCCTGGAAGTACTGCCCTGTATTTGTCTGATCAACTCCTCACCGTCAACACACAGGAAACCGAAATCACAACAGCCAGAAGCTGATGTCGTCGACATCGATGACTTGGACCTTGACGATGATGCCCCACAGACCATGGATGAGAGGCCAGAGAGTATTGATGACAGTGAGCGAGCCAAGGAAATTCGTAGGGGAATGGATTTGGCCACAACGTTAGAGCGAATTGAGAAGAATTTCGTGATTACAGATCCTCGATTGCCGGATAACCCCATTGTAAGTACGGAAGTTATGTACAGTAGTTTTTCCATTACTTCACTGATCATGCTCGTAGTGGTAAAAGTGTGGGTGTCATGTGCATTTCCACGTATGTGCCTTTGATGTAGGCCATTCTTCTCAGACAAGTGGGACGACTTTTGCTGTGGTGACTGAACTCATTTGTAGAACCTAAACTTTGCATATTTTTCTTGCATACCTCGACCCTTCACGCTCTACTCACTCACTTGCGCTCTTGGCAGATTTTCGCATCCGACCACTTCTTAGAGTTAACGGAGTATACTCGAGAAGAAATTATCGGAAGAAATTGTCGGTAAGTGGCGCTAACATAATCAGCGCCTGTGTGAGCCGACGTGTCCAACAAAGTTTTGGTTAGTCACAAGCGTTTGAGGCGACTCTTAATTCCTTGAATTGGGAGTTTCCGAACAGACTGTAGTGAACCAACTTGTCTGCAATTGCAGGTTTCTGCAAGGGCCCGATACGGACATGGATGTTGTTCGGAAAATTAGTGATGCTATCAAACAACAGCAAAACATCACTGTTCAACTTCTGAATTACACCAAAGGCGGTAAGTTTTATCACCTATAACCACTGGTATGATGACGCAATGCTACCTGAATGGAATGTACAATAGAAGGCATAGTGAAGCTTCCGCCTTTGGCCGCCCTCATATTCTTGATATCTCCATATACACTAGAGCAGCTTGTTACTTCTCAAGATGAAGTGAGCTGATGCGTTTAGATGCAAATCTGATATGAAATGTTTTCTTCTTCACAGGAAAACCGTTTTGGAATTTGTTTCACTTGGAAGCAATGAAGGACAACAAGGTATAGGGACGATTGCATGTGTTGTGTAAATTTTTTTTCAATCTTCAATATTCACATCCTTCTTTGATTTGCGTTATCTGATCATTTGTCGATATTCTTTTATTCCCAGGGTGAGTTGCAATATTTTATCGGAGTCCAGCTCGATGGAAGTGAGCACATCGAACCCATCAGGCGACGACTCTCCGAAAAGACTGAAGAGGAAGGCAAAAGGATTGTACGTTCCAGCATGTGTGCCAGTCTTTCGTTCTGCAATATACATTACAGACCACAACTACAATGTTTTACATCGGCAGAGTAGCATTGTGCAGTATTTTTTGTGCCGTTTTTGGAGATCTTGGGAGCAGCCATCCACTCGTACAAGCTGCCCAGGGAGGTTATATTCAATTTTTTCTCTGAAATATTGTTTCTGCCGCACGTTCTGGCTGCTACAAGACGAGTGAATTTGTACTATTTGCTGTGTAGGTGCAAGCTACAGCGAAGAATGTTGACGGAGCAGTGAGGGAGCTTCCAGATGCGAATATGGTTCGTCTTCTTCTAACCTGGACAAATATTGGAAGTCGAATAATCTTTGCAACGATCAATCAATCGTCACACTGAGGATTGACTTATTTGTTAAGTGCTCGAAGAACAGACTGTTAAAAAGGCATAGTTGCTTAACTACAAGAACAGTCGTATAATCGACGAGGGAAATCTAGGCCCTAGATTTCCCTCGTCAATTATACGACTATTCTTGATTCCCTCGTCGATTCTACTCGTCGATTATACGATTATACGATTATACAAGACCTTACCCTAGATTCTAGGGTAAGGTCTTGCGAGCTAACCTAGCTTCCGGCTACCTACTATGTACCTGGAGAAAGTAATCCTGGTACCTTAATGTCTCGCAGAGCATCGAGGATTTGTGGGCGAATCACTCTCGTGTTGTCTTTCCTAGGCCTCACAAACGTCAGAGTTCCACATGGCATGCCATGCGAAAGGTGAGCTACCAGTTCTCTGTCCGTCATCTACTTCTAGACTTTTGTTTTCTGTGTTTCTACCGCATGTTTTCTGTGTTGTTGAGCACTTATTATTTTCAAGGCCGCCTACATCACTGACTTCGATAATGCAGATACTCAGTTCTGGAGACAAATTGGGTCTCAACCACTTCAGGCCAATCAAACCTCTTGGTTGTGGAGATACCGGCAGGTACGAAATATCGAATCACGTCTTGATTCACCATCACATGATATATAGCAAACCTCCTTGTAAAATACTCTTCATATCTTGCGGAACCATAAAGGAAAACTTGTATCGTTCTGGATTTCATGTTGCTTGCCTTTCCTTTGCTGTATGTTTCTGACATATTCAAGGCCCTCTCCAGCTAATCTCTTAAAAAAATATTTCCGTTCGCAGTGTACATCTGGTGGAGCTGAGAGGGACGAGTGAGTTCTATGCCATGAAAGCCATGGATAAGAATGTTATGGTGAATCGGAATAAGGTGACCGCGTTGTCCTCTCAATTTCTTGCTCAACCTTTTTTGTTTCTCAATTTGATCATACTGTTCCTCTGCAAATCGCCCTCTTGCTCACGTGTCAGTGCTTATTTCGAACAGGTTCACCGTGCTCGGGCAGAGAGAGAAATTCTGGAGAAAATGGATCATCCGTTTTTGCCCACGTTATATGGCTCCTTCCAGGTACCAACCTGGTGCCGTCGTGTGTTTTTTTAATGTGATGCCTGGTTCTGTAACGGAGAAGGTCAAGAAGGAGCTCTTGATGTTCTCACTTTCAAATGAATTGCATACGGCGATTCTGTTTGTGTAAAGTTGAAGTAAGAGCAAATCCAAGGTCATGAGGTCAAGTGCACCTACTAATCATGTTTCCTGGTTGTTCACAGACTAGGACACATGTGTGTCTCATCACCGATTTTTGTCCTGGTGGTGAGCTGTTCTTGCTTTTGGAAAGACAACCCCAGAAGAAGTTCCGTGAGGAGTCTGCTAGGTACATCTTTGTCCCTCGCGGGCATGTCTTTCCGTGACAAGTAATTTGAACTTCTTCATCTTCAGATTTGTGGCTTGAAAAGAGAATGGAATTACTTATCTAACAATATATCTTGTTCTCTTATCCGCATCACAGCCGTTTACGCTCAGAATGTGTGGGAAATCTTATGCTTGTTTTTCGTTGCAGGTTTTATGCAGCCGAGATTGTTCTTGCCCTCGAATATCTTCACTGCATGGGTAAGCAAAAAAATATTTCAACTTAGTTTTCTGTATATTATCAATTATAAATATAGTAATAATACTTCTGACTATATCTGTTGTTCTGTATACGACAGATATAGTCAGAGCTTGGTTCTGACATGTGGTTCTGATTACTCGAGTTTACATGTGTAACAGGTGTTGTATACAGGGACCTGAAACCTGAAAACGTTCTGGTCCAAAAAGATGGGCATGTGCAGCTCACTGATTTCGACCTTTCCTTCTTGACTGCCTCTCGTCCTCAGGTTTCTCACTTTCCACACTGTTCTCTAACGTGTGATCTTTCAGCTTGTGAAATGGATCCCAGTTGAGCTTCAGTGGCCTATGCTTTCCGAAGTACACGATTCACAGTTAATCAGTTAAATTATGAATAAAATGTATTCTCATGATAATACATTGTGTCGAAACTAAAGAAGTGATTTAAAATCTATTTTTATGGCATATTCTTTTATCTTCTTCATAATATTTTGAAAGCTCCGGAGGCAGCTGTTGGATAGGAATTGGACTCTCGAATCATTCCTCAGTTTGAAGCAGTTATCTGAAGCCACTGGTTTATTTCTATAATTCGCGCAGCTGCTGAAACCAGTCGTACCATCTGGCCGAAAGAATAGACGAGCAAGGGAGAACCTACGACCAATCCTCCTTACAGAGCCAATAGCAAAGTCTAACTCCTTCGTTGGAACTGAGGAGTATATTGCGCCGGTATGTCTGTTGGAGTTTCTTCCGTGTTTCTCCTCTCTGGATTCTGCAGATATCACCATACAGTGCTTGATCTTGATCAGGTGTTTGAGCTGTCAACGTGAGTTCGATCATGGAATATTGTCTAGAATTACCTTCTAACGTTCCTTAACTACCTCAATATGCAGGAAATTATCCTTGGTTTGGGACACAACAGCTCTGTAGATTGGTGGGCTCTAGGTGAGTCGGAGTTTGTTCATTTTAAACAAGGTTCCATAAATTATAATCATCGCTTTGTCACAAATATGTACTTCCTCGATACTTACTGGTTTTTATCGCAGGTATTCTTCTGTACGAGATGTTATTTGGACGAACACCCTTTAGAGGACGCAACCGGCAAAGGACTTTCGCAAATGTTCTGCATAAAGATCTTGCCTTCCCAAGCTCCATACCTGTGAGTGACGACATTCTTTTTCCTTGTTAAGTTCATGCACCGAGGATCAAATAAAGCGAGAAGTTGGTTTTGTGTTACTAGTTCAGTCGAACTTTCTTGTGTGCGTTGGGATGCTTCTGTGAAAATGGTAGATGGTCTCTGTGAAACTGACAAACCTCGGTGGTTTCGTTGTGCTTTACCAGGTAAGCTTGGCTGCCAAACAAGTTATTCGTGGGCTGCTACAGAGAGATCCCAAGAAGAGGTTGGGGTCAGACAAGGGAGCCCACGACTTAAAACAACATCAATTCTTCCGGGGCATCAATTGGCCTCTCATCCGCTGCATGGTATGTCGGTTTCATATTATCCCACAGTTCCCTACTTTTTGAATGTGGTCATGGAATCGTTTCTTAGCTGCATCTTATGGGTTTATTTTTGAACAGCGAGATCGAAGTTTCTGTTGAGGCTTAATTTGTGTATTGTGTTCCGTATGTCTTGTGCAGACTCCTCCACCGCTAGAAACACCAATCTACCAAATCGGCAAAGAAGCGGACTCCAAAGACCTGGACTGGGAGGAGTTGGATCCCAGTGCCGCCTCATTTGATGAATATTAAGTTGTATTCCGGGTAGATTATGCTAATTCAACCGATTTGTGGGAGATCCAGTAAATATAATACAGGTTCTCCCCAGTAAGTGAGAAACGAGTGAGTCACGTTCGGAAATCTCTTGGAAGCGTTCCAGGGGAATAGTGGCTCACTTGTTCTTCAGAACAGAACACAGCAGCACGTCATCATCTGCCGCAAGCTCCCTAATCCTCACAGGTGGATGAGGCTGCAGCAAATCTGCAACGTCGATGTGGAGAGGAAAACATGCAACAAGGATACGATGGCCGTGTCCGTGAGCTCTCATCAACACGCGCACTTCTTGGATCTCGGCGGAAGATGTAGGAGATTCGAGTCAGGAATTTCCTGTCAAGTATGTGAGATCGGCCTCATGTGGCTTCGTTTGTACAGTGTGTGTCATCCAATCAACCTGTTACATATTTGTTTTTAGATGCCAGATCCCCTAGAGTTTCGCCAACTCCTTTGTACCCCAACATCCGGAACTTCGGTTTCTGGGTCGGTATGAGGAAGTTGGTTACAATTTCTTTCGTAATTGTAAAACGTTTTTGCAGCAGCAATAGCTATCGTGAATATTGTGAGACATGAGGCCGTAGTTGGATGTAGGATACTAGACAAGAGAGCATTAGAATAGTGTGTTTAATACTTGGATTCCCTCCACAATGCTTGATTGTGAGCCCTTGCATCAAAGAGCTCTCCGTTATTTCAATCATGAGTTGCTTGCACAGGCACAGCATGCCCAGTTTCTGCCTGCACCCCTGACGAGATCGGGTTGTGGCCTTAACCATGAAGTTAACATCACTCACTACTTTAGGATTATATAGAGATACATTCAGTGAAATTTGTAGGATATGCCTGGAGTGAGGACCTCTGGGAGGAGGCAGTTAGGTCTTCTTCTTGAATGGAACATGTTCTCTCCCTGGCAGACTTAGTTTAGAGGGCAGTTTCACTACCTGTAAACTCTTGCACTGCAATAAATTATCGAGTTCTTAGGAGGATGTCAAATTCAAGCCCGTCTTCGTATCTGTGATATGTATACCGATTCGCATTTTCAGCTCTTTGTCCTCGTGCAGACGATTCTCTCTGGATCTATCTGTGTCTTCATACTAATAGGCCTGCCTTTTGCTTCCGGTATTAAATATCTACCTTCTTTTGCTCCTACTCCGATCTCTTCTGCTAAGGAACGAGTAGAATTATTCCATTGTGGTTTGTGTTGGATGGAGCAGAGACTCTATATACAAGGACAGTGTAATGAAATCTATCGTCTTTGTTTAAAGGTCTTCACATAATGTCTTCATTTCATTTTCCTGTGGCTCTTTCAACACTTTTCAAAGCACAATGTGACCAGATGTTCATCATGTGTGTTTTATTCTATATATTCAAGCTCTGAATGTTTTTATCTTCAAGAAATTAAGAGATTGTCCGTCCCCTGGATGGGGAGATTGCCATGTTAACAAAAATGTAGGAAAATCTTTGTAAGCAGCTTGAAACCCTACGTAGTACCCGAGTTGGTCAAATATTATGATGGTTATGATGCATTATTTTTTCTCATCTGAAGGTAGTACTGTGACTGTATTGATCCAAAATAAATCGAACATGAATCTCCCAAATGAATCTAGAGGGAGTCCTAAACTTGTTCACATTTTGTTGAACAGTCTTGGCTAAATCGTGTTAACACAAATAAGAAGCGTTTCCTGGTTAGTCACAAGAGAAGTATTCTGAACTTTAGAGATTGGATAATGATTCAAATGTCAATGTTTCAAGTTTAATTACCTGATTTGTAAGATTTTACTTAATCAAATCTCATGCTTTAATCATACCTGGAAAAACCTTGTACATTTACGGGTTTGGTTTTACATTCCAAAGTCCATTTACAGTCCAAAGCTTGATAGGAATGTTTTATTTATGAAATATATCGTATAAGGATATTCATACTACGTTTGGTGACGTATTTATGTCCAAAGTTCCAATTTAAAATGTCTTTTAGAATAATCGATTGAAAATCTATGTCTCTACTTTCATAAACAGAAAATATTTCTAATTTAATTTCTAATTCTCCACTCTTCTGGGAAAAAAATCCTGAAGTGGGGTAAAGACAAAATAAAGAATACTATTTATATCCTAAATATTGTGAACCTAAATACAAATCTGTGCACTAGGCGAAACCGCAGAAGTTTAAAGTTTCGAAATAAACACAAATCTGCAGCCTACATACATTACGTAAGGAAATTGAGTTGTGTATTAAAGAGAATGGTCTGATGTTAGAAAAAACAAAGGTCAAAAGAAGTAAATGCTTAGATTCGCACCATCCACGCTACTCAATAAAACGAACAATAAACGATAAAAATTAAAGTACAAAGCAAAATGACAGTGCATAATAATAAAACACGAGCATCTTCATAAATTATATTTTAAACCCAATGAGTGTATTTTGACATGATACGAATGACATGGAGTACTCGAATTTCGATGGTGGTGGAAATCGGTTGCTAACATATCAAGATGAATAACGTACGTTACCCAGTATCTTCAGCAAGTACCACGACTTTATGACGCTTGGACTCATTGTTATATGAATCACGAAAAACTCAACTTTTCATCACAAACGCGCCATGGGAAATGTTCATTTACAAAAAGCAATCCCAATTTCCACGACGACTTTTTGCAACTGTATTGCATTTATGAATATTATCTCATATGGGGTTATCAAGTTAGATGTAACAAGTAGACTATATGACTCACTATACATTAGGAGTTTTGAGTATAATTAATCATGATACAATTAAGTACGTGTTTGTTATGACATGAATCTATTGATACTTCAAAGTTATAAAGAGTTGCTACACCTCGCAATTCAGCCAAATTTATAAATAAGTTATATATAAATTTGGCTGAATAAAGTTGGCTGAATGCAACTATAGTTATATAATATAATCTATAGTTGCATATGTATAACCAGGTTGCTGCAATGGCTAGGATTATACACAGTGTATAGAGTTGCTATACCTTGCAAGTAATCCATATCAGGTATAACCTATAGTTAAATATATACAACTAGAATGTTGCACTGGCTAGGATTTTACATGTGACACAAATTTGGAACAAAGGTTTTGAACCATACTCATAGACCAGAAATGAAACTATTAGAGCCATGGTCTTCAAATGTGAAGTTACGGGAAGAAGTCAATCTTTGGTTTGTCCGACATTTGACTCATATGAAGGTATAAAGTACTAACTTATCATTTATTTATAATTTTATTTAACTTTATTTTCATCCAATATAGTCTGAACAAATGATTTTGAACTTTGTGTGAATCAGTTTTTTCTCTTTAGATAGACTAATTATCTATGTTTGAGTTATTATTATTTTTTAAAATCCAACATAAAATGATGCATGGCTTGTTACTTAAAATTCAACAATATTTGTTATGTAAGTTAGTTGTGCAATTAGAAAATTTTTAAAAATATGTTTCAACATATCATTAAATGATTTTGCTCTTTTTTTGGCAAATCATCACAAATTTGAAAACATAGCTTTGATCAATATTCTAGTCTAATATTAAAACTATATTCATTAATTTTCTTATTTTATTCAAAAAATAAATTTACGTTTATATTTTACTTGTCAAATTTAAAACATCATGAAACAAAGAGTGGCTCAGTTCATCATATTTATAAGCATGTAATAGTTAAATCAATTGCTTCTTTGATACTATCATTTGATATTGAAATCTTTGTAAAAAAACATCAACTTTTTGAACTTTAAAGAAACAAGAAACTGTACATATTAGTTCACATTGTACGACCAATCAAATTATAAAGTGGCATTTTGACTTTTAACGAAGTACAATGACATGAGTTCGTAACTTAGATAGGTATGACGAATCTAAATGCAATTTTAGTTCCTAAACTAAAATTTATGAAACCGATTAATGAATTTTTAACAAAAATATTTAATTAGTTTTTGAAAAAACATATTGTATTTCTTAGAAATTTTTCGAAATTTAATTTAAATAACTTATTTGAACTTTAAATAAATATAATTTCATACGTATATAGGTGTTGACGTGTTGAAGACGTCAAAACCTCCAAGTGTTTAATTAAGAATATTACATTCCAAAATGCACATCGTTAAGTGCCATAAAAATATTTTAATAACACTTGGGTTAAATAATTCACATCTGTGAAATATATATATCTATGAGATTTTATAAAAATTATGTCCAAAGATAATTACTATAGTTTATCATATTTTGACCATATGTTTATTAGGTTAGAGCATCATGTCATTCTCTATTCATGTGATAAGTGAGATCGTGTAATCTCTCTGCATAGTTATTTCTCCTTCACAACCTCATCATTTAATATCAAAAAAATTCCGTAAAAAATTAAAATATATAATTTAAAGTATATATTTAATACAAAATATAAACTTGGGATTTGATCAATACCAAGACATCTGAAGGGTGAACCAGTCTTTAACTTTTGTAAAGTCAGTACTATATCTACAGTCATCTTGATCTATAATATCAACATTATGTTAAAGGCTGAGGATATGATTGATGCCAACATCTTTTACTACAATTAATCTTAAAAAATAAAAAGTATACGTATCATAGTTAATTATGAGACAAGAGCATACATGAATATGGTTGTTTTAAGTATACCTATCATAATTAACTATGATAGGTATACTTTTTATTTTCTCAGATTAATTATAGTAATACGATATACATTGAACAAATGTTTAAGAAAACAAATCCAAATTCAGCGATTCGGTTGGAACTTTATCGACTCATTCTCAGAAACTGCTAATTCTTTCAAAGGATCTAGTGTCTGGCCCTTGGCTGAACTGTTCCTGAAGAATGATCAGTATTACTTCACTCTATCTACTGGATACGACAGTCAGGACATGGGAGTCCAAGTTCACATATCCGAAGACCAAACTAGTCCAGACATAGCATTCAACACTCGCTTTCTCGTCGAAAACAATTTCCATTATCTACAAAGAAGAGAACCATATCTCGTGGCTTTGGTGCACGATATCAACTAATTTGAATATTTGGCTGGGGAAATACCGCTTATCGAAAGAACGAAACACGCCCCCTACGAAGGCGAGCGCGGGCCGTCGTGGGCAGGAATAGTACGGAGGTGGAAGCGGACGTGGCAACAAGGTACGATGAGGTGGCCGACACGCGGGCCAGGGCAGGCAAATACTTCACGGTGACATGAAGACCAGCGAAGTGCAGGCGACGAGGGAAGGGAAGGGAAGGGAAGGGAAGCGAAGGGAAGGGAAGGCGAGGGAAGGGGAAGGGGAAGGCAAACGAAGCGAATGAAGCAATCGACGCGTAGATAGAAGAGCAGGAGGAGGAGCGAGGGAGGACGAGCGCGAGGGCGAGAGCCGAGGACGTCCTGCGATCGGCCGAGATGGTGCTCGTCGGAGCTGTGCGCGACTACGTCAACCGAATGCTGCACGATCTGAATGGGATGAAAGTCTTGTTACTCGATACTCACACGGTACGAGCCCGCTTCGCCTCTTGTAGCTTTCCTCGTCCGATCTGTTCAATTTTGGATCGGGCTCGCAGAGAATGATGTCAATTTCGAGACAGGAAGTCTTTTTCGCCTGCGGAATGCATTTTCTTGAGTGTCACGGCTCCTAGAGCTCGTTTTCGGCTTGTCGCTGCTTTTCGATCTGTGAGCAGTTATGGTCTTTGCTGCCTGCTCTAACCTAGGTTGATACTTGATTGTAGTGTACACTCTCCGTGGGAAGTATTAGTAGCTCCCAAGATTACAATTAGAAAGTGAGTGTTTGTGTGCTTTCGAAGGCGCAACAATTTGAATGTCCCGCATTAATTTTCACATGAATCAGGAATTTTAATTTAATATAATTTTTGTTTTTTGTTTTTGATTTTAGGAGCTTGTGGCTATCTTCTCAGCTTACAGTTAATTGTCTTATGGCAGGTTGGTATAATGAGTGTTGCTTTGAGCCAGTCAGAGCTTCTTCAGAGAGAAGTCTTTCTGGTGGAGAAAGTGGATGCACCAGCTAAAGAAGTAATGACGCACCTCAAGGCAGTGGCTTTTTTGCGGCCCACTGGGGAAAATATCAATCACCTCAAACGTCATTTGACTAGCCCACGATTTGGCGAGTTCCATTTATGTATGTGGACATTTTCCCCATGGGTAGGGATGAAACTCAAAACTATTTTTTCCTCGATTTAAAGAAGAAACGGGCCCAGAATTGGAAGAAGCTGCAAATACTACCTAGCTCATCAGAACACAGCCAGTTTCTGTCTCTCGCGACCAGCCTGTATTGAAACTGAGCTATGATATATAGTGCAGGTCCGCCGGTGTCTCCTGGATCATCGTTGTCTTCACTGCTGTTGTCTGAGTTTATCAATCCCCTCCCCCCTTGGAGGATGTCTACTAGCCGTCTAGTGTAGGGAATTGTGACCGCAGCAAGACAAAAGTACTGGACTGTCTTACCCCGTCATCTCGAAGCTTGGGCTTAGAAGATAAAACATCGTCTCGAAGTCTTATTTCTTATTCAGAAAATTATCCCTATCCTTCTGTTTTACATGTCAGCATGAAACCAAGCAGATGAATAAGCCACCGTGTAGAACTGAAATATAATTACAACAACAATGGCAAGCTTAAATTGAATTAAGTCGAGCTTGAGTGTATATAATTAGCGGACTTTGGGCCAAAATGCTGTACTGTCTTCTGGTTAGTGTCTTTCCGCCGTAATTTGCAATCCTTGTTGTTTTCAAATCCTATGAGGTCACTTCCTTTGGTCGCTGCCAATGTCGTAGACCTTCACGGGTGCATGCGAAAGATTCGTTTTCAGTATGAAGTGGAATCAGCCTTGAGTTCTTGACTTGCTCATGTACTTTACCCTATTTGACGCAGTTTTCTCCAACTTCCTGAAGCCATCCCACATTCAAATTCTGGCAGACTCAGATGCACACGAGGTGGTGCAGCAAGTGCAGGTATGCTTTGTCCATAATGTTCCACCATCGTTTTTTCAGATACGTGATTACAACTTGATCAATTTAGTACACAGAGGCCAAATTTAGGGTCTTTTTGATAAGTACATAGAGTTTCATTCACCCGTTCTTACATGATTGAAGGAAGACGTGGCTTTGATACGTGGGTTTGGCAGGAATTTTTCGCGGACTACTTTGCTATAGACCCATACCACTTTACCCTCAATCTGCCCTCCAACTACCTGTGCATGCTGCCAACCGTACTGGACCCTCAAAACAGTCAACTGGCCTGTGACCGAATTGTTGAAGGGATAGCTGCCGTATTTTTATCAATGAAAAGACGACCTGCCATTCGATACCAGCGGAGTTCTGAAATCTCCAAACGAGTTGCTCAAGATGCAGCGGTAGGCGCTATCAATTATCAGTCCATCTTTCTGGATTATGATTTGGACTACCTTGACCTTCCTAAGGCTTGAGGACGAAATGTTGTCTGGGTCCAAGCTCGTGCGTCAGCTTAGTAGTAACCAGGTTCTGTGTGATGTAAATCAGTTGTGCATATGAAGTAGATCACGCATCTAACAACTTGAACGACAATGTAATGGTTTGATGAGGAAAGAACAGTCGAGAATCACTTCATCGAAGTTCGCTTTATTTGTCGACCGTGCTGCGAAGTCTGACTCTTTGTGAGTTGTGGATGTAGAAATTGATGTATGAACAAGAAAATGCTCTATTCGATTTCAGGCGTTCGGAAGTTGCGCCTTTGTTGCTGGTTATCGATAGGAGAGATGACCCAGTCACGCCATTATTGAATCAGTGGACCTACCAGGTACGGTCATTTTTACAGTTCCCGAGAAGTTAATGATGGAACTCACCTAAGACATCTACATTTTAAATTATCTCTCTTTATTCATGAATTTAAAACCTGTGCTTACATAATTTCTGGCACGCATATTTTAGGCGATGGTGCACGAGCTACTTGGGATTCAGGACAATCGAGTGGATTTGAAGAACTTGCCGAAAGTTCCGAAGGACTTGCAGGTTTGTTATTTTCAAAAGAGTATAATCTTTCCAGCTTGCTCCAGTTCCAAGGATGCCTGTTTTTCCACCCTCATCCGTAAGCCACAATAGCAGTAAGTGCAGCAGTCTTCGAGGTTGGATTCGTCAAAGAGATCTGGTTTGGGTTTCTGTATGATGTTCAGGTAACTATATGATGGTGAGTTCAGTTGTTTTTAGAACTACATATGCAGAGTACAAACTTTGATGATGTCTATTAAGGGACAACGTTTACTTGATGTGTTTGCTACAGGAGGTGGTTTTGTCGTCAGAGCAAGATTCGTTTTTCAAAAGCAACATGTATGAGAACTTTGGTGATCTCGGAGCTAACATAAAAAAGATGGTAGATGAATTCCAGTCGAGGGCTAAGAGCAATCAAAACATACAAACCCTCGGTATGATTCTCCTCTTAACTAGGGAGATATGAAAGCCACCAAATTTCAGCGTTATTCAGACTCTGCGATTGCGATATGTGCAGTTTGGTAGATAGTGAAATTGTCATTGTTTGACGTGTCGCGATGTGGAATTTTGTAAGCTACCTGATCGCATCTGCGCTGTACATGGTTTCGTGCAGAGGACATGGTGAAGTTTGTCGAGAATTACCCAGAATATAGGAAGCAACAAGGCAACGTTTCCAAGCATGTGACTCTGATGACAGAGATGAGCCGGATAGTTGATGAACGGCAGTTAATGTCTGTGTCACAAACAGAGCAAGAACTGGCTTGCACTGCTGGACAGCCAGTAGCATTTGAGGTGATCACTGATCCTTGTCGTCTGCCTAATTAGAAACGGGTCTACAGATACAGTCTTTTATACAGAAATAAATGAGATGTTGTGTTTCCGCAGTGGGACATCATTTCCATATAGACTTGACAGTCTATCTTTTAGTTTTCTTTCCGTATCTTCTCTCCTCTTTAGAGATCTTGTTAGATGTGGATTATTTTATCTGAAAGACAGTGAATTGGGCTGAAGGCTGTTGTGCAGCATTTGAATAACGATCGCGTTACAGAGATAGATCGACTACGACTGGTCATGCTCTACGCCCTGCGGTACGAGAAAGAGAGTCCACAGTCTGTAGAGCAGTTGGTGTCCAGATTCGGAGCAAGGTCTAATAGGTGGAAGCCAGGGGTAAGCGTGCACTGCGAAGAGTTCATATGATCTTGTTGATTTCCGTAATATTGAACGTGACATCCATATTCAAAAATTTTGAATAGTAATTTCTTTTAGTCGATATAACGATGAAGACCATATTGACACTGGTGCTACCATTGGTACTTCCTATTGTTAGTTATCGACTTTTTTTTTACTAAATATTTTATGGATTTGAATTCTGCACCATACGCTTTGATTCCAATCAACACTTAAAAATTGGAACAATCAACCAAGGAAATGAAGTCTAAACGTTTTAGAGGGATAGATCACGAGTATAAATATGTATCTATCTTTTTTGCACATTGCAAATTCTATAACAAACATGATTATGAGGTCTTATCCATAGATAAGGCATTCCTTCGATAGTTAGTCTTCTTGCAGAAGTGTGTCTTTCGTATCTAACTAATGAAAATATGTGCTGTGTGTGTGATAGCTAGTGCAAACTTTATTGAAACAATGCGGTGTGGAGAAACGAACAGGAGATCTTTACGGCAACAGAGATCTTTTCAACAGAGCTCGTAATATGGCTCGAGGTCTCAAAGTATGGACATCGTCTTTCCATTTCCCGGAAGTCGCCTTCTTTTCTTTGTTTATTCATCACCAATCATGTTTATATACGAATTAATGACGGACGTGTAGACTCATCTTCTCATTTTGTTCTAAGTCCGCTGTCGGAGTGTCATCTTAATGAATGAGCAGTATGTTTTAGAACAAACGTACTCCTTTGAAGTAAAGAACGTGCAATCGTGCAAGTCTGGACCATGGGAGAGAACCACGAGTAAAAGCAAAGCAGTTCACATGAGAAGACCTTTATCTTCTTATGGTTGAAGTCGGGAAAAGTCATATTATAACCCTCATTTACATGCTGTTGTGGAGCAGGGCGTGGAGAATGTTTACACGCAACATCAGCCACTAATCGCACAGACCATTGAGAACATTGTGAGGGGCCGATTACGTGACGTTGATTACCCCTTTGTGGGGAATCATTACCAGCAGGGGAGGTGAATATTTTTTATTTGAGATGATTGTCACCTTTTTGGAAAATCTATGGTGTTGTCAACCTACAACTCGTTCAAATTCAACTATGTCATATACCGTAAACTTCTGATGTGGTCAATTTACTGGCTAACAATGGCAGATAAGAGTGTGCATTTTAAATGTGGTGGCAGATCGTTGCAATATTCAGTTTTGAAGTAGACAATTCAAGTTGATGGTTGTTGAAATGTGGGTGAATTGTTATTTATACACATGGAGTCTGATACAGGCCTCAAGATGTGGTTATCTTCATTGTTGGTGGAACAACATATGAAGAAGCTCGCATGGTTTCGATGCAAAATGCAGCACAGAATGGTACTCGTGTTCTTCTGGGTGGTTCAGTGGTCCTTAATTCTTCGAGGTATGTCGCGGTTTGGTTTGAGCTCTTCATTTTCCTTGGTCACAGTTATGTGTTAAGGTCAGTTGAGTGACGAAGTTCAAGAACTTTTGTGGAGGTTGGATGTTTGACTTCAAATCTGATAGTGCACCAATCTGCGGAACTGCAGTTTCATATGTGATTTGGAAGAGATACACCGAATGAAGCGAGTCGAGCGGAGTAGTATCTTGCGGTGAAGGAGGAAGAACCTCTTGTTCCCCTTGGCCTTGCAGGGCCAGAAAATAAATTACTTCTGTCTGGTTAGGTAGAGTTGAGTGAGGTAAAGATTGTAAAGATAAGGTATGGTAAAAAGTTTCTAAATTTAGAGATAAATCATTTTTTCAAGGTTAGCAAATACTAGGAAGCCTCCAGAGGACAGAGGTAAAAGTGTATAAGGGCCGAGGTTCGCCAGGTATGTCTTTCGCCTATTTGTAACAAAAAGAAAGTTGCAACTTCGCAAATGTTTCAAACGACACACCAAGGAATTCCAGAGCGTAGGTGTGAGCACTAATCACCTAGTTCAAGATAACTTGTACTTATAGCAGCACGTAAGGGCATCAGACGGATGGATAGAAATATTGAATTCATCTCATTGGGTCTTCAACAGTAGAACATGCGATTGAGCAAGGAGAAGTTGATCAAACCGTTAGAGCAGTTCCATCATTATCTTTGGAAGAGCTTGCAATATGACCATCATTTTGTGAACAGTTTGCGTGTTTTTAGTTTTCAAGTTCTACACCTGCATTGTATATTTCGTCATTTCAAGCCAATTCATCATCTTTACATTTGGTGATTCATGAACTTTGACGTCCTTGTTAGGATGAATCCGTCCTTGTTTCAACAAAAGAGTCACTCAACACCGTTAAAGCGTTTGTGCTTATAAGACTTATCTACCACTATGTATGATATGAATTTGTAAGACTGTTCTTTGTTATGGCCAACATCCATCTTTCGTGTCGAAACCCGTTGGTCTTCCTCCATTAATTTTTTCCCCACCGGAGCTTCACTAGATTCATTATTTTCACCATTTATTAATCCTGAATTTTCAGTAGTTAGATTATGGAACAAAATCTGAAACACTGCATCTCTATCTAGTCAATTGATTCTTTGTTAATGATTGATACTTAATGAAAGTAACTCCTTCCGAATAAGCTCTATGCAGTAACACATTCGTCAGTATAATACAGGCCATGGTATAATAGTCAAGAGAAGAATAAGGGCATCGTCAGGAATGGGTTATTGGGTGTGAGCAGTATTTAACGAGCGTTTGTGACCCCCTGAGGTAGATGAACTACGTATCTAAAGTATATTCGAGGAAGTGAGAGTGTTTTCGCAGGTTTGTACCCGCAGTAAGAACAAACTTTTGATCCCGTTCCACATAAATGGAAACTCATTTCAGGATTTGATTAGCTAGCAATAGTGCTTCTCGATGTTGTACAGTATATTCTATTGTATTTCTTATGTGACATACATATTTATAATATCGTTTTCTGACTAATCTATATCTTTCGCAATTAATATATGTTCTAATTGATTTTTGTATTTGTATACATTAGATTAATTTTTTTCCAAAATGAATATTTTTATTTATATAAATGATTAAAACAATAAGATTGAATATTTCATTATTCAATTTTTCCGTGTACACACATAAATCATATGTAGTTCATAAATATTTACTCGTCATACTTCAATTTATATATGGATTTGTAATTAATCGCAATAACTTCAAAACTATTTAATGATATACTACTTATCATCATTATTCTTAAATAAATACATAATTTATTGTCAAACCCAAATTTCAACTTGGATTATCCAACTTTTAAGATTTATAAATAATTCAAAATTTTATGTAAATCTTGGATAATTATCAATAAAAGATTATTGTCTAACTTTTGAAAATTAAAATCTTTGAATAACATCTCACATGTCACTATATATATACTCAAGTAACTTCTTAAAATTATGAATTTCAACATCAAATATTTGTCTATGATGCTTGCCTATATCACAGTGTTTACAAAATTCTAAATCAGTTATACTTACACTATGTATTATCTACTTTTCATGAAATTCATAACTATTAAATCCATAGTATTACACCATATCAATTCAATCTCTCAAATTTTCATAGAAATCATTTACTTCCCGTCAAACTCTTAGAAAAAGTTTTTGTTTTGTCTATTTGTGTTACTGCATTGATTTTTTTTCTATTTTTAATCTTTCAGGTTAATGAATATTTTACCTGAATTTAAAATGTATCAAAATACTTGGTGTGTGTGACATACACATTGAAAAACTACTTATCATGCTATCATAATTTTTTAATTCCAACTTTAGTAATTAAATAGTTAATATCCACTTTTTTGTCTCATTTCATAAGTGGAGTTGTATGATTAAAGTACACTTAGTTGCATTTATCTTGATGATGCATCCAAATCAAACTGTCCAAGAATCAAATGAAAAATGTTATAAATTCTAAACCAAAATCTTTCAGGCCAGTAAGAATTCTTTTGAGGAATGAAAAAGTGTCACTTTTATTGATAAATGTCTTGTCAGAAAAAAATTACTAGAGCTTGTTTACAACGTAACATTTGAGATTTGAAGTTTCATCAAATAAAGATGCATATCATACTAGACATCTAATACAAACATTAATATAAGTCACTGTTTCAAATGTTCCGGTGCACATTAAACACCTACCTCCACAATCTGGACGATCACGGACATTCTTATCACTTCAACACACTTTGACCTTAGCAAGTATTAGCAAGTATCATGCTGGTTCTATGGAGCTCTGTACGAAGTGGTAAACAAGCAGGAATGCTCTTAACACGGACGGAGAAGTCTGATTCCGTTTTAATGTTCGATTTAACTGTGCATTGAGAACCTCGAATACTCGTATACTCTGTACACAGTTCTTCGACATTATGTTTAGCAAACTCCCAAAAAAGTTGATCAGTTTGTTCAGAAACTAGGAGGTATGCAGAGTAATGGAGACTACTGTACCGAGCTTCGAAGCAAGAATCCACCGAGCTGACAACCCATGTGCCACTCAGTTGTCAGAATACATCCACTTGCTTGAATAGATCAAAGAATACAGGAAAAAGGATTACATGAAGATGACGATTAAATATCTGATGTTAGAATCAGGACATCGAGTGTATAGAACACTGATGCCTTCATTTACGTATCCTGTTCCGTATCCTGATCGTGTTCGCTTGAACAACAGAGTCGAGATTTACTCTTGCCTTCTAACAACAATTTCCAATCTCACCGACTATGGAGGAACACGCTTGACGTGTTCGCATGTTGTGGTTACCTCGAGCGCCCACATGATTGTGCAAGCTCTTGCTCCAAGAATCTCAACACGATTGCAGTCAAGGCTCGTTGCTGGATTCTTTTTCGTCGCCGGCATATCCGACCTCCATGTGAATCAAGGCCGTAGAGTTATTTGTTCACTGAATACAGTCACTGGAATCTCGAGGATGCTGCATGGAACATCCTTTCTCGATGTAACAACGAGACAAGTTTCGAGATTGAATTCGATGGAACTCAGCAGCGTCATAGCGCTGTAATTGTACCCACATGGTGAATGATTGTTTTCCAAAGACACCTAAGCTACAATCCAGAGGAGCAAGCATCAAGACAACAGTCAGTCAAGGTATGGTTTAGAGTTGTTGGTGGAACAGAGTTTGGCGATTGAACGTGTTTCAGAGCATTCTGAACAAACCATTTTCAATCAACCCTCAATATATTACTTGTGCTCAGCTCTGCAATTCTAATTAATTGTTCTCGTACCAGCAAGTTGATAAAACTCCCCCGCCAGACAAGATACTTTATAACTCCCTGAGAGAACTGAAAAAAAATCTGGTACACACTCATGCTCTTGGAGTATTGTGTAGGATTTGAAGAAGATGACAACAAACTGAGAAATTTGATTTCGAAAACTTCTTTCCCAAGCATGCGCTTTGGTTAGACTAATGAATCACCAAACTGCATAGAACGGTAAAAGTTTCTGAGTTCAACGTTAATCTCGTGGGCATCAGATGCAGAAGGTTGAATCGCAGTGAGTGTTAAAAAAAAAAAAGAATGTAGCGTGATCTGATTAACTCTGCAGTAGAGGCATTGTCCTGTGCGTTGTACTTGCTATCTAAGGTCCCACGTAGAGTATCAAAATAGGCCAGCCCAGCATCCTCACTTTCTTCGGTGAAGTGAATAATATACGAGAAATTGAGAACCTCCGAGTACTTGTATACGTTCTTCCACATTCTGTTTAGCTAACTCCCGAAAGTTGATTTGTTTTGTCTGAACCTACGAGTTGTGTAGAATAATGTAAAATACTGTACCTATCCTCAAAGCAAGAAAAAAGTACAACAGGCTTTGTTCTCCGAGCTGTTACCCATGTGCCACTCAGTTGTCAGAATGTCGACAGCGAGAGTATCAGCAAATTGAAGCATTCACTCACATATCCTGTTCGCTTGCACAACAGAGTGGAGATTTATTTCCGGAATTCCGCTTTTCCGGAATTTCGTTGAAACTGGTGTACCAGTAAGTGAATTGTTATAGTATTAAAGAATGTGGCAGTGGAGATTTATTCTGACCGTCTAAGAACATTTTCCAATCACACCGAGTATGGAGGAACACGCTTGTTGTGTTGGCATGTTTTCGTTACATCAATCGATCGCTCACACGATTCGATGACAAGATCTGATTCAGTTTTACACAACGCAAAGTACTTTACATCTGAAAAATTAAGCTTCCTTTCATGCCAAGACATTCTGCGTCCCCATCGCACCACCTTTGCTTCGAAACAGTCTTCTTTATATTTTAGATTCTTTTCCAATCAGTTGGAGTTGGGTTATCAGTGCACATCAAATGTGCACTGAGAACCTCACTCCGTTCCAGTCCACATAAGGTTTGCGTCGCGAGAGATCTGAAGTCCCTTTTGCTCAAGCGCTCTAGGATTTTGCATGGAACTAGAATCCTGGCTGTTCGCTATCATTTTGACTCACGCTGGCTGTCCTGCCCTGCACTGAGTTCGAGCAACCTTCGACTTGCACTTGGCACAATTGTTTTCCTTTCGTGATCATTGCTCTCGATCCCATGCTCGGAGTAATCTCTGTGTCGCTCCTGTAACACCTTGCAAGAAGTCTCATGACCAGCATGCACATGTTCAGTTTTGTTCGGGTGAGCCAGGCTTGCGGAGGGGACTCTTTCTTTGACATTTGGCCCGCGTTTCTTACTCTGCGAGAGTGGAGGAGAGAATGGAAGGTGCAGGTGTTTGCATCGTCAGTGACGATGCTGAACATGCCACACGGGGAATGGACTCCACACACGAGGAACCAGAGGCTTCAAACGTGAGCGAGACAGTCGAGGAACCGAAGCTTCCCTCCGCTGTCCAGGACCTTATACGGCGTCTGGAAGGCAAAGCCGAACCTAAACTGCTGTTTCACTCACTTATAGGAGAGCCAGAATTTCGAGAGTTCTCTCCGGATATTGCAGCGCCGTCGACGATCAAAGGGTGGCGAAACCAAGTGCGCGTTCGAGTGCTGGAGGCAATCGGCAGCTGCAACACCTTTGAGGTTCTCAACGTGATAAATTTATCGCAGTTGACGGCAAGGGAGTGGGAGATAGTTTTAAGAGGATTCATGTCTAGCACCAATCTACGAGAGATATTCGTTGGGTTCATCAACTGGAGTTCAGATGAGGCCGTGGAGAGCTTCTGTTTACAGCTGGGGAGAATTCTGAATTCCTCTAGCGTAACAGGTTTGACAATATGGGTTTGCATATTGAGTGCCAGATGTTGGTTTAATCTCGCCTCAGGACTGCGGGGAAATTGCGAATCTAAACTCCAGAGGTTAGTTTTAGAAGAAGCGTGGAAGGACTCGAGTGCGGTGAAGCATGTGGCTGACATGATAACAGTGCTCCTCTATTACAAATGTTGAGCTTATGCGTCGATTCGAAAATGGATGATGAGTCCGTTGGAATGCTGTCCCAGGCTTTGATCCAGAGCTCGTCTTTGAAAGACTTGAAATTAGATAATCTGAAGTGGGGAGCGGCCTTGTTGCTGAAAGCTTTGGCCGGAGACGATGGCAACCGATCCATTGAACGTATTCTCCTGGGGAAGGAGGAGGAGGAGGAGGAGGAGGAACAAGCCTGGTTCATAAGTTCAATTAGAACGAGGTTTCCTTTAGACCGATCATTGAAGGAAGTGGAGCTGGACAACTTGCGGATGCGTCCTCAGGAATGGCAGCAGCTCGGCGAAGTGACAAGGCTATAGCAACAACTATTTATGTAGAGTGTGCGTTGAGAGGGGATGAAGATGAGTGGAAGTCTATAGAAGCTCTTGCGTGTGGTGCTAGCTCTGATGTAAAGGACCCCATACTGGAGCTTCTTCTCAAACCTGATAGTGTCCATGATTATGAGTTATCACTAAACCTATTAGGTAGGGTACTCCGCGGAGAAATCAGATCTCTAAATTCTTTCGTCATATCGACGGAAAATTATTCATGTAGCAACGAAGATAGATTGGAAAGTATCCTGTCGATGAATGGAAACACTGGAGACACTTCAGTGCTGAAGAAACTGAAATTAGAATTTGTCCACACAAATGTTTTGAAGTACCTGCTTCGGTGCTTGCGAGGGAACACAAGTCTCACTCACTTGGCTTTGTCTCCCTACAAAATGAAAGCAGAGGAGTTCAGGGACCAGATGGGATCCTGCGAGGGAACACAAGTCGCATTAATTCAACGCTTCATTTAATTCTCTATTGACTGAGGAGTCGTTCAGGTATCTGATGGGGCTACTCCAAGTGAACTTCACTCTCCAAAAGTGGAAAGAACCTACTGGGCAACGGACGGGAAGGACGCAGATTCAAGAGGCACTCAAGCAGAACCAGAAGCGGGCCGTGTACATGTCCGTCTTCCAAGAATTAGAATTTGAAGCTGCAAAAGCTGCTAGACTCTTCTTATGTGGCTCTCCTCTAGCAGGTAACGTGTTAAGGCAGTTTATTTCTCAATGTATGCAACCTAGAAATCTAAGGTTTTACTTTTCAATCATTGATATTCTAGCAAAATGTTTATATGGAATTGTAAAAATATTTTACTAGAAAAAAAACAAAATCCAATGTAATTCAGATGTTTAAAATTAAATTTATTTAATAATTCAAAAAATTGATGTAAAATTTCGATCATTTTTCTATTTTGTTTATCTATACAGAATGATATCAAGTAATCTCTAAAATATATTCAAAGCAACAAGTTGTATTGGTTTTGATTCTTTCTGTTTCATTGTGTAGGCAAGACTAAATTGTGTCAAACTCTTATGAGGATAGTTAAAGGCAAAAGTTGGTTGGGTTATCAAATTGGAAGAAATGCGGAGAACAAAAGGAGTGGAAGTGGAGTTCTTGCAAAACGATGACAAAAGTCAAATCTCAATTTGGGATCTTGCAGGACAAGATATTTTCTGTACCCTCCATAATGTTCTCTTTCCTCAAACCATCAATTTTTGTTCTAATCTATTTGTGTATAGTCCCTTCTGTCAGTTGAAATCTCGTAACAAACCATATTCTTGTTTCCAAAGAGAGTTGGAGGAATGGTTGAGTTTTATCACATCCAGCACTAGAGTCACGGGACACAATCGTCCACACTTTCTTGTTGTGATTTCACACAAGGATAAAGTTACATACAGTTCTTTGACTTGGTCTCACTCCATAGTGAAGGAGCTCACCCAAAGATTTATACATTATGTGGACCTCCATCCAAAGATATTTCATGTGAATGCTCAGAAGAAGAAGCAAGTTATACTTCTCAAAAATAAAAATTTTGAAATCTTTGACACGTTGTTGAGTGACAAATCCCCACAAGTTCCACAATTGTGTTCTCAACTCTCTTTTCTCTTGAGTACAGACACCGAGGAGATCATAAGTTGGACTCTTTGTACCTTCAAAAAGTTGTTGAGTGACAAATCCCCAGGAATGCCACAATTGTGTTCTGAACTCTCATCCCTGTTGGTTACAAACACCAAGGTGAACTTAAGTTGTACTCTTTGGTCATCTCAAAAGTTTCATGTCTTTTGTGAGCCTAGCTTGATTCAATTTATTCCATTTTCTTCTGCTTTTGCTTTTGATCATTCAAGTATTGTGACATCAATCATATTCTATTTGAATGACGTTGTATGCATTGTTTCTATTCCCAACTTTGATTACATCATTGTTGATCCAAACTGGTTCACCAATACATTATTGAGTGACCTCGTAGCTATGGGTCAAAAATTTCAAGCTCAAGACTTTGGATCTTCTCACAAAAAGATGTCAAGTGATTCAAATGCAAGCAAGGACGGATTTGTGAGTGAAAGTGACTTTGATAGGTTGATAGAGGACTTCCAGCGAAAGCAACCACATGGTGTGGATAGACAGGTGCTCGAAGACATACTCATCAATTTAGATTTGTGTCTTAAGGTGGAATATGCTTCTCAGTATTTTATTCCCTCCTTGATACCTGAGCATGCAAGCAAGGAATATCGAACGTCTCAAGGATTGGCTTGGGAATCAAAGGATGATACTTCACAGTTTTTCGGCATCCGAATTCAATGCCAAGATGGAAGAATAATGTCACTGACGGCTGCTTTTTTCCCACGCTTCCAGATGATTTCATATTTACAGTGAAAAGATTGAATGCGTCAAGTTTTGATTGTAATTTGTGGTTGATGAATGGAGTGTTTCCATTTCATAAGATGAAATTAATTTTGTGGAATGCGCAGTTCAATTTTTGTTAAATTTTGTATTATTGTAGATGTTCATGAGAAGCAAGTTGATATCTAAGAAGCATGTTTTCAAGAAGAATGTGACCTGCTCTCGACATTCTCTACGACTTTTCCTTGATGGCTACGAGATCTACGTCGAGCAAGTAACGTCCCACAAGTACGTGGATGTTCTAATGTTACGCTCAAAGCATAAATCAAGGTCGGAGGCTTTCAAATATGTGAGTAAGCATATCGTCGACAAGTTGATATCATTGTGCGCATCATCCAAAGTCTATACCGGAGTGGCGTTAGTGTTGGGTGTGATCCAAACACGTTGCGTGGAGAGGTTGATTCCGAGTCATCTTAGAAGAGCCATTCTGATTGAGTAACTCAAATCAAACTTCATTCTTCGCATCAATTAAAAACTTGAGGATATTCCGTCGGATAGATTACACTTGGTGAAGGAGTAAGATTTGTTCAACTATGAGCACTCTTGGCCTTCGATTGAAGGGCACACACCGGTGATATTCAAAAGTGTTAGGGATTTGCTTTGTGAGAGCGATGTGGAAGCGGTTGTAAATGAGATACGACAGAAGCGCATTCAACAATTGAAACCATTTCAACAAGCATTGAATAGCGTGAGCAATGATTTGGATCAACCTTACACTGAAAGTGAAAACAACGTTGGCAATTCGAGTTATTTAGACCGACTTGATAGATCCAACTTCGATAAGCTGGATGAGAGGTTCAAATCAATGGAGATCTCGCACCAACACATACTCACTATCCAACAAGAACTTCAATCAACTTTGAGTTTCTTTATGTGTAAAATGGACAGGTTCATTCAGTTTTCTCATTCGTTTGAGCAGGCAAAAACTCCCAAAAACTCCCAAGCGATCTTATGTCATGAAGGATGTTGGCGTATTCTATAGGATGAAAACAACTCTCAATGCCGTGACAACCGTTCGCTTGCACTTGATGTGTGAGTATGAGTATGTCTCTAGGATTCACATGATCAAAGATCAAGAAGGTTTGATGATATGCGTGAATTAGGAGAATTGCGAATGGATCCTAAGACTTATTGAAATTTCATGCAAAGTCATGTATTATGCTGTGAAGGCTGGGCTGGATAAGACCCTCAATTTGGGCCAAGCAGTTCCGGACTGGTAAGACTTCAAATCTGATATTGTTAAGGTTCTAAAAGGTGGGGAAAGCATGGAGCTCAAAGAAGCATGGCCGAGGATTCAGCAGACTCTTGCTCCTATTAACTATGCTGCAATCTTCAAGTTGTACCAGGTGAAATACGTGAAAAAATTAGGTGGTTATGCATGGGTGTGCGAGGAGTGCATGGATAAAGGTCTTCGTTCTGGCATTTTGACAGATTAGGAATTTGAAGAGGTTAGAATGTTATTGTGCAAATGACAAGCATATGTTTAGATCCTCATGCAACATGAACCTCTGCGAACAAAACAAACCTTTTGAAAACAATTTGATTGATTTTGGTAAACTGTAATGCGATATTATTGATTTTCCAGTACCCATAAGGAATGTTTGTGTCCATAAAATACAGATGAATGCTGGATGAGGAGTGATTCAATCCTCTTCCTACCAAATACTTTAACACTAGTTCTAAACACGATTTCAGTGCCAATTTCTTCCGACGTGTTTAGACTTAAAACAGTTGGATTCACATTTGGAGGGATTTTTCCAACATGAATTCTATCAGTGCCTCAGGAATGTACAGCAAAAGAAAGCCTGCAGAGAGGGCATCAAGCAGATGTTTACAGGAAACTGATGAGCGGGATAGCCTCGAGATGAGATGGGCTGAATTGGATTTGCAGCCAATCCGAGTGCGAAGATAAGTGAGCAAGGAAGTCGAAGCAATTCAATTCCATCGACGTAAACGTCCGTCTTTTGTTGGGAGTGGTTGCGTCACTCCAGTTCAGAAAACTGACGGATTGAAGGCGTTGCACGAGCAAGACATGAGCTGAATCATGAATTTCCCAAGGACTCAAAATTCTGATGATCTTCGGTTACATGCAGACCAATGCTATTGCTATTGCATTTGCATTTGCAATCGCATCGTCCGAGACGTCCGGTGACACCGAGACCATGCTCATACTCAAAAACCTGAGCTGATTGTGACGACATCTATCTATGCCTGAGGCGGGCGCGGTGCTGTGCTATCCTGTACAAAATTCGAAAACCTTCTACGCGAGAGAGAGGGTCGAGACTACGACTAACGAGGTCATTCTATGAACACGACGGCGGAATTGTTCAACTAGTCGACATCGGAGCATCATCGCCGGCCGGGGCATCGACTATGACGACTGCGGCAGCGGCGGCGGCGACACCCGTGGAGCCGAATCCACCTTCGCCTCTGACGGTCTCGTCCAAATCGTCGAGCTCGAGCACTTCAGGAGTAACGATGCACTCGAGAATCAGTTGCGCGATCCGGTCCCCAGCTTTGATGGAGAATTCCGCATCCGAGTGATTGAATAGAATCACTCCGAGCGGGCCTCTATAGTCCGCATCGATGACCCCGGCTCCCACGTCTATCGAGTGCTTCCACGCCAAACCTGAGCGAGGGGCTGTCGAGGAGCCGACAGCGACCGTGAAGCAGATCAGAGGTCAGTGCTTGACGATGAGGGACACATACGATCCCACAGGGACGCCAAATTGAACATTGAAGGAATCAAACGACGCAGGCAGGTAGGAGCTCACCCACGCGGCCGTAGGTGCCCTCGGGAATTGCCACGGAGAGTTCGGTCTTGATCAGCGCTTTTCCACGAGCGGGAACGACTGCGTCATATGCACTGCATTCCACACAATGTGACAGCGACACCGCGTTTGCATCAATACCGCCTCCTTACAGATCAGCACCACCAGAAAGAAGCTCGACCTCGCGAGAAACCATGGACGACTAGCGAAAATAGTGATTGATTATCGGGGACCCGCAAATTGATCCTCAAGATCATGAATGCGAGTTGAATCAAGGTAGTGGAGAGCGACAGGACGTCTGTAATCGATTGCGGCAGTTCTCACGTTCGTGTGAAGAGTCTGCGGCTGCAAAGATCTCGTTGGGGTGTTGAGCACAGAGCACAGAGCACGAGGCTTACCTCGATAAATCGTAACCGGCCGCCAGAGCCGACCCTCTCGAGGGCAGAATCGCTTCGGGGGCCAACTTCTTCACGCGCAAAGCGAGCGAGGGAGCGACGGGCGGTACGACATGGCTCTTCCCGTTGCTGCTTCCGTTCACGTGAGGCACTTCGACCGCCTGTTTCTTGAGAGCAGGCTCCCTGGCGTCCACCAACAATTCGGCGGTGCTCCCGTCTCCCTCCATTGGTGAATTCCTCGACCACGACGACGACGACGCTGCCGATGCCCAACGAGCTCGCACGCTGATTCCCAAACTCCAGAGTCCCGAAGACTTGCGGCGAGCACCGGTAGCGATGGGCGAAAGCTCGAAGACAGCAGCAGCAGCAGCAGCAGCCAAAGCCGAGGCTCTGCAGGTCCTGGTCCCGCGATTCCAGACTATGGGGCTCTGATAGAGGGCAGTTATGGCGGGAAAAGACATCTCTGGCCCTACGAAATTTCGCGGGCACTCCGCACTCCGAACTCCGATGGTATAAATGATTACACCACTTGCTTATTACGAAGAGAGAGAGAGAGAGAGAGAGGGAGGTACCAAAACAGAGTTTCAACCACGTCTCGGAGAATGGGCCCTCCTTGAATCGTACCCAGTTGAGAATTGATTCCAGCTCTCTGGCTCTCACAAGCAGGACCGAGGAGACCATGATTCACACATCGAATTTTGCGTAAGTTGCTCACTGCTTTGTAATAGAGGCCGACCCCGCACACACCACGTGAGTCAGCCAGCGAATGGCGTACTTGGTTGCTCAATCAGGACAGCCATATTCAATCTATGGGAGAATGAGGCAACGAGGTGTGCAGAGACTGCGGAGCAGAGCGAACCTGTGGCAGTTGTGATTTTGTGTACTGAAGAGAGGAACTATGCTTTTGTCAATCCGATCCCGCAGTTGCCTGGGCACAGTGGTTTCGCAGGCTGTTTGATTGCTCGTGTGCGCGAGTGTACTCTTGCAAAGTTGAGGGAGTTGGAGGCCTGCAAGGAAACCGGAGGATCGTCGTTGAGCCACCGACGAATGGATGTCATGCCCTGTGTTTGTTTGCTCGTCTCAGGCACATCACTGAAGTGAGGAGTGTCAGTACGTTCATCCAACCGCGGCATTTGACTACGGGTTCGAAAATTGTGTCTAATGTGTCCGTCTCGTTAATCCCAGTCGGGATGAAGACGACAGCGACGGTTTGATAAATCTTCCAATTCAGAGTTTCAGATGTTAGATCTAGTCCGAGGAGGGTGATGACGGAGCATGTCTGCATCTTTTGGGAGGAACGGATGGCAGCCTTCTGCAAGTACGTTGCTGACGACGACATGCATCAAATTTTGTGAAAGCTGTTTTCCATAAGGTTCCTTCCGTGCTGACCCTCTTCAGGAATTTAGGCACAGGCACGAGGCCAATGCGAGTACTTTCAATTGCACGGCAAATTTGCAGGGATCTAGGAAGAGTAGATCAATCAGTAGCCGGACATAGATCCGACTACAAGCAGGTCAAAAACAGACAATCATTCAAGAGCAAAACCTTGGTGCAACGCCACGGCTTAAGAACGCAGTGTCCGAATTTCAGAGAGCAATTTATTCTTCACCTTTGGGGAGAAGCCATTGAAAACATGATCTCGTTCACAGTCCACAAAAGCTGAAGTAGGAGACACTGGAGTGCCTAAGGTTTTGGAGAGGTTGCAAAAATGGGGCCGGTCACATGACACTTTATCTGTATTTTTTCCCCACTGTTGAAGTGGGCAGAGAGCACCTAAATGCCGATTATCCTACGAAACTACAACTCAAGAACCCAGGGGAGAACTGTCGGCTCCCAATCCACTAGTTCTCCTTCTTTAAACCACAGAGCTGCACACGGTCCTCACATAAATCAGGATCCAACAAAATTCTCGATTCTCGACGTCATACAAAACAATTTGAAGAACTGAGGGGAGGGGGTTCTTTATGGACGAACACTTTTGGGGGCTGAAGAGACGAAAAGGTCTGACGAACTTACCAATTTCACGTTCACCGTTTGCAGGACTGTCACTTCCATGGACAACATTCCTGACCGACGAAAACAGCACAGCCATAGATCGTCAGTATCATAATCAGATGTGAATGTCCCGGGTTGCCATGGTGGTGTCACACTCATTTCCTCAAACCGTAATTAAAAAAAAAAGGTGGCTGTTATTCCTCGTAGCAAAGTTTTACCTGCCGCTCACAATCGCGAAATCTCCTCGGATGGTTCCGGGCTCAGCGTTGAGCGGGTTGGTCGCTCCGATAAGCTTTCTGGCTGATGCAACCACGCCGGGCCCCTCCCACACCTGAAATTCTCGTCCGGCCGAGACACAATTCTGTCATTTATGACGGCTGGAACTGAGAGTAGCTTTGTGAGAAGATGGCACTCGGTGAAATGCAAGACTGCACGAAAGGGCATGGGTGTGTCATCATGCATCAGTAACGAGGACTATACTCAGGCCGATTGTTTATCTTGGTCTTCGTCAGTGTTCTGGAATGATTGTTGCACGTATTTTTAATGGTACATGGTTCACTGGAATGTTTGATGCAGTCACATTGAAAGTCTCCAGTTGAGTTCAGCTCGCACCATGCATACGACAGGTCCGGAGACGATGTACTTCACTAGTGCTGGGAAGAAGGGTCGCTCCTTCAGCTCCGAGTAGTGCTCCTGGAGTTCAGATCGCCCAAGATTCAGTGTCGAGGAAACCCGCCCAAGTTTCCAAACGGATTTCGTCACAGCGAGTTGTGCACAACTTCAAATTGACAAAACCCACGCTCGTCCACTAAACTGTGCGTCAATTGATTCTCCCTCTCACCGAAAAACCCACACACAGAGGTCAAACGTCCATTATCTACTTCGTCGATACGGTGAGGACTTTACCTCGGCCAAATCCTGGGGAGTCTGAAAGAGCTTCAATCCCTTCAGAGCGAATCCCTTGCGCTCGAATCTGGAGATGATGTCTCCGACCTGGAATGGATTCAGTCAGTGATAAACCCTTGTTTTAGGCAGAACTCAAACTCTATTGAGGCCACCAGGAACGCATGTGAGCGAACGAGTCACGACGTCGGAGCTAAATCCGAAGTTGCTGAAATACGAATTCTCAAAACCTGGGTCGGAACCAGAATTGACAGATAAATCTTCGAAATGAACAAAGGAAAAGCTGGCAGAGCAGACGAGAGGGATGAGGATTAAGTCTCAGAAGATTACGAGGCCTCTCTGGACTCCGTCGGGCTTGATCATGATGTACGACCTTTCACTTGCCTGCAGTGGAGCCACAATCCGCCAATTTACTACTGTGATCACATGCTGAGCCGCAAGAGAAACCATCGTCGACAATGGAGATGAGAATGACCTACTCTGCAAGCAACTCCGCGACTGGGAGGCGACAAGGACTCGGAAAATATGGCGCAAGGACCAAACGGAGCACAGAAATCCACTCTCTAAGGAACACGTTCACGTTCGACAGAGCTCAGGACAGAGACTGCCTTGGGAATTGAATTGCTCGACAATCGTGAATCAAATGAAAGACGACATTCTTGACACTAGAGTCGAATCTGGAACAGAATGGCTGCGAGGTGCAGGGGGTGAGTGAAATGGAAAGCAGAGACCGCATTGACAGTCAGCCGGGACGAGGAGATTCGCTGCTGCCCATTTGGCCGACGGCCGTAAGAGAGCAATCTGGCTCCGCTGCCTGCAAGACTCGAAGAATCCCATCGCAAGCTCTGTCCTGACGCACCGGCACCAGCAGATGCTCTGAGAGCGAACTGCGACGGCTGCTGCTGCTGCTGCTGCTGCCTGGGCCTCTGAGCCTCACATCGCAATGCTCCGACGAGACCTGTCGCTGCTGTCGATGCGACCACCACCATGGCTGCCATGGCTCCCTCCCTTGCTTCCCTTGCTTCCTCTGCAGGAGATCGATCCCACGTTTCTAAGGTCGAGGGAGCTGAGAATGAACTATATCATCCGCGTTCGATTGCACATCATCTCTGAAAGGATTGAAAGCATTTCAATCATGTTCCGAATATAGATTCCGTTTATATTCCTTGGCTTCCGGATCTCCCCAACTCCCGTAATTTCTCCAGTCGGTAAAATTTCTTCTTTGCTCGTTTACCATTTTAACCGTCGCTTCTGGCTTCAGTTCAACATCCATCATTGAAAGCCCTGTCCGACCCCCATTGCTCCTCTGCTGAAGAGCAAAGAGCTGCACATTCCAAGCTTATGCACATATTTTTCCCAAGTATGAACGGAAGATTTGGACTTCCAACTATCGTACTGTTATTCTATGGTTACCTAAATAATAACGATTGTGCCAATATCTACTGGTGTTGAAAAAACACTGAATATTCCATTTTATGAGAAATTCCAAGATTTTCCAGAGAAATGTTTGCTCGAAGTGAATTGGTGTTCTGCCGGATGCGAGTGGATGACAAAGACTCGGCGTCATCTTAGTATTTTCACATTGGAAATTTTTGTATATCGCCACCTATGATTCAAACAAGCTATCCACAATCTGAGCATCAATGTGTAATTCCCCATATGTTCACATACTTCATCTTCTGTTAAATTCAATATCTAGTGCTGTATATAGAGGAAATGAAATGCATAAGCTAAAATGATCTATCTTATATTCTAGACTCTTGTGATCTCTCCTAACATCGTGAATTTGGATTCGATAATCTTGTATACATCCAATGTTTGTACAATAAAATTGTGATATCTTTACATACCGCTATACTAAGAAACTTCAGTTGTTGCCGTCTCACTTGTTCTACATGCACAAAGATGTTCAACATTCAGAAAGATAAGTACCGGTGTTTTTCAAAATGACGTCCAATGTAGAATCTTCTATCATCACTTCTAGAATTATCACAAACTATTTATAAATATCCTTTAGCTATCAAATTCAATAAATAGTTAATGATTAATAGATCAAGCGGGGGAGCAAAGGGCTAAAAAACACAGTTCAAGTAAAATAACACAAACAAGTGAAAAGAACCTAGAATCTTTCATCTTATATTATCTTTCAGTGCCAAGCACTGGAAGATAATTAATGATGTACTTCATCTGAAAACTTGAATTAAAGGATGCCAATTGTAATAAAAATATAAAAAATTTCCATATCTATATTATGAGCAAGTTTAATAAATTTTATACATAGGACAAGAAACAAGAACAAACATATACATACTCTCCATCATCAATATCTACATTGACACATATAGTACAAATATGTTCACTATAATCAACATTAAACCAAAGCACTTATAAGATTCAAAGACTATGAGATCCATTGCTAAGCCTAGCAATAATATACAAACCAACAACCACTTCATATAGAATTTCAATCTCACACTCATGTGACCATAAATCTCATGCTTTTTATGACTCGACACATACATAAAGACATATATAATAAATAACCAGAGACTACTCACTATGTATGAAAAATATATGAAATTACATGCATGAATATCTTCATTTGATATCAATGAAATAAAATATAGTTTGAATATTCAATACATTAATCATCAATATATGATTACAATAATTTATAAAATTTGATAAATATATATATTGGTATATAATATATACCAATAATATATATATTTAAATTTCAACATTGAAACTAATTTTCTAAATAATTTTTTTAATCTGGGAATAAAAATTTTAAATTAATCAAAATTTGAGATTTTTTTCCTATTATTAAAAAATAAATTGTGCAACATAAAATTTATAAAAGAACATGTCATAATGATTTTGTAGATTATATTATATATATATCAAACTAAAATGAATTTGATACTATTTGAGAGCCACTTCATGTATCATTGAAATATGTGTTTCGGTGTATAGAATTTTAATCAGTATCTAATAAAATATTATATGAATAAATGATGAATTATAAGAAAATTTTATTCAATTCATTAAGTTATCGACATAAATTTCAGATATCTTATACCAAGCATTTTACTCACTTTTATTAATGTACTTTTCTATTGTATTATTGTGCTACATAGAATTGTCAATATACCACTTTTTAATTATTTCTATCTGAGACAATCAATCTAATTTTGGAAACTTTTTGGAATAATTTGATGATTTTTTAGTTTAATAATATATGTGCACAGCGTTTACCGTGGGCACGATAACTGGTACACCAGAGGTGCGTCCTTCCCGGTCCTCTCGTACTATGGAAAGGCACCAAGTCATTTTATTACTACAAGATATATATTTTAGGCATGATAGGTTTTTACTAGTAAGATATATGCTCCCAAGGCCTTGGCTTGCAAAAATCTCACAAAAGCAAACTTTAATTTCAACAAAGTTACAGCAAGATGGAGTGTAAGGTGAAACTCAAAACAATTATGACATCGGTGATCAACTTTGAAATGCTCACCGATAAGGTGTTACGCTATATTTTTGGTTGGCTTAAAATTCTGTCAAAATCATAGATGGCCGAAACACTATGTGCAAGTTTACGTGGATCATTCTACATTGGGTATTGTGGTTGTGAATCGATACGATGTCAACGATAATGCGATTGCACGTACGGATTCGTTAGCTTGTTGGAGCAGATTTTAGTGTCGGATAAAATTTTTGCTAGACTTCACTTCAGGAAAGAATATAACTTCTTGGTTCAATATTATTACAAGACTATCATTCATACTAGTATCATACCTCGATTGATAATAGTATGAATATCAATCCAGGGTCATTCCTTTGATAGAGTACACCGTCTAGGTTCAACATTACTACAAGAACTCTAATGGCGTTAACTTTCTAAATACAGGTTCTAAGAAATGCTTCATACTAATATCAATTGCATGTGCGGAATGTAAACATTCACACAGCAACACACACAAACCAGACAGAAAAGTTACGTAGTTGAGATTTTGTCGATGATACCACAATGCTACAAATCATGTCACTAAGTATTACGAATAAATATCATATAGCTATTGGATAATTGATCAAGACTTGCCGTAACTATGAGGTTTAAATCTAGCCTCCTATTGGGGTTCAAAAGCCATAAGGGCTCACGTTTGAACCAATTTCCAAAAATTAGAAGTATATATATGTCATTGATTATTTACATTTCATAAATATCACTATTTATAAGTTATGGAATACATTATATGAAAATTTTTTTATCATAAGACAGAAAATCACATGATGATTATAATATTAATTAAAATTATTCACATATTTGAATTCAAAACGTAAGTTAAATTAATCTGTTACATCCATACAGTAGTATATATGTACATATATTGCAAGCACTCTTTCAGAATTTGGCATAAAAAAGTGAAATAGTACAATTAAAAATAATAATAATTAAAAACTATAATGTAAATTAATGACTATTGTATCATTTCACTAAGTATTCACGAGATATGATAATTAAAGTCATATATAATCGTATTATAAGCTGAAATTAATGAAGTTTTCCATGTTGCAGGGTTAGTTCCAAAAACTAATTTATCCACTCAAATTTTAGAAGAAAATTTTCAAAACAATACTCAATTGACATTCTACTGCGTTGTGGGAAGTGAACATGTTTCTTAAAAAATGTTAAGAATGAAAGAATTATGAAAGAATGTATAAATCCTTGTGGAATTTGTGTCATTTCTCAATAGGTGAATAATTGTGATGTTAATGTCAGCTATATGATCGATATCTAAGACAAGATAGAGTTGAAGTAGATCTAGATGACACAAAATCTATTTTATAGCCCGAAGTTTATATCTGATTCATCATTAGCAAACTTCATACAAAGAAGAGAGTACCTTGTGATGCAATTTTGGATTTATTTCTCATACATTGATTCTAATAGACTAAATTACTCAAAACAGATAGTCTTCGTTGAAGGTTCAAGTAGATCAAAACGCTACAATTCTTCCAAGTAGCTTAAGATCCCTCTTTGACGTCCAATAATAGTAGAGTATAGGATGTGTATGCTTTGACATAAGATCATTATTCCAGTTACGAAATTGAGTCGATCTTGCCTCACACATGTGTTGACTAGATCCTCGGACTTGATATGTGGCTGTCAGATAGCGTTGGACTTCAGACTTTACTGGACACTTCACGTAAACCCACGACGCTTGACACTAGTTACGAAGTCACTGCGATACGAAAATGTAACAAATTAACAAATTTCTGTAACAAATTATTCCGCAAATAATTTCTGAACATCACCGCCACATCACCCTTGAAGACCTCTAAATGTCCAGATTAGTCAAGCTGGGGAAATCCAGTCAGTTGTGAGACACACCGAGGGGACAGAAATTAGTTGCATAGACAATGAGCCTTCGAGAAAAACTGCCCCGAATCCAAAAAGTAGATACCTACTAAATCAGGCGCACGTCCAAATTTAGTATGGCGATTAAGTCCAACGAGAAAGTATTGTTGGCACGAGAGAGAGACCCCGAGACGAAAGACGAGGATGTCGAGGGCTTGGGGACCAATCACCTCACCTCGCCCGTTGACGGCCAGTCGAACGTTAACTGCGCAACGGGCAGAAAAGCGAGCAACCACGTCCAGTGCGCAGTCGCGGAGAAGCAGCACCGCAGCGTCCCACCGACGATGCGCAACGTGTACCGCGCGGGGACTCGAGGAGGAGAAACGAAGGAAGGAAGGAAGGAAGGAAGGAAGAAGGAAGGGGGCGACGGGCAAGGAACCTTCTACTGCCGAGGGGAGGGGAGGGGAGGGGAGGGGAGGCCCTCGCAGCGCGTCCAATGTCGGGACCGGAGGCTTAATGTGATCGATGCGAGGTCGTGAGGCGAAGAATTGACCAGTTGGGTTGCAATTTGTGGCGAGCGGGAGTGGCAGTGGAAGCGGGATCCCGGAGCTGCACGAGAAGGAAGGGTTCGATTGGGGGGAGTAGGGGGATTGGGATTGGGATTGGGATCAGTGAAGCGCAAATTCGCGGAGGAGGCAGGCGGAGGAGATCTGGTGCGCTTGCGGGGGAGAAATCACGGGCGGAGAAATGGCGGTTGCCACTCTGGAGCTCACGGTGATGGCCGCGGAGGAACTGAAGAACGTCAGCACGTTTGGGAAAATGGATCTGTATGCCGTGGCGTGGGTCGACCCGGCCGCGAAGCGATCGACGAGAGTGATTCATAAGGCTGGTCGAAACCCGGTGTGGAACGACTGCGTCTCGCTGTCTCTGGAAAATTACCTCCGGTATTACCCGAATTCCTACCTCACCGTCGAGATTTTCAGTGAAGCAAATCTTGGGGACAAGGTCGTGGGGACCGGTCGGCTTGCGCTTCATGAGATTTACAGATTGACATCGCGAGGGGGCGACGAGCCTGCCCTGGTGACATTGCAATTGCAGCGGCCATCCGGACGGCCTCAGGGTTTCATCAGGCTGGCGATGAAAGTGAGGGGCGATGCCACCCGCGCAGCAGTCGTGCCGGACTACCCCGTCGACAAGAATGCAGACGTCGTGGAAGGCATTCCAGTGATGGGCATTCCCGTCGGTGGCCCGTACGCCGTGGCCCCGAATTTCTACGAACATCGTGGCGATGGCACCACTGCCACTGGGTACCCTTCCCTTCTGGCGGATTCTTCGCATTCCGGCTCCACTTCTGTTTCTTCCGATAACATCCCCTACGCATACCCCCCGGCTTATCACGGCTACCCAAGAAGCTATGGCTACGCTGCTCCTGCACCTGCTGGATACCCGCAACCAGTTTACCAGCAAGGCCCATACGCCTATGTCCAGCCTCCTCAACCTCAACAACGAACTAGCGGAGGAGGCTTACTCTTGGGGATTCTCGGGGGTGCTCTCGGAGGGCTCATTCTCGGAGACATCCTGACCTGAAGAGACGAGGAGTTCTGGTTCCTACTCATCGGCCTCATGCTTGGCAACAGATTGTACTGAACGGCAGGCCGGTATTGAAGCGTTGCACGTGGTGGACGCTCGTGTGTAGGAAGGTAGGCTGATGCCGTGAGGTGATGCCTTATAATGTATAGATTTAGTGGTCATCTTTGTATATAGCTGAAGAAAGCTGCCGGGATATGCGTGCGATTGACCCCGTGCCGGCGGATCTGGACAGTTGTCGATAAATATCGATCTCCTGCAAACTGACTCTTATGATGAAGAATTGCAATACTCTAGTCTAGCACTGTATTGTGCCATCTAAGAGTGACAATCATATCCTTCCCTTGTGCTGATCAACGAGAGATTTGTGTATGTTTATCAAGGGGTAATATTCAACCCTAGTTCTGATTTTGCGGAGGCACATGAGTTTTTTCCCGCCTCTGTGATATGATGCTCTCATTTTTACTTCACTCGAAATACATCATCAATATCAAAGTTCCGTCCCGCATCACTGCCTGTGTACCGATTTGAGAGCTCACTAAGCTTTTTTTTAGTTTACCTGTCTTTGGCCTTTAAGGTTTACTTCTTTGACGACAGTTAGTTGTCTTCAATCTCATCACGTCAATTTTTCTTGCATATCCTATAGATTCTCTGGTTATTGCAGTGGGATTGTGATTGTGCAGCTAACGTTGCGAGTTCACTCGTAGCATGAGAGGCAAGTTTTCGGCTGCTGGTGATGGCCTTAAGTGTGCCTGTCTTGCGGTTCTTCTCTCTTGTAAATTTGAGCAAACACCAACATGAACAGAACACTGGAACACCCAATCCCTGAAGGTTACTCGGCCGAAGATGAAAATGTCTTGTGATTGTTGGTGCATGTAATTGTTAAAGAATCGTGTTACATTTGCAGTGTGAAAAACATCTTTTTGAGTAATTCGGAGAGTATCACATGATCAAATCCTTGAACCACTGGTGATATACTGCACAGAGATTTGCTGACCATCATCGACTAACATCCATGTCGGCAACTTGGACTTTTTTTTATAATTGGACCTGACTCTCCTATCTTACTTTCAAAACAGAACATTGCACGATATTCCCCCCTACTTATGAACAGGGGAAATTATTTTCCTGTTTGCTCCGATGATGACCACAGTGCACAGAGAATAGGATTCCATCACCAACTCATAACTGTCAACAACTTTTGCTCCCACTTCTAATCAAGCGAATTGCCTGTCTTTGCTGACTTTAAATGTCACAGTAATGCACAATCTTTCCACCCTACTGATTACTTGGAAAGCATCTATGTTGTTTGCACCAACCCTTCAACGTCCCTACAACTCTACTCCCATCTATCGCTCCACATTTTGGCCCTAGAATCACTTGTCAACGTTCCTTTCGCCATGTTCAGAGAAAGGAACATTTCCTACGTATTTGCTATCACCTGCTAAAAGCCCGATGGCTTACACGACCGTATGGCGCTCAGTGTTGTTGTCCAGCAGGGATCTTAACAAATTTCGCAATCTTTCATCCCTGCTGATAATAATGTAATCTATAATTTGCAACATACCCTTGGTTTCCTTCTCTACAGAAGTGGGCCACCCTGCCACCTTTTCCCTATCTATCGCTCCACATTTTCCTCTCCCGTTTGGCCTAAAGACACTTGTACACGTTCCTTTCGCCATGTTCGCTGCCGAGATAGGAACGTTTCCATTCGTCTTTGCGATGACTTGATTCGCCATCGGGCTTAAACAACCATATGTCGCTGAGTACCATCATCCGGCTGGAATCTGGAATCTCGAATCTACACAAAATGCTTGGTTGGATAATCAGATAAGTATGCATTGTAATCATAGTACAACCGCTCACCCTTCGGAATATCTCGGATTGCGATTAGCAAAGCACGGGCTTCTCCATCTACATTATACCTAACACATCTCAAATTCTGTTTCCTCTTGCCCTCCCTGCAGGCAAAGACACAAGAAATTTTCAGTTCTCTCCTCCACTCCTATGGCAAATAACCCTACAACACTTAATGGCTACGCTGTTCTACTGACCCCGCGAAATTCCATGTCAAAGGTCTAGGCCTCCTCCCACTAAGTGTAAGTGCCACTGAGACACACGACTGGTAGGCAGGACTGTTCTTCGTTTTGAGGTCCATGAAAGACGGAAATGGTTGTAGGATCGTCAATCGTAATGCAGGCGGATTGTAAAATTCAGCCTTTCTGCTGAGGCATAGACAAGCAACACATTCAGCACGAAGGAGAAGGCACAAGATTAGTACCTCGTATGGTTATTGATGCCAGAAATGAAACGAGCAATATTGCCTCGTTTATCGGGGCAGATTACTAACTCTTTAGATGGATCAGCCGTAAATAATAAACCCATAATGCTATTTCCACCATCATGTTTTCGATTCTTCATGTAGTCTACATCACCGGTGTACTCCGCGACGATTGTCATATCTTTGATGGGACTGTCCGCTTCGACCACAAAACTGCAATCCAGAAACTGCTTTCAGAAAATGACCTCTCGGAACCGCTTTGACTGTCGTCAATGTCGAACCTCACGCCACTTGGTGGTGAGTTTCGAGTCCACGACTGGCATTTCTGTCGATGATTGTGTTGACGGGTGCAGCAAAGTGGGATTGGAAAATATAAAACTTCAGAAAATTACTCATCAATTGTGTTATTTTGAATCACAGTTGAAATCGGAGATCTTGGGAGCTGTCACTCTCAACCGATCGAACACTCCAGACATCTAATTCAAGATGTTGATGAAAACAATCAGACGAGTCATGCGCGCAAAAGATCCATATGCCCACACCAATTCGAATAACTTACCCTTCTCGGGAGTCATGTTTCACAACAAGAGGTGCGACGTGACCTTCCTTCCACATTCGCTTGGAGAGGTCGAATGCAGCTTTATCATCCTTGCTCATCTCCTGCAGCAACACTTCACACTGATTAGCAGCGTCTTCAAACACAGCGTACCTGAGCATGTCTTGCGATTCTTCTTCATGCACTACAACATGACAGCAGAGAGGCTATAGCAGATGACCAAACTGCTAACGGTCTGCTTCGACGGAACCACCACCACCGGTCCCAATTACGTGAAGACCTCAAATTGAGTTTTGTTACTAACCTGCATGCCCCCAATTTCCAGAGAAGGGCGATTGCATTCCCTAGTTGCACACCCAGGAGGATAGGTTAAGTCATCACTGTATGCAATATTGACTGTCGTCAAGGCGGTAGCGAGTGATCTCATCTGTTCGAGCAATCTATCTTGATCATTGGAAGGAGTGTGAACCACCAATTTCCTACTCCGCTTGCTGACGGTCAGACCTCCGCTATGTCTCCGACGTTTCTTGGTTTCCGGTACTCCCAAAAACTTTTCTATCCGGAAAAAATCGACAATCTTCGTTTGCACTTTTGGAAACTCTGAACACAAACGAGTTGATTAGCTACGCAGAAGGGATCTCTGATCCAATAATGAGTTTCGAACATGTCAAAATTAAGCGAAAAATGCGAAGAAGATTTACCACGAATCTTTGGAGGAGCGGTGCACGATGAGCAAAACCAGTCTTCGGCAGGTACAGAGGCAACTATTGGGCGAAGACAGTATATGTGAAAGCCTGCATCGCATCTGTCGCACAGTATCATTTCCGCGTCGTTGTCATCCCTACCACAGCTCTCGCATCGGAGCTCTGCGTATTTGTCGACTGGCTCTTCAAGCAAATTTTTGGCATCAATGTTGAAGTCCCTCACAGTTAGAGCTTCGTCAGCAGTCCCTCCAACTGTGCCGTGTCCACATTGTAGTCCCAACAACGTGGAGTAGCGAGTCTTCCTCCGAACAACCACTTGCTCTTCAATTTGAGGACTGCGATTCTGGTCTTGATTTCTAGATGATGAAGCTCTTCGTTTTCTTCCACTGCCTCCACAATCGGCGCCCATTCTCATCTGAAAGCCATCCGGTTTTTTCAGCACGATGGGTGAATGTCCTACTTGTCACAAAGAAGTACAAGATTCTCAAGGACGGAATTCTCAAAGATGCACCCATTGATCATCCTTCTTGTCTCCTCGACCACTAAACAATTGGTCAAATCGAAAATTGTAAACACACACAGATATAGACCGTGGTTCGAAAGAGAAAGCTCTGAGTACAAGAACGAATCAGTAAACTGTTCTGCGGATTGCGACTCCAGACAAGTTTTCGGGAAATGCTACGTACACATATACTTCAGTTAAAACCTAAATTTGAGGTTCCAGCATCCATAAACGCTGCCAGACGGAAGAGAATGATGCCTGCAGGGGCACCGACAATCCAGCAAAGAACTCCGACAGGGATCATTCTACGAGCGACGGTATTGGGCAGGACAAAGAAACGAGAGCGCATGGAATGTGTGCCTCAATTCTTCCGAAAGCCCAACCAAGAAAGCAACACGACCGACCGACTCCCGGGCTGAAAAAGATACTATAAATGAAGGAAATGATCAACTCACAGGTGCGACGCAGAAGCCTGGGATGAGGATCACATCAGGAACGAAATCAACAGAGTTGGAATTGCCTCAGAGAATCCGAAGAAGACCTCCATCACGAGCGAATCGATGAACTCGATTCCGCTCTCGCTCTGCAAAACATGGGGAGGCGAATCGTTCACGGGGCAGAGAGGATTTCCTGTAAGTGCGTGCATTGGATTTGATCCATGCAGATTTACAGCCTGGTGAGTGCAATGTAGCTTCACTGGCAGCACCAGGGCTCATCGATGAATTATTCAGGCAGTGCCCTCGAATAGTGTCTCGGACCTCCAACGAGTTAGTGCACATTCCCGCGAAACCGCGCGCGGGAATCCATCTTCATATCGGCGGGAACACTTATGACTGGCGGGAATGGTTGATTGTGTGTCGAGAGACATAGCTGCGAAAAGGGATGCCAAGTGGATTGAAAAAAGGATGGGAAGACCCGATTTAGCTGCTCCGGGGGGGCTATGTTCATATTAGCTGACCTGTACACTTCTTGTTGATTATTTCATAATTACAAAAGTTACTAAATTGCGTGTTTAAAAAGGATCTTGACTTTTCCAAGCCTCAAGAAAAAATCTTGAATATGAATTAATATTAAACTTTGAGACACCATTAAAAAATTAAACGAAGGGAACATTGCGCTTTTCTCGTCTCTACAAAAATGTCCTGCTTGTGCGTTACGACTAAGATATTAGTAAAAAACAGAACATAAGAATTCTAGTTTTTTTAACTCTTCACTTCTAGCAAAGCATACACATTCTTTTTATCATGTCTCCTGACAATAATTCAAAGGATGGGATATATATTAAGTTTTCTTTAAGATTCTCAATATTACGTACTACTTTCTTTTCCTCGTCACCTTTATGTATTGACTATGCATGGGAAATTGTCCAATCATATATTTGTGAAAAGTATTTGTACTCCGAGAAAAGTTTCTGCTTTTTCAGCCAAATTATGAATGTACTTTTTGTAACATAAACTTTGAATGTGTATATCAATTAGTTAAATAGAGAATATCCATAAAATTACATAAAATGTTTGCGTTATTTACATATAAATCAAATCCATTTTTTAAATACTGGATGACTGTATACTTCTCACCGACCATTATATCATGGGATGATGCTGAAATCATGTTGATGTCATATTTCCACAATATTTTTTTGCTCCAATGGTTTCAATCTCATTTCACAAACAAACAGAACAACCAAACTATATCGTCGTCATCATCATATTACCATACTGTCATATATACAATAATATATTTGCAATGTCCGAGCTATCTAAAATAACAAGAAATCTTATTGCAAGTAATGTAAATTGATTATTTCCTTACATTTCAAGATTTCAAGATAATCATTAATTATTATGAAAACAAAAATTGAAGAATCTAGTCAAGACAAATGAAAGCAAAGGAGGAAATAGACCTAGCCCCCAACAGTTTAATTGATTAATTAAAAAACATATTTTATTTCTAAAATGAACAAACCAAACAAGAATCTGCCAGGAAAGAAAGACGAGAAAATGGCAATTCTTTTGCTATGATCCCTTCTCCTGCGGATGTAAAATTACTGGTGGTTCACATGAAATTTCAGTCTGCATTTAACTATCGGAAGAACCTCAAATTGCAACCATGGGAGAGTGAGATTAGCTGGTGGTTCGGAGTGTATGAGGAGCAGGAGTGACATGAATGCAGCTGTTGTGTGATGACCGTGATTTTCTGTCGGGTGGTTGAATTTAGCCGATTTCGAGTTCCACCTCAATGACTTTTCAATCTGGGAGGGAAATTTCACAAACTGCTGTCGACGGCACGAACCTAACACCGCCTTCGCCTTCGCCTTCCGACCCGGATTTGATGAAACTCTGTAGACGACATTACGAACCCTACACCTTTTGAACCTGTATGGCAACTCATGGTCGAAGAATCGTCAATCCGGTTGGGAATCCAAGAATAAACTTAAAGGAATCGTAGATTTTGTTCAAATTTGCACCGTCCATCAATCCGGCACCGAAAGATTAGTCGTTCTGGTGGAGGAAGAAGAACGAGTAGTCGAGAAGGTGAGTCAAAGTTGTTTCTTGCCCTCTACAGGAAGCGAGCAAACATTTCGGATTGAGGGGATTATATTCGCACTGCAGTCGAGTGCAGATGGTATACTGTGACCATCGTACGCGACAATTGAGCGGACTTCGAGTGAATGGTGTAAGAATTCGTCAGACTGCAAAACAGTTCGTTGTGAGGGACAATGGACTCTACCTGAGAATGTGCAGAAGGACGGCTTGAATTGGATGCTGAAGGGAACAATGGAGGAATTGTCGGTGCAACGAAGTTGCAGAGTGAGACCATCACTGCTGGAGCTATGCCTGAAGCAAGCTACTACCCAGTTGCCGGATCTGGCCGGATCCTTACAGTCGATACCTTTGGAATTGGCGGAAGTTTTCTTCCGATATTACCTCGCTCGGGGAAGAAATGTTCGGCTTTTCGAATTGGAGGCGTTTTGTCGAGCGTTTTGGAACCCGCGCCATCTCAGCCTGACGGGAGTAGAGGGCTTGAGCTGCAGAGGCTTGACGTATCTTTCTCATGCACCTAACCTTGTCAGGCTGGACTTGAGCTGCTGCCCCTGGCTCGATACGCTGAATTTTCTTCCAGGTTGAGTGTTTCTCGATAAACCAATTCGATTTTGTCCTTTTAACTTGCTACGCGGTTGCGCTGCTAAGCATGTCAATTATTGGTTCAAATTGAACATTATTTTTCATTCGGTTCGGACCCGGTATGGTGGGTGGTCATCAGCGCATGAGAATCACTTGTGATGAGGACTGTCCCAAGTTGGTGAGGCCGCTGCTCGAGTTTGTGATGTGGATGCTGCAGAAATTCCTCATCTCCGCTCTTTAAAATTGCGAGACTGCACGCAATTAACCGAAGATTCGCTCATTTTTATTCAGCGTACGTGTAAACCTTCTACCATAGAGGCTGAAATTTATGGGGTTTCAAGAACATATTATAACCATCTAAGATTCTCAGATATAAGAAGCAGTATTTCTTGAGTGGCGACCTTAGTCCTCAGTGGTCATCACCATGGTTATGCATACCTTGAAAGGGCCACTGACTTCCTATTCATAAATACCTCTCTGAGCGCAGAGTTGCGGGAATTGGAATGCCTTGATGTGGAAAATGTAAATTCTTTCACTGAAAGGCTTGCTTCTCACATTATCCAAGGTAAGGAGTGTCATTATAGGTTCATGGTTTTGAAAAGAGCATATTGTGTGTCTCGCTTGATTAGTTGTTGGATTGTATTTGGTGAGAATATATAGCGCTCAAATCTGAGAACTCTTGTCTTTCCGAATACTTAGACACATGTGAACCTGGAGACTTGAGAAGCTGTTAGAAGTTTGTGAATGGCACCACCTGTTACAAAGCTGTGTTTGTTGCCATGTAACCTTCATTTTTCCAAATGTGTCAGGCATGACGTCCCTCGTTTCTCTAAACTGCAACGGGACCGGTGTAGGGGATGGCTTTGTCGATGCCCTAACTTATGGGTGCCGCTTGGAATCTTGGATTACTGCTCAAGCCGCCTCGAAGGCTTCAGGTAAGATTATATGGAAAGATAGTTCACTCCAACAAACTCTGATTAATGACCACATGTTCACAGTGCATTGGCGACCATCCTTTCCCACCCCCCTGGCAACATCAATTTCGTGTTACATACTGCACTCATGAGTATTTGCTTGTCATAGCCCGAGCCACCGACCTAGCATCCTAGCCGTGCAATGCTAGTGCAACATGTGCTGCCTAATAGAAGACCTCCATCGACAGCAGACCTTATTTTTCTTTACTCTCGTTTATAGTCCTCGCGGTTTATAATTTGCCCCTGTATATCATTATCAAAAAGATGCGAACCTTGTTTCTAGCAGAGCAGAGCGGTTGATCCGTATTCCGGGGTGTTCATGTTCATCATGTGTTGTGGCCTGAAATATACATCTAATTCTTCTCGGTGCTCTCATACGTATAGATCGTGGGAACCGTAGGGTCCATATCGCGTAACACTACCACACAGGGAGGGACTTCTGTTTCCTTCATTTGTTCCTTCTTCAGAAGTCTTGTGCACGGAAGCTTCTGCCGAGTCATAAATTTCTTGTGCGGATGCTCCATAGTTAGTGTCCTCAAATGCGAACACGACGTTTGTTTCTTGTATTGATCTTCCCACTGTTGTCTGTTTGGTGTTTTAGGAGCTGGTCGCCATCACTTTCGGATCTCTACAAGAGCTCCGAGCAACTTCGACACTACAGCTTACGATTCACTGCGACAGCAATGGCCAAGACTGAACATCAAGTATTTGCATATGCAACGAACTACTGTCACTCAAGCTGCTACTTCGAATCTGCTTGGTAAGGTCTTTTGCCCTTTTCTGGAAGATAGTCTGCATCTGTCCTTTTTTATACACCATCTTCCTTCATTTTCTTCAAGCATGTGGTCGTCACTAAACGATGTTAACATAGTTGAGTGCCCAGCAGCCTTGGAAGATATCAAGCTCCTGGATCTCCGGACTATGAATGTCTCACGCAGAACTCTTGTTCCACTGCAAGGTGCAAATCAAGATCTTCTCCATTGCCGAAGATCAATTTTTTCACCTGTTATCTTGCCAAGAAGATGCAACTTGAAGTAGTGAGACTTGAAAAGCAAGCCTGTTTTTTAAGAGCACAGTGTTATCCCTTTCTCAAGACTTAGCTGTCCACATTGTCTTTTGGCTCAACGTCCATCGTAGTATGCATGTTCCTTGCAAGTTTTGTATACCATGTCAGCTTTCAAAGACCGCTGATGGTGCTGTTGATTAACAGCAAAATATGGATTGATTACACCCCCGAATGATTTCAAGCTGTTAGGACGATCGAACTCTATGCTGGTTGCCACGTTGGGAGGTGACTGTTGTTGTGAACTCGACACAGAAGCAGGAGCACAACGGTCAGAGATTAGAGGAGCAAATGACTGGTTTGTAGGCTGGGAACACACAGGTTTTACTTTCCTTCTAAGGGAAGCTAGTAGAGTTCAAAACATGGTCTATGATTATGGAGTAGCACGGGGGGCGTGATGGAAGCTAAGCAGCTTGACACTGTGGATATCAAGTTGGCACTGTACCTTCGGAATCATCTTCATGTACATATTGTGGTGCTTTACTGCATCCCCCTTTTAGGGTTTTTACATCGCCGTGCTGAAACTTTCTATCTTGACTGTAAGGGCGCAGATTGGCATCATCGCAGTCACGAAGGACTGACATCATACACTCTAGTGTCACAATGTCAGTAGTAGTTGTAAGGTAATTTTAGTTGCACTCTGACTGATCAAATTGCCTTGTACATATATTTTGGAAAATATTTTATGAAGATTTGATTTCTGATACTGTATTCCCTCCTCAAACTTCATCTACCTAATCTTACTTTTCATGTGTTTAGAATGACCAGATTCTTTTCAGTCGTTTCATGGCTGAAGTTATTTCTTACATTAAGCGCCTTTGCGCCGTCATGAAACATTCACTTGGTTTTGACATATATGAAGAAACGTAAAGGAAGAACGCAACCACGCGAAGCGATACTGTTGTGGCATCTACCTTCTTTTGAGATAAGGATACCACCATCGAGAAAAATGTGAAGAAAAATTTTCGTCAGCCAAAAGATCCCACCGTCCACAAGTAGGATGAGTAGAAATCTTCGTCTGCCAGAAGCCACTGGTTTCATAAGTGCGGGCTCTGTGTGCAGTCAAAACGTATGTAGGCTTCTCTCTAGGTTTATCTAACCTGAAAAGTTGAAGAGAATGCAAGATAATGCAGAGCGATTGTTTGTAGGTTGGTGTAAACGCACGTCTTTCAGTTGGCTGCACAGGAAGCTGAAGCCAATCACATTGAACGTTAGAATATATGTCATCAGGGCCTGGAAAGATATGTTAAGACTGCATGACATAATTGTTGAAGCCTGTGAAGGGAAGGTCTGGACGATTTGAAAATGCTTGCTCAAAGGATAGAACAAATAAAATTTGAATTTTGTTAAGACTGAAGGCGTATTTGCCGTGGATCAAAAGATGCACAAAAAGAGGTGCAAAGTGGGGTAGCTGAGACAGCTGTGGGTTACTCCGCTTGATACAATTTCCGCGTCACCCAGTTAGTTGACAGACGGATTTTCCAGCAGTATAGTTCTCGTGAGGTGCTCCCATTGTAGAAGTGTAACAGACATCCTCACAAAGCTTATAGGTAAGAGCATCAGATTCGTCTCAGCTACTATTGTCTTTCTACATGATACTGGTATCTCAAGATACAATACTTGTATAAAGACAGCTTTCTTATCTATGCCATTTTCTTGTAAAAATATTTCTGGCAAGTCCAAAATATAGTTGGCTCGCAATAGACGTACTAAATTAAAATGTCATTCTAAGGCACTTACATCATCAAAGTGATCTTTGCAATCAGGAACTTGTGTGATCGATTCAGGACAGACAATCAAAACTATCCGAGAATTGTCTCCAGTAGTATAATTGCTTACGTACTCCAGCCAATGTAGACAACATTTGTTCTTCCGTGACGAAACGACCAACCAGGACAAAAAAGGCTTTTTTTCTATTCAGGACCTTGTGAATGATCTACAATACGTAGAACCATAACATTTTTGTGCCTTTCTGGATTACCTTTCGAACTTAGGCTAAAAGGCTCTAATTCTTACAAAGATTGAGTTCCAAATTTTCAATCTGATAAGATTGACACCTCATACTTCAAATACAATTTTCGAAAACAATACATGCTGAAGCTTTGAATTCTTTCCGAGCGGGCTAATGATTAAGTAAAACCTTGCTACCAACACTTGCAGGAGCTGCCCGTCTAGATTACTTCTTATGACTGAGGTACGGGTCCTCACACTCTCAATTAAATTACAGGAAGATTGAAAAATTACCTCCTTAAACACAACCACTATCAGATATATGAAGGTGGTGACTAGAGCTTGGACTTATTGTACCACCACCCTCTTTGCACTTTGAATACTTCAAAGCTCTTCCTGTTTCGTTCTTCCAGAAGTACTTTGCAATCCAAGAGGTGAAAAGACTCCGCACAAAGGCACTGGCAGTTGTCAACATGTCACTGAAAAGCCAATTTAGCACAAGGAGAATCAGTTACAATGAGTCGGAAATAAAATCAGACCAGCCAGATTGAACAAGCTATGTTCACTCACTACATAGACAAAAAGCTTTGCTTTAGAGGGAAGAAAAAGAAAATAGCATGAGGTATGAATGGTGGTATTACATTGCGGAGCAGGGAGATCGGCCTCCATTCACATAGTATATGTAAAGATAAGAATCGTAGTGGTGTCCATTGATGTAGTAAAAGTTTCGAAGCTTCCGCAAACATTGAAAACTATTTTTTTTGTAGAAGAATATGGCCGAATGATTGTATGATATAACGTGTAAATACACAGCCCTGCAGCTAGGCAGGCTTGTCGCATATTCTATGACTTCTCCTATCAAAGCAGATGCTGCCCACAACAGAAGAACTCAAGTCAGAAGATCTACGACAGCAAAAATTGAGAGAAAAATCTATTGTGAAAGATTGAAGAATCGCCTCTATCGCAGGTGTTCCTCAAGCGATTGCAGATTACGATGTTATTGTGTTCCCAAATTCCCTACATCTCTGTTAGAAAACTTCATTACCGACGCTCGCTACAGCCTACGAGTCAAAACAGTTTTCTGTTTACTTCAGTGATGTTTTGGACGTGAGAACTGGACTATCTAGTTATATGTCAGAACTTTGCCTTCTATTCATACAGTAGGTAGATGAAATCATGCATTAAGCTTCAAAAGAAATGTAATATATGATGAAACATAATAACAACTGTCATTAATGATTAAGTCATTGCTTCACAATTCATTGTATGCCATGGACAAACATGATCCTCAAGGGGTGGATGGATTCACGTGCGAAAGCTTCAAAGCGTCAAACCGCTGCTCAAAATAGCTCATACTAGCTGCACATGTATTACTTTGAATGGTCTTCTAATTAACAATTCATTTTTGGTCCACAAAAACCTAATCAAAGAATTGGATTCCATTCAGAACATACAATTATATCAGATTTCGTTGAATCCAACAAACCGCACTGCCGTAATGATAGATCTTGATCTGGATAAAGAGTGGACGATTATTGGAGAACAACATACCTATCCCTAAATTTCGATACTGCTTGATGACACCCAACGTCAGAATGTAAATAAGAGTACGCTCTGTGCTCACATGTTCATATCCCAGCATGTCGGCCTCCTGTTTTCGATACAACGATAAAATCAAGTATGATAAGCCATGCATTAATGAATAGATGAACACAGATGACAATTGTAAAAAAAATTCTAGATATATCGCAAACATGGTGGATATAGATATTCAGCCAGAACTTTGATATTTGCAATCAAGTAAATTGAGGAAATGGACATAATCAAGGTACTTTGGACGCCAAGTTAGATTCAGACCTTGCCAGCACAACAAGGTTGAAATTATATGAAATTGAAAGTTTCATTATAAGTTCAAAGGCAAGAAAAAAACAATGTAAACCTACTTCACTTTCGGTGGCCGCCACAACTCGGGCTGTGACAAAACCGACGAGCTCATCACACTTCTCACTCGACCTATTTGTGTCCACTGCTGCCCATGAAATAATACCATGACCATGGACAACGTTTGAAAAAAATTCCAACTCGTACCTGCCACGACGAGTTCATGCCCAGGGTTAGTATCTGATGGACTTTAATTTGATATCCGACTCACAATAAATTTTTAAACCTGACTGATTGCATTAAACATCAAGCAGCGGATGAGTATGATATGTATGCGCCTTCTAGTATGAATGTTCACATTCAAACGATAAGTAGCGAATCTGTGATTAAAATAGTATTCAATTACTTACTTTATGGGAAAGAGGGCCTCATGAACTTCTTGTAATATCTTCAAATCGGATGGACGGATGGGTCTGTATGCAATAGCTGGCGGATGAATGAAGGTTGTCACTTGTGGCGCTATAGTGGTGGGAACGAAACTGGGTCGCTCAGCTACTGAAGAGCCTGGCGCAGAGACCCCGCCACCAGCAACACTGAAGCCATGGCCACTACCACTGTGATGATGCAGCAACTGCTGCTGTATCTGGTAGTATTGGTGATGCATGTGATGTTGACCACTCCCCTGTGATCACCAACCCAGACATTTCACACACACAGTCCATGTAAGTTCACCACACCCTCCTACTTCAATCCTCGATTTTCCTCCAGCTTATCAGAACATGAGCACACAATTTGGGATGCGCATTTGACCTATGCAAACAAGCAGAAAGGCATTTGGTAGCAAATCGGATCAGAATTGTCACAAAAATGAGGTTTAAAAGTTCGACCCACTCTCTCGTACTAATGTTGAGGGCCAAGTAGAATGTAAGCTAAGGATTCGGTCGTTGGATTCGTAATCTGAGAACGGACAGCGAGAATGAAACTCGTAGGACTAGTTCCAATTTCATGGAGATGCCTTTAGATACAGAACTTCTCGAGTATTGTTGATTTCAGATTCAACAGGTCTAACGATTCCTCCTATTACAAAGCCCCTTTGACACAGAGAGCCACTACCAATCTCCTTGCAGCAAAAGTTAAGTACGATGCCAACAATTTGCCAATCTGTTGGACATCATGACGCACTAAACCCATGTGAGTGTCCCGTGAGGACTTCCGAGATGAACCAATTTTTAGCCAACATAGAATCCGGATTCTGATATTTGGCAGGCCCGTTGAGAAAGAATTCTATGAAGTACTGCTCCAAAAGCGATCTAATGTTTTACAGTGGGACGATTTTCCTAAAGTATTGTATGGTGTATCGAAAATGAAGAAATGACTTCAATTTGAAGATCGCGTGATAGGCGTCGAGGTAAAGTGCCATTCTTCTCACCGAATCGCTGCAATAAGAAGCGCCCGCACGATAAACCCCGGAAGCTGTGGAAATCGATCAGGTGGCAGCATTCCAGCGAATCTCAATATGATCTGGGTGGTCAATAGGCAAGGAAATCTGCAGAGGTACCTGGTATGATCCATCCATTAGCATCCATGGATTGCATGCATGCACCTGAAGGCTCTTCGACTTCTTCTTCGTCTTCGCTCACTGTGGCCCAGCCGAGGATCAATTTCCACCCACATCAGGCGACGGCAGAGGCATACTCAAACCGGTTGGCATGCTTTTTCTCGCAAATTTTTTCCAGACATGGGTTTCAGTCAGTCGGACAGTCGATCTTCAAAACGAATGTTACGACAAACCGGTGATGCGGCTGCACCTTTCTGCTGCTGCGGGATCTGCAATGTCCATCTTCCCCTTTTGCCTTTAACGCCTGCCTTTCAGCCATCAACCCAACCCCCCCACGAACATTTGGGCCTTCTTCCACGTCTACTCTGTCCTCGACGACATCTCCTCGACGAGCTCTAGGCAGGCCTACAATCTCTTCCCTCCGCTTGAATTATAGCGAAACCTGAGTCGCATTCCACTAGAATAGCGGCATCTCCAACTTCCCTGAACGGATAAATCCGGATATGTACAGGAAAGGTCACATACGGTTGACTTTGCATACATTCGCTCTCTCCTCCTCCGATCTCTAATTCCCGATTTGCTTAAATAAAATACACAGATTAGTCGCATGGGGATAAAGCGCCCCTCGTCGTGCTCGGTGGGCCTCAGGGCGAGAAATCTTGGTCCTTTGGTGCAGCAGGTGATGGTCGTGGAAGAGGAACTCGTCGACACTTGCTTTCATTTTCCGCGTTTTCCGCACCCGTCAAATTCATAAGGGTCCTAACCTCTTCTACCTGAAACCCTAGTCGAGGGAGGGATGCATCCACAATATGCGGATGGAAAAATAATAATTGCACATTGCTCCAATGGCTTATCTTCCGTATGCAGGCCCTTCCTTGTTCCTTCCTCGTGTTTGTTTGTAAGGACGCGTGTGCATGCATCGCTCGTCTCTCAGCTGAAGATCATACATACTTCATATCTTTGGAATCAAACAAGAGATGTTTGATTGGTGTTCGAAATTGGTGCAATGAGGAAAAGACGGACACAAACGGCTCAAGTGGATTGCACGAGTCTTAGCAACGAAAGTTTGTAGGCTTGCCAAGCGAAACTTGCATACACCGCTGCACTCGATCATGGGAATTACACTCTCCCTCCATAAGTTGAGTCGAGTGTATTTCAACCGTGAAGCTGGAATTAATTCGTGAACGAACTTGACTCTATTCTCTCGCCCACCCATTCTACTCTACCCTGCGAAGATGAGCCCTCAACATGATCGACCGGCTCTTCAGAAGCATCTTACGGGACCGCTAGACCTTTGTTTGTGACCACGATTGTGGACTCATCGGCTGCTGCTGCTGCTGCTGCAGCAGGCATACCAGACCATACCAAGTGTGACGGATCAGGACGCCGAGATCGACGTGTGGAGACAACAAAAATTCTTTCGCTCTCGTGATTTGTTCCGCTGGCATGAAGGGAATCTTCGCGGCATGGCATGCTAGATAGATGATCTGCACTCGTGAGCTCAGGAGCACTGCCATCCGTCCTCCTCATGGCGTGGGGCAGTAACGATCAGGGCGAGTAGAACCCAGGTTCAAGTAATTAATTGGTCAACTCTGTGCAGTGACTTCTCGTCCAAGTTTTTCACAGACACTACAGTTCAGTAAAACGGGGGAGGGGAGGAGAGGGGACGGGCCCTGGATGCGGTACATGGTGTCGCCTAGCCCGTGGGTTTCTTGAGGAATATGCCGCACCCGGCCTTGCAGGTGAAGCTGGCTGGCTGTCAGTGAGCCAAGGCCTCGGACTGTACAACAATCCCGATTCTGGTGTTTGCGGATCTTCGTTCAGTTCCTCGATAGAGCCTTCTGCTTGCTCAGAGCGTTCACTTCAGATCGAGCAACGAACAGTTGTCGTTCACATTCTTCCGATCCGTCGAGCTTCCGAGTCGTCTAGGTCGGTTTTCGGACCTGGGATCTCAAACAGGTGTTCCTTGAATTGGTGTGTCATGTGCGGCCTGATCACACCCTTGTCGAAACTGGCGAGTGCTTCAGCTGCAGTTGTTGGTGTGCACGTTCTAGAGGAGGAGGAGGAGACGGGCGCAAATTCATGCACAGCGCAGCTCCGGAAAATCAAAGAAGCTGCTGAAGGTACGTTCTTCCCGGAGAGGCTGCTTCGGAGAGCTGGAGCTGGTCGGCGGAGAACTTGGGTTTTCACTTTTGCAAGCTCTCCGTCAAATCCTTCGGGAGTCGCATGGCTGCTCAGGCGATCCACGATTGACTGTAGTGTCGAGGGTCTTCGTTGCTCTATCTCGTGGACGTGAGCTCAAGTGTCCGACGCGCCTCCCTCCTGTTGACTTCTCTTGGGCGTTGGTTGTCGTACGAGCGTCTAGTTGTGCATGTGGGCGAGTGAGTGAGGATTTAGAAGTTGTATAGAACCTCTCACGATTACCGAATTCCCTCGATGCCCACTCGTGCAATTTGTAATGCTGTGAAATTAATCCTACCTTCTATCGACGAGAAAGGCTTAAGGTTGTCAAGGCGAGCACGCTTCTTGTTTTCAATTTGAGAGGTCTTCTGCTCACGCCCGAAGACGAACCTGTGAGCTTCCTGTTTCTGACGTCACCGTCCTTTGTTGCACAGCGTGCCTTTGGTTGTGTGCGTGAAATTTGGAGCAAAACTTCTGCAAAGACCAGGCGGCGACGGAAATCTGAAATTCATGTCAGCATTATCTCGCTGGCTCGTCACCGTGAGGCTCTCGTGAGATGGCGGCTACGACAGCAGAGGCAGTGGGCGCAGACAGAGACAGGCACGATGGCAAGTTCTGGAAGGTCCCCTTACCACCGAGGCACATTCACTTCGTCAGCTCTGCAGATTCAGAAGAGTTGCATCTTCTGTTTTGGGCGCTCAGAAACGCCACAGTGGTGGCCATGGATGCCGAATGGAAGCCCGTGTACAACAAAAGTGCCAATGCCGGCTCTCCCCGAGTCTCCATCCTGCAAATCGCTTGTCGTCTGACAGACGAAGTATTTGAACGTCAATTGAAGGCGGACAAAGGAGAGAAGGCTAGCAACAGCCGTGTAGATCAGGAACGCAGAGACAGAAACCTCGCCTCGGCTTCGAGTCCGAGTCTGAGTCGGAGTCCGGTTGAGAATGGAGCTGCAGGCACCGGGTCATGTGACTCAGTTGTGCTCAGAGGGGGGCCGAGGGAGCAAGCAGGAAATGGATCCAGTCATGTGAGGAAAAGCAAATCTGGAGAAGGCGACAGCTTCTCATATCTCAGGGGTAGGAGGATTTTTCTAGAGCGGATTGCGTATGGGGTCGAGAGGCCCAGGCCAGAGGTTATTTTCATTTTGGACTTGTTAGCTGTCCCTGCATCTGCGTTCGGGAAGGTTCTCAAGGATGTTATGGTCGACCCGACGGTTCTCAAGCTCGGGTTCGGTTTCAAGCAGGATCTGATAAACCTGCGATCTACGTTTCCCGGTCCAGACTCCCACTGCTGTTTTGATAAGGTGTTAATATCTAGAATTGTGGTGTAATAGTCTCTTGAAACGTTTTGCCCGAGCTTTTGTTTTCTGTTATGAACTCCTTCAGGATCTCCTGATTCATGCATGCCAGTGGCAATTAGGCACTTACACACAATTTAATCTTCTCTTTTCTTTATATGCTCTCATAGTGTCACCGAGATAGAGATTGCGCTGACCAAACAGTGGTACGTGCATTCCTTAGTGATTAAGCTATGCTCTTACTGCGATTGGGTACCTCTTTCCATCTCTGAGCTCAGTGGATGTCATTGGTTTATAGTTCCCAATGGAGATGAGTTCATTTGCTCCATATCTACGCCGTTTTGTGGCAGGTGGACCCCTACTTGGACGTTGGAAAGCTTCACAGACATCTGCACGAAAACTCCTCATCCTTTATGCACCGAGGGAAGAAGATTGTAGTCGGAGGAGATGGATTGGCCTCTATAGCTGAAGCAGTTTTGGGGCTGCCACTAAGCAAGGTTCGGTTCGAGCTGTTGGTAGATTACAACTTGCTGCGTGCATGTGCAACTGCAGTCCATGTTATTTCGGTTCTCATGTAATGACCGCGAGTACACTGGCTGGCCATGCAGGACATGCAATGCAGTAATTGGGAGCAAAGACCTCTATCGGAACAACAGTACGATTATGCCGCTGCTGATGCTTATTGTCTCATCGCCATTTTTGATGCACTTCAAGTGAAGGCTTCAGACTCGTGGTTTTCCCCGATCGAGCCAGGTTGGACCTCAGATTCTTATCGCACAACTCTTGGTCCTTGATGCCAGATATTTTGGCTCATAAGCTACTATCATCCGGAGCCCACAAATGCAACACTTGAACTTTTGTCGCGTGCTTTTATCGCAAACTGAGCTGCCTCTACTTACATGTCTCGACTTACAGTCCGACGTGTCCATGTCTTGTAATGTCGTCATTCGATGGATCTTAGCAGAAGATGATGAGGTCGCTGAGGAGAGCCAGTCAAAAGTCGGAGTTGCAGAGTTACTCTGTCCTCCAGGTGCACTTATCGTTAACAGCCATGGAGGCTCTGCCAGTATTTGCCAACCTAAAAGGGGCAATGCAGCAAGTATGGTGGAAGCTGCGTTGTTATCCAGCTCAAGAAATGAACCGGGAGGCTACAAGAAGTCGGGTCCTTTTCCAGGGGAGAGTAAGATCTTGAATATAGAAAAACTTACGAAAAGGTTTGGCGAGAAACTAATAATCACTGGACGTGAAAGTTCTTCAAGTAAGCGTGTGAGGAGGAAATCCAGAAGTTGTAGGGCCCGAGAGCATGGGAAGGGAAAGGATCTGCAGGATGAGGCGGATGTGCAATGGGTCGGACCACCACCATGGGATAGATCAATCGGTGGCGACGGAGTACCCAAGTTTCTCTGCGACGCTATGGTGAGTCCAGGTTTGAAACATGCCTTCATTTGAATGAGGAGAGTCTTTTGGCGGATTTGCTCATTCCAAGAAAGAACTCATAGTCACATTGAGTGGTCTGTCAGGTTGAAGGCTTGGCGAGGCAGCTTCGCTGCGTGGGCATAGATGCAGCGTCTCCAAATTCAAGGAAATGCGAACCAAGGTTCATTGCTACTCAATCATCTGGTTTCTTGTAGTCAGAAAACGACGTAATTTGTGCTTCTCTCCCAAGATTGTCGCTAGCACCCTAGAAAGGGCACATGTGTCTCCTCATTCTTCCAGATTTTGCCTCGGAAAGTTGTTACTCTCTTCTTCTGCATCTGACTAGTATCTCTTGCACAAAATATTTTACTCCAGAGAATTGGTAGATATAGCTGAGAAAGAAGGGCGGATTCTCTTGACTCGTGATGCTAAGCTTCTTCGACGCCGGCTTGTTCCTGCAAGTTTAGCCTACAGGGTCAGAAGGCAAGGAAAGTGGGACCAATTGGCAGAGGTGCGAATGCCTTTTATTCCTTGAACTCAGGCGGTCCCAGACAACTAGGAAAGCTTAGTTTGTTAGAAGCTACTAGATATTTTCGTCTTACCCGGTGCACTTTGAGTACAGTTTGTTAACCCAATATGATAGATTCGTCCTTACCTTCCAAGTTTTCTCTCTTCTTGGTCATTATTTGCTATAAATGTGTAGTCCTTACGTTGGGCTTATTCGTGTCCAAAAAGCCCAGTCTGCAGACATATCCTCGAATTTTGGGTAGAATAGAACCTCATTACATAGATCACTATTTGTCAACGTCTAAATTCGAACATTCACTGAGTTTCTTGTAGCTAAAACGAACGCCATTTTCGATGTAAATCTAAGCAGGTAATCGAGATCTTCAAGTTGTCGATAAGCGAAGAGCAACTATTGACAAGATGCACAAAGTGTAACGGAGACTTTATTCCTAAAGCATTAACTGGAGAAGAAGCGGTCGCTCAAGCTCCTTGGAGTCAGGTTATTCCTGCCTGTGCACTATCAAACGTGGACGAGTTTTGGCAGTGCGCTGTGTGTAAGCACGTTTACTGGCAGGTACATGCAACGTGGGAAGAGAACTTCCGCCGAAATGTTTTACCGGTGTGAAGTGAATTGTAAATACGTGTAGTTGTAAAATATGTATGTTGACTGGAGTTATGAATGAAATATATTCTCTTTCTTCGTGCAAAACAATTTGTGTCAGTTGTGCTGTGCTTTCATATTGTTTAACTCGGACATCCGGAACTGACAGAAAGTTATATGGGAACGTTAGGAGTGCTAAAAGATTTTGTGGTTGATGAAATGTAACCAGGTGAGGGACGTTAAGGGCTAGTTAGGTTGCACTTATTTCATTAGTGAATTTGGTGTAGCGGTATTTGTTTTGTCGTATCTTCGAACACTCTAGATTTCTGCACTGGGTTCTTTTAAGTCCACATACATACTAAGCTACAAATATCCTTCACTGTTGACTGGCCTGATCCTTTTTATAAGTCAAAGCTTGATCCAAGGTAGCTGCTTAAGAACAGGCTTGTTCACTAAGACTGCAACGGTTGGTGAATCATAGGAAGTATCTTTCCTTTGAAAACATTGCCTGGAAAAAGTCGGTTCATGGATGTGAAAATTGAATGGTTTGAGGATGGTTTTGTCAAATACAAATGGTCTCGTGTGTTTTATACAAACCCTCGATAGTATTCTTGATCAAACGCAAGGATCAAACCTTCATGCTGTGATTTCAATATTTTGTTGTGATGAGTTCTTGCAATATATGAGTTTTTATTTTATCGAAAAACAAGGTACTTTTCTGACTGTAGATATCATAATGTTCGAACACAGGCATTGCTTTACCCATAACCCACCGTCCAATTCTCACAAATTCATCGTTTATTAGTGTGGTTGAGTTGTCCCACTGCTTGCACACCACGTTCTATTAGATCTATAGTTCCAATCAATTCTCACCGAAAGAGTATCAAGAGACATTATATCTATAGCTGCTGGAGGACTCCCGATATTGATGGTATAGAAAAAGGAATACCTTGGTTTTTTATTATGGAGGTTAGCGTCATGTATATCGTATCCAGTTCTTGATCTTAGGATGTAGTACCTCTCGTCAACCACTGGGGCTGGAAATCCGGAATTTGAGTATGTAGACTGCGTAAACTTCATGTGTAGAAGTTGGCTGGAAGCTCACAGATAAAGCTCTTCACTTGTAACGCTTTCAATAGGTCACATTTGAAAACTGTTACTCGAGAGCAATCTTCCTGAAGGCCATTTTCTCTACATTGGAAGATCGACGAATCTTTTATGAACTTCTTCATATACACGTTTGCTCGTAGGAACGCAAGATTAATTGTGTTTGCAATATAGAAAAGTCAGATCACCTGGAAGATCTGACTATGTGTTACCAGTAATCTTTAGACAACCCTTAATAGAGTAGGAAAACATGCCTTGAGCTAAAGTCTTCGAAGGCGAATGGGTCTGTGAGAAAATTTGGGTGGATATTTCATTTGAGAGATCAAGAAACTGCGTAATCAGAGAGAGGACATGTGATATGTGTACTGTTAACTGGACTATTGATTGTCTGCTGTCATTTCCAATTCATGTTTTACATGGGAGGCCTAGTGTACTTGAAACATGCAGAGCTTCCAAGCCCGATGACAAAATGTTCTAGTCTACTGGTTTTAGGGAGTTACTGAGTGGAACACTGGATGTAGGTGAGGGGAGTTGAAGAAATTTCATGTATATATTTTGGGGAGTGCTTCATTTATATAGAAACGAAGTAGGCCAAGCCAAATGTAAAAGTGGAATATTCGACATAATTCGAAACAATTGAATGCGTTGCATAATGTTGAGGACTTCCTGTCATGAGGTGGTTATGGAGTTCGAGACCAGATTGAATGTGACGTAGACAGGCTGAAAGAGATCAAAATCTGGGGGATTTATCCATGTAATGGGTAACTAAGGATTCTTCAAGTTGATTTTCGGTAGGATACAATGGATGAATCTTTTATGCTAGTGGAGAAGATAATGTAAAGTGCTTCATCTGCTGCAGGGTTATCAATTCACTCGTGCATACAAGCAATTTGCAGCAGTATGTCAAACAGACAGCTCGGTAGCCCAAGAGTGACGTGATCCAGCTCAATATGATGCGCTGTAATGAGGTGGATCTTGCCGGCACCCTCCCATGCAGGTTTTGACACTGTGCCGTGGTTTTGAGGATTACTGAATGGAGATAGACGGCGTTTTTGGAGAGAAACACTGAGATCAAGTGAAATTTCGAGAATTGGACATTATCTGCACATGCAGCTCACGGTGTCTGGATCGGTAGTTACTTCAACCATTTTAATTGCAGACAGGAATTCTCATTTAAAACCTTCAAAATGTAATCTGGGTTTGTGGTTAATGCCATGTGAACCCAACATAATGTACAGAATGTCACACCAAGACTTCTTTTGCATCTTTCCAGTCACGATGCCACATATGTGTAAATTATGCGAAGTTGAATACCCTTGAATCCTTGCATTGCATGTCAACTGTGTATGTTGATGGGTTTTTATCCACATTATAATATCAGTGTCAGAGAAGCTTCCCCAGAGGCAGTCAAGGAAAGGTCTGAGCAAGCGGAATACAATTGTCTACATGCCGAGTTGAAGGAATCAACAGTGAAAGACCAACAATTATCAAAAAATGTTGATGAATCTCAGCGTATGAGAGCCGTTCCAGTCATGTTGCTCTGAAAAGTCCTCCAAAGCACAGCGCTAGACAACGAGCGTGGTCCAGAGCGGAGATCTAGACCGAGTGAGATAAGTTTGGTAAATATGACACAAGGCGACCGTTATTAAATGATATTCATCTCATCATGGGCTCGATCTCTCACCCAGCTGTGGAGAAAATGAACGTGTTGACAATTAAACCCTCACTCGAACCCACGTGGAACGTGACAGAAAACCATGCCCCCGGCAGCTGACTGACTGTCTGCTGAAGCCTCGAGTGCGAAAGGGCAGCAGATTTATTTATTATTATTTCATCACAAGAATTCAACTTGCCGTTCCAGCAGCCGTCGTTGGGACTGCTGGAAGAAACCCTGGGCAGCGCACAAAGCGAATCCTTGAAAATGCGTGCGAAACTGCATGTTCCTCATCCTGGTGATCGTAGAGACAGGAGTAGTTCATACGATGCCCAAGTCACGCGAGAGTATCGTTGAAGTCAGGCGGCAACACCGCTGAAATCCTCAAACGAGGGTAGATCTACACAGAGTCGACACACCTTCTCCCGAGCATATATTACAGAAGCAGCTTTCCAGCTGCGAATCACTCGGTCAACCATTGTGATCATTACTTCCACAAGAACTTTCACTTTTCGGTGCTTTTCTCTCAACCCGCAATGACTCGTGTCGTGGGAGTTTTACTTCATTTATGAGAGTGCGATGATCACCTTCCTCGTGTTGCTGTACTCGCTCATTCGTCTCCCATGGCTGTACATTTATGTGCCCATGTAATCAGTTGACTTTCCGCTGAGGGAACGTCCATGTTCTCCAGGAAGAGCCTTCAAGGCTCGAAACTTATTGCGATATACGAGGCATTCCATGTCACTCATGTTTAGGTGCGTGTGCATGATCGCGCATTTACTTCGCTGCCGGAGGCAACACATAAACTCCCCGAAACGTACACTGCGTGCCCGTTCCTTCAGCCCACCACATTCCAAAACCGAATGGGTTTGGTGGTGCTGCGAGCCGTGCGAGTGGTCGAGGCCATCGGTGCACATGCACCATATCCACACACGGTCATGAGTCGGTCTGAGGTGGGCGCAGGATTGCGGTGCCCGAACTCACCTGAAACGAGCATGCGAAAGTCGTTTCCTTTTGCCTGCCACGGAATAAAGCTCTCCGTTCCTCGAGAAATCGGAAAGTAGAGGGATGGTCGACAACCCCGGGGACCATTCCTTTCCTGGATAAGTAAGGAAGTTTTGATCCGGTTCATGGTGTCATGATCGCCCAGGGAATAGACAGACGGACGGACTTACGTGCCTTCAATGCCGTGGAGTGAGAGAGTGTGCAATCAGTGGCTCCAGCTACCGGGGATGACACGAATTGGCAGATCACATCGATCGTTCGATGGGGCGTTTGGAGCTGAATTACTCATGTCACTGGAATGTCACGAGGAAGGCGGAGGGAGGAGCATGGGGACTGGAACTGAGATTGAGATTGAGATTGAGCTTGAGCTCATGAAGCAGAGGCTGGCTTCCAGGCACCGGACTCATGGAAAGGACAGCTCGTAAGATTTGAACCGTGGGGGCGTAAAGTCGGTCGATTCTGAAATTTACAGACTGACGAGAAACGGTATGCGAGTTGGGTAACAAGTTAACAACTTTCCTGTCTCGAAAAGTGGTCCCCACATGTAGTGGGACGTGTCACATAGCATAGCCTGATGATAGTGGTACTTTGATTACCGAGAGGTTCAATCAGACTCGTCTACAGCTGTTTGTTGAAGGCCCTGTCCTTGGCTCGGGGCTCGGCTTGATGCTCGCACAAGTACCTGGTACCAAAACTCGGCCAAGAGCGTGCACTGGCCAGTGAATCTCACGAAGCAGACAGAGACAGGGAGGCAAGCGAAGACAGTGAAGTTCGAAACACCGTTGTTGGGTGTGGCACCTGTATCCCAAGCCCACCGAAAGCGACCAAGCTTGCCGAGGCCTTGCTTTTCTACGCGACGACCTAATCTGTTGTACGCCCTTGGCCATATTCAGAAATGTTCGGATCATGGCAAAAGATAAAGTAATGTTACTCGTACAGAATCAAGTAAATGGGTCCTTCAAGCTTATCTGGACCGAATCTTACGAGCATTTCGTGAGCCTGAGACGCTGCCTTGCCTCATGGTCCACGTTCCCGGTTCAAAAACATTGTAGTAAAGGTAATGATTGCTGATTATGTGTGCTGACATGCGATCAAATTATAGTGAAGACAAAGGGCAGATGTGTGATATGGCTTGCACAAGCCGGGATCGAAGGACTGTACTTGAATCCCTCCCTCCCTCCGTCCTACAGCCCCCGAGTAGGCAATCGCCTTGTCCATGATATTTCCCATTAGCATCTTAAAATGGACCTCTAAGAGAAGTTGTTGTTGTTGTTGTTGTTGTGGTTGCAGCAGCTGCTGCTGCTGCTGCCCAATGCCCTCGGATCACGTTCAAGAGTCCACATTTTGGTGCGCACACGTCGGACATGGAGAATCCTTGCAATTGTACTTTCAGTGCGTGCGTAGGGAAGTTACATGTGTGTGCCGGGGGACTGGTCCGGACTCCACAGGGCACAGCAGCAGTGAGCGACTCCACGTTGCAGCTGAGCTGAGGTCCGAGGCTCCCAGCAGACAAGACAGTAAGTAAGTATGTGAGGGAGGAAGGGAGGAAGGATGGATGGATGTGAGATATGAGGCCCGGAGAAGAAACACAACCGAGGACTTGAAGACTTGAAGAAGAAGAAGAAGAAGAAGAAGGTGTGGAAAGTTCCAATGTCTTGTAGGACGACAAATGGTATGACAACCGAAGAGGTCAAAGCTGGGCGATGGAAGAAAAGGATCTTTTCCACTGACCTCGCAGCAAAGTTGCCTTGCTTTCAATTGTACATGGTCTTCTTCTGTCGTGGACGGCCTCTTGAAGGCTCGAACCTTGGAAATTTGAACTTTGGAGTTCAGGATCGTACTTTTCTCATCTTGAATCAATTGACTGAGTGCACCTTCCCTATTTATAGACAGACGTCTTTTCAATCACTGAGACCTTTTACTTGAAGGGCTCGGAAGGAGGTGCATGAGTGAGGAGCACGCTGAGAACACAGCAGCAGCTCCAAGTTGAATATGGAGGAGGAGGAGGGCTACGACCGGCATGGCACTAATGCCATGCCGGTCGTAGCCCTTTCCCTCACCGTGACCGAGTCAGAAGCTTTCCGATTGCCTTCCATCTAGAGTTCGCGAGTCAACAACGTAGACCGGTTTGAGATCTGAGATTTGTCATCGCAGACGTGAGAAATCCGTTCACCTGAGACTTGACTCGAGAATCATAAACGCTGCGCGAGAACTTGAACCTCATTGACTGCTAAAGAGGTCCAGGCCAGCTCAGTCAGATCTTGCGGCTTGATTGTCTGTGCCAGGGACAAGTTTCCGCCCTCCCTTCCGATCTGTGCCCACTTACCTGCCCTTGCTTGCTTTCGGTATGCCGATTGTGGGCTGAGTGGAGTACGACCTTCCACCTGTATCACTCAAGCTCCTTAATTTCCATTCTGAAGATTACATTTGACAAGCTCAGCCTGCTCCTGCTCCTCCTGCTCCTCCTCCTCCTCCATATTCAACTTGGAGCTGCTGCTGTGTTCTCAGCGTGCTCCTCACTCATGCACCTCCTTCCGAGCCCTTCAAGTAAAAGGTCTCAGTGATTGAAAAGACGTCTGTCTATAAATAGGGAAGGTGCACTCAGTCAATTGATTCAAGTCTAAGACTCGCAAGCTCAGGTCCTCCAGATCCGTACAGACCAAACTTGCCTTCTCTCGACAATTGACTTGTGTCCTTGAACGGAGCATGTTAAACAATATTATCGAGTCGTATGATATTTGTCTCCTCCAACTGTGATTCCCACGGCTCCATATATTATATGCCATAACAAACCGAGTCGAGGGTAGTTTCACCGGAGCCAAGTTGTTGATATGGCTCTGATTCACTAAAATAGTGCCCCAGCATCTTTTGCATTCCGCCTACGAATTGGGTCCATGGAAGCAAAGAGTGCTGCGCTCCGTTCCGGCCGGCCGGCCAGCAAGCCAGCCAGCCAGCCAGTGGGAGGACGAAGCTCCGGACACTCATGGGCCTTCAAATTGGCCAAGCTCTCATCACTATGCTGCATTTCATGCAGTACGATACGAATTATGGGGATTAGTCCCGACAAAGTAAGACAAAGTTCCAAATCTATCATGACTGTGCTTTACTTGCAGCTTTTCCGATTAACAGATGTTAGATAAAGCGGGCACAACATCTACTCTTAGGCGCGTCGAATGATATCTTAATTGGCAGCTTTATATTCAGCCGTTTGATGATTAGCATCCTTTTGGCCAGTATAAACGCCTTAATTTATTCGAATAACAATATCTGAAAAAGAAGTACATCTCTTATACGATCTGGTGATGTCCCTACCTCAGCGTGACTGCTCTCTCTCTCTCTCTCTTTCTTTCTTTACCATCGAGTATCTTGGATCTTAAATACGAGGTACTGATGGCTTTGTGCAAAGATGAAGGAGAGGAGTACGCCGCTAGCTAAATGGTCCCAGACGCAGCCGTCGAGGACCAAGCATGAGTCGAGCAGGGCCCGAGCATTGAGGTTAGCCGGACAGGAGAATCTTTGGAGCAGAATCTTACGCTGCTGCAAGGGGACTGTACGTCGCGGGCAAAAATTAGTGCGGACCTTCCATGTTTCGTATTTTATGATCGGCAGAGAAGCTGCTGCTGCTGCTTGCAAAAACTCTCAAAAGGTGCCGGGCTGACGCCTTCAGAATTTTGGTCCTGGCCTCCAGGCCATCCATGGACTGCGACACCTTTCCTTGTTCAAAAGTGGCTCTCTCAAGCTCGAAACATCTCGCTCTCGATTGAGAAAAAGAGAGAGAGAGAGAGAGAGAGAGAGAGAGAGAGATCTCAGAGGCCCAGAGCATCCAGCAGGGCTACAGTCTAAAGAGGATCATTCCTTGCAAGTGGTTTAGACAGAGGCTACACTACATCATCTCAGATCATCTCTGAGACCAAGCCGTCAGACGGCAGACCTGGCCTTTTAAGTGAGTGAGTGAGAGAGAGAGTGCGTATGGATGGATGGATGAGTGGATGGACGGACGGATAGACGGATAGACGGACGGCAGGCAGGCACTTCAAGACACCAAAAGGTATTATTCATGGCAAGAGCCATGAATACCTTTGGTCGAGGAAAAGGAGAATGTGCATGAGACCATCATCAGGAGCAGCAGAGCAGGAGCAGGAGCAGGAGCAGGAGGAGCAGCAGCTGCTGCTGCTGCTGCTGGTGATGATTCGGAAAACAATCAGAATATGATGTGCAACGGAAGGCATTTCATTTGAGGATGGTGGATCGGCATGTAGCAGGATTCATGACTGGTATACTTACTATACAATACAATACAATACAATCCTATCGCTCTCCACAAGTCACCAACCAACCAACCAACCAACCAACAACTAACTAGCCGATCAGCCGACCAACCAACCGAGCGAGCGAGCGAGCGAGCGAGCGAGAGCCCCTACGACTTAGAAACGTGAAAAAGCAAGTGCAACCCGCCTCCCCTCCCCTCCGGCTGCAGCAGGCAGGCAGGCAGGCAGGCCTTCGAGGTGATGCAAATGATCATCCATTCGTTCGTTCATATATTTCGTATGTGTGTTTGTTGTTGTGAGCCGCTTCACGAAGAGTGCATGCCGTATAGAGAGAGAAAGTCGCCATTGAAGATGAAAGAAGGCTCGATTGCAAATTTCAGAGTCTAGCTAACCAATACACACGCATATGAAACGCGTGAATTAGCCGCCTGTCGTAAAAAAGTAGTATCGCGAAAGCCTCTTTCGGGCTTCTTCCAGGCAGGGCGAGCAAATGATCGTCAGCAGCAGATTCTACATACAGGTTCATCGTCATAGGTAGAGAGAGAGGTACACAAGTCATCACGTGTTGATCTGGCCCAGAGTCCAGATAGGATGTGCAGAAGAGCCGAGGAGGCGGACGATGCGAACTACAGAGGGAAAGAATGAATCGCATCCCTGCCATGACATTCATGCCAATCTGGCCAGACTCCAGGCTCCAGGATTTCGACCTCCGGAGCTCAAAGTCTTAAAGCTTTCTGGACTTTGAACTACTCGACTTTTGGATTTGTCCTTTGAGGCTCTCAATACTGATACACCCACTCACGCTTGGCGAGCTCTAGGGGAAAGTAGAATAATGGTTGTTTATTGATCCGGTGGATTTGAATCTATTACTTTTTTATTCTGTTGGCAGGGAGAATAAGAAAGAAGGTGGCACGAACTTTTATACTGCTAACGCTTTGCCCTTGTATCTAGGGTGGAGGGGCACCTTGGCCACCATAGGCTCTTGGGCATGCCCTGCATGTGTACGGCATGAAGATAGTCTCTTACTAGCTCCTTCAAGTAATGATAAAATAACATGCTTCAGACACTGAATATATCTTCGCCATTTTCAATGAATGCTAAGGAACTTTACATGAAAGCTTTTGCTCTCGCCCCCTTTTTGCCAGCCATGTATGAAACAAACTTGAACTCGTTCGCGAGATTTACTAAACTTTACACAGACATTACTTGCCATCAATGTTCAACATTCTCCAGCTCATGCCTGAATATAAAAATTCCTCGAAAACCAGAGCATGGGTTTTTTCTCCTCAGAAAATGCAGTTCCTCTCTCTTCTCCCGAAGTGGCGGACGTCAAGTCATCGATTGGTTACCTTCGAAGTTTCCCATTGGCGACCTTAATGCCGGACTACCTCGACTTATATATATATGCACACCCACTGTTCGCCATGGTCGCTCACATTAAGTAAACGTGGGCAGGAATTGTATATTAAAGTTACAGGGACCGAGTCTTACACCGTTAGTACCACAAATCCTGCCCAACCCCTGTCCTTGGGAAGCCTGAATCTTGCGCCGGAAGGAGGAGGCCATACAACCGACGTCTGGGACGAGGGCTTGGAGCCTTCAATATTTCGCGGAGCCTTAAGTGTGCATAAGCTGGCTTCAGACATGCATGCTGTCATGTAAGAGCATTCAATATGCATCTGGGCTCACTGCTCTTGCAGAGCATCGGTCTTATCCAGAATCCAGATCAGCGATTAATATGTGCAAATAATTATGAAGTAACACTGCTGGTTTGCAAGTGAATTAGCTTTCGTCGAGTGGTTTACTGATATTGTGGGATACTGTATGGCGAAGCAAGCATTCATTTATTTATGGAAGCAAGATTACGCAATCGCTGTTGGCAGTGAAGTCAACTTGTTGAATGAGTTTGTACGGAAAACACTTGAATAATCAGTATTAAAAAAGAGAAGGGCGGATATAAAAAGGAAAAGACAAAGTTAATCAGTCTTGTTTTGTCAGCTACTTCATTTACTGTTGTTTCTCACAGCTGCGCAGCGAGTGGCATGCTTTACCTCCAGCACTATTGAATTTGGGTGGAATCCTCCGCATCGACTGCAGATTTCTTCAGCGCCGTGTTAAGAGATGAGACGAGATCTTCGGGTCCAGGTTCCAGGTTTCCGGATCTCATAAGTGCTCAATGATTTCCACCGAAGGATGTAAGATCCTCCATTTGTTTATTTATACATACATGCACATTCATGGTTTGCATCAAGTCTGAGTGTTCCATGCTGACTGACACCCCGAGACCTTACGATTACCGAGTCGTGGCACTACCACACTGTGACCCGAGTGCCCTCCATTTGCTAACTCGAACACCCTTCAGTAATTAGATGTGGCACTCATGTATCCACGCTCTGCTTTCGGTTGTGGCGGTATCAGAACGTACAGGCCATAATACCTCTCACCTCTCACTCACTCTTCAAATATATATATATATATGTGGTACCTCCATATCCAAGGGGTCGACGACGACCTGAAAAGACATTCATACACCTTCTTCTTGCTCCTCCTCCTCCTCCTCCTCCTCCGCCTGCTCCTGGGGAAAATGCGGACACTTTGCACAACGGATGAAAAGAGAGAATCGATGTTGGCGATGGCGGAGGAGCATACAGGAGAGGTGTATTCGGCGCGGTGGCAAACGGCCAATGACTTGTGTGGGGAGAAAGGGCTTGTTCGCACATGAGGTCATGATTGCTGAATATTTGAGAGGCATATTGGGCACGCTGTCACATGTGAGGCGTTCGTTGATCTGTCTGATCCCCGAGGAGGCCGGAGGAGTTACGTCAAGGGGGCCATGTTTTTTCGATTATTGTTCTCGGGATGGAATTAGAGGGTGATCGTCACGTCAAGGTTGCATGGTCTTAAAGGAAGTTTTATAATCATGAGCTCTTACATACATCTACACCATTTTTCGGTCTCGATTCTCGGGGAAGAGCCACACCTTAATGGTGCTGCATGATGTGGTCGAGATAAACCCAGCACACGTGAGACTCTTTCTTCCCAAGCACCTAATCGGAGAATGCAGTGTTTTCGAGGTGCAACGCAGCAAAGCGTTCTGGAAATAACTCCCCCCCCCCCCCCACTTTCAGTAAGGTTCCACAAAGTCGTCTTCTTACCTCGAACAATGCTCGTGCTGCAGAGAGTTTACATTTTTCAACGAGAGCATGAGAGTCAATGACAGGCACATCCGTCCTCCTCCTCCGCCAAAGCCCACTGCAGTCTCAGTTACGGCACCTCGACTGATCACCTCCGACAGAATCAGCTCCCTGAAGCATCAAACGAACTCGCTGAATTAAACGACTGCACAGAAGTAAGCATGTGATTTCATGGTGCTTATACGTGCAGCATTAACATACGTGTAAGGCAATTTTCTTCTTGATTTTTTCATGAAAATTACAACAAGGAAACGATAGTTAAATCTGATTAAATCCTATCTTCTTTGTGATTTGTTTCCACTGGAATGTACAAGATGGCGAATGAAAGACTCTGGTACAGTCCAGACTAACACAAGCCCAATTTTTGGTTTTTCTCCGTACAAGGTTGTTACTAACTCAAGCACTATACGTTAGATGATATATTTTAAAGTGTGGACCTCATGAGTAAGTATCCCCATTAATTTGTCGAAGTGTGGTATGGTTGCGAGCTGAGGCTTCTCACAGTGTCCAACAGCGTCTCTTCAGTATGCGAAACGAAAGGACGAGGCTTGGGCCCGTGGCTTGTTATTATTATGTTGTGATTTACTGCCATGCTCATAGGAACTCGACTTGGACTACGCATTTGTTGTTCATAAGGCTTTCATGAGTCCAGGGGCCAGTTCTGCCTCTGCATTCAAACCATGAGCATTTGATTTACAAAGTATGCCAAAAGCCATGCACATAGGAATCACATATACTGTGCGTATAGCCCCCTCGAGTCGAACTGTATGAAACCCAACAGTTGCATGGTGAAAGTTCACAACATCATCAATTACATTATCGTAAATATATTGCATCTGATGCAATTAAATCATATAAAATGACTAAAAAAAAAATGGGCTTCGCATATTATTGTCAATACTGCCTGTAATGTTATCGATTATAAGTTTAAATATTGAAATGCTTCGACCTTATCCTTGGAAACTTCTCCAAAACATGTTGAAATCTCGATTCATTGTTCCATAATACGTCAAATCTATAATATATTTAATATAAATCTTAAATAATTTAAGATTCAATGTTTTTACTATATCTCATTTATTTCACAAAATAATTGGGTAGAGTGTATAGTAAAAACTTAAAACATGTGTTGGAATGTAAGTAAACATTTCGCATTCAAATTGATAAAGATCATAAGTGTATTTGGCATTTGAGTTCAAATAGAAGATTAGAAGATATATTTTCTAATTCAATGAAATATTTATATAAAACTGATAAAAAAAACGATCAAGAAGTAGGTTCAATGTTTATGTAAAAAGATGCAATCTTTGAGCTCTAAGTGTAAATAAACTTCAATAATTATACATACTTTGCTCAAGTTTTAAAAATAGATTCTTTCATATAATTATAAGAATTTTCATTATAAATCAAATTTTTTAAATTAATATCTGAATATCATATTTGATTATGTACAATGCATCGAAATTTTATGTGTACCTTTATCAAATACAACCTATAGCTCAAAAATTTTATAATTACAATTTGAAATTTTATTACAATGAAAACATGTATATGAATTCTACTATTTAGATGAAAGCATTCAAAATGTGTTAAATTATTTTTTTACATTTAGGTTATATAATGATATTTGAAGTTGAAACTCCAAATATATTAGCATTCCAAGACATCAATTACAATAACGTATTCTTATCAGATATTATTTAAGAAATCTTTCAGCAAAGCTAACCTTGCAATAATATTGCCTGTATTTTTTATTCTGAAAGATTTTAGAGAAATTCAAAATTCAAGTACATCATTTTGAATTTTAACAATCAAGAGTGCTAAATACAGTAAGGATAATAGATTGTAAAGTTTTACTTTGCAATGAGGTCTCTTGGAGATAAAATGGTAAATTGAATTTCTTTTGGAAATCTCTCGACAAGCTGTGAGCAAATTATGTTCATGATAGAATCATAATTGCATCGACCTGCATTGTCAATTAGACTTAACGAAAGCAGTGGGCACTTATAGGTACTTAAAGAAGGAGTTTATGATCATCATCGTCGGAACCAGCTTTTTATTTCTTTTTAGTGGTCATACACTCTCAATCATAGTCATTCATCTTAATCACTTCAGTTTATCAATATATATCATACTTAAGCACTGAAAGTAAAAGTTTAGGATATTTAATTGCGAACATACTCAATACTATCGATTTTGAACTTCATTGTATCATGGGACCGCATAACTTCCACTTCGAACCAAGGCAATCATTGTGATCCATCATTCGACCATGAATTACATTTTACATTGAGATTGAAGTATTGTCATTATTTTGAACAATTGGTGTTTCACAAGGATGTGCTACAAAAACCGAGAAAGCTAAGAGACACCTGAGCAATGCAAGATGATAACATGGTAACACTAGGCCACCACAGAAACTTTGATGAACTGTTCTCATATAGATAGTGGAGGCATTACTGAGGCCACTTGACCATCACTCGACTCCACGTGTAACTTCAATTTAACTTAAGGGCTAAGTTTAAACAAATTGCAATATCTCGGTCAACTTTTGCACGCACAACCAGGTCGACTAAAGGAATCTTGATCACCACTACCAAAGTGGAGTATAAAATTTTGATGCACGTTCAGTGATTCTATATATGTCATGTTGTTTAGATATGGCTAAATTTTGAAGTATAACTTGACTGTAAGTTTAAGTTTAATATGAGAAGAAAAATAATGGAAAAATTAAGGTAAAAAATCTTTGACTATCACGCAAGTAAGATAACCTGATCTCTTGATATGAAAATTTATTGACTACAGAAGAAATAATATTTAAAATACCTCTACAAGAGTGAACTGTTGCGTGAATTTCACTCTCTGATCCTATTGTAAAATGATTGCGTCATTATCGAAAGATTAATGTTCAAGGTTAGAACAGCGTAATACCAGACTTCAACTTCACGTTTTCAATTTCAACGGTACGATTGACTTGCCTCGGTTACAGACATTGAGTAATGCTAAGATTTCCTTTGCACAATATAAGTATTAGAATGTGCAAGGTTAGAGTAATCTGATAAAACAGAAATTTTTGGAACGTAGACTTCACGTTTCGAGATTGAACTGTTGAATTGATTTGCCTTGGTAATGTACGTTAATCAACTCCACTTTATATTCAAAAGTAAATAAAGTGGAGTTTATCTAACCTTTCAAGAAAATCGAAACAGCCTAACTAACTTCAAAAAATAAATTTGACCATGACGGAAAGTTATAGATATGAAAATAATTACTCAAAGCAATCAACACTTCCACAGTGCTCTCGAGTGTTAAAAAGAATACGAGAATAGATTTTGTAAACAATTGTAATGGTTACGCATTCAACTCAAATGTGTAATGTCATGTATGAGACAATTTGTACAGAGCAATACGGGAAGCATACAAATGTGGTGAATTATATGGTAGTCGTATATTTATTATATTCTTCTAGGCGGAAGCGAAGGGCAATAATCGCAGGCGGACTTAGGAGTAGAGTAGAGAGAGAAGAGAGTCGCAAGGAAGGACGGAGAGGGAGGGAGGGCCGGAGGGAGAGGGAACGAATGGCATCGAAGTTCCCACAAGGAAGGCTGCGACGCGTCCGCGTACGCGTCCTCGTCCTCGTCCTGCTGCTGGAGGGCCGGCCTGACAGACGCCCACTATGTAAGGGCACAGTGCGACGTGCGGGGGCTTATAAATTACTATATTCGTATTGGGGTTTACTGCCCCCCGCGTACGATACATTTCTTTTCATAGCAATCAGCGAAATCCAGCTCACGCTCGACCGCTTTCGTCCGCTGCCAGCCAGGCACCAACCCCGTCCCGTCCGTCGTTTGAATTGCGACCGCGCTCCGTCTCCGTCTCCGGTCCTACGACGCCCGTGCTGTACCGCCGGAGATCGATTGACGGAGGATCGGCGAAAGCGGAACGGAGTGGCGTGCCGTCCATCCGCCCGTCTGGCCCCGTCTGGCCTGGGACGTAACCTAGTGGAAAGGGAAGGGACGCGCTGCCGAACTGCCGGCCGCACGGATATGTCCGGGCAATGATAATTAACATGAGCTTCGGCTTCGCTGCTGCCTTTCGGAACTCTCCGCGGGGACGGAGTTTGTGACGGATTTCTGGAGCTTAGCATTCCGCTGGTGGCGACATGGACGCGGTTCGAGGGGGCGGTACAGTAGTCGGTTACCACTGTGGGAGATCCGGGCATAGGGCCAGCGCCGTCCGCCCGCCCGCCCGCCCGTCCGTCCGTCTGTCTGTCTTAATCGGTGGCTGGCTCGACATCTGGCCAATGGCCGCAAGCGTTACGCAGGTTCGGGGAGAATATTCGGGGCATTTGAATGGGCTCGACAAAGTTGCGGGGCCATTTAGTGCAGCCCCCCCGCGCTCCCCCCGCCCCCTACCGCCACACACCACCCCCCCCTCAGCCCCACCCCCCTAAACCCTACTGCTTGAATCTTGGGGCTGTCAGGCGGGTGGGGGGAGTCCGAGGGGGGGCAGGCAGGGAAGGAGGGAAGGAGGGAAGGAGGGAAGGAAGAGCCGTCCCTGGCCTGGGCCCCGTCTGTGTCTGTGCATGTCGTCGTTGCGGGAAAGGACTTACTCGCAGCATATGGAGAGGGAGAGGGAGAGGGAGATGGAGGGAGGGATCTAATCCACACCGGCAACAGTTCCCGACACGAACTTTCGCAGCACTGGGCTGGAATTTATGAAAGTCAAAGAACGAGGCGACGGGCATTCATGTCGCGCAATCCGTATGCGCCAGGGGCCTCGCGAGAGCGAGCGGCAAGCTCGCGGTGGGGGGAGATGGGGGGGGGGGGGCGGGGAGCCAAACTCGCGGACGGCGTCGACTAATTGGCCGGCAGATTTTTCGGCTGTCGCAGCGTGGAGTAAACGGAGTTCGCGAGCTCGAGATCTTGCAGGAATAGTGCGTGCACACCATATCCTTTACGCGCGAGCACATGGGGGAGATCATTGTTCGAGTGGTGTACGCATAGTAGCAAGTGTGCTTGATAAATGCTCAGCCCACCCGATCGCAGGCTAGGCCCGGGCCTGGCTTTCCCTGCGCTGCGGCTCCTGACGGATTTCTGCCACTCGCGGCCAAAATCGTCCTGGACACATGGATGGATCATAGAAATGCATGCTCGCATATGACAGAAGGACAAAGAGCGAGAGAGCGTTCACGCATCCCGCCCTCCTGCACCACGAACACTTATGCTCGTACATGTGCCTTCGTTTACATGGTAAACGCGCCCGGCGCTTATTGGGAGGTGGCAGGCCAGGCCTTCCAATCGCAGCCCAACTTTCATTCTATACCGCACCGATCCCAGTCTGGGACGGCATGGCGGTTCTGGTCGGTGGATTGCAGTCGGCTGATACCGTCATCTCCATCAAGCTCTCCGGGTAATATACTACAGTTGCTCTCCTTGCTTCCTTCCACGACTGCCATCCCCGTGATCACTGCTCCTCAAATTTACCTCCCCTCCCACCCCTGCGGCATGCTCACGCCACCGGAAGAGCTTCTTGTTGATGATATTTCAGGGCCCTCGCCCCGAGGCGCGTGATGTCACGGTAGAAGAATAGGGCTTCAGTGAAAACCTTGTAAATGATTGCATCTCGCCTCGAAATGCGAGCCCAAAATGCGAGTTTCACATCCTCCCTTTCTCAAGGGCCTCTCCCTCCCTCTTTTCAATGCGTTCGTTAGCAGAAGATGCGGCCCAATATAAAAAGTCAAGACTTATTATATTGTTTCCACATAAACACAAAATCGTACTGGGCCTCCGTTTATTGAAGATTCAGCGGCGTCGTTTTTTTATTCCTTCGCAAGACGCTGGTACAGCTTTCACTATACCCCAGTCTGGATGGATGGATGGATGACTCCACTCAATCTCTGTGCCTCGCCCGCCCGCCCGCCCGCCCGCCCGCCCGCGATTTTTTTCATGACCCGCCTGGCTCCAGCTCCAGCTCCAGATTGATTACGGTTTTCGTACTACGTGTTGGTTGCAGTCAGCTCAGATCTTCTCCTCGAAGCGGACGGGTTTCTAGTCTTCTTCACCTGTACACTACCTTTACCGCCGAGGTGAGTGAGCGCCAAGGTTCTGTGTTTTTCATCATTAGTTTCCGGCCGAGATTTGCACAAGGCTAAGCTTCCATGAGCCACACAGTACAGTACATACTCTGACCTCGTCTTCGACTCGTCTCGTATACGACCGAATTGGAAGACGTCTTCCAATTCGGTGGCTCGATTCTGAATTCCTGATTGGACCAAAAGTCAGTCGGTCTAAATGCGGCCAACATTTGGTGGCATTCTCGAAGATGACCTACGAAGTGACTGGAGGTCCAAAAGGATTTTACAACCTCGGATGAGTGAGTGAGTGCGTGCGCATGTTGTCGAGTGCCGAGGGTACCCTCTTGAGCTCAATCAATCAAGCACGTCCTGGCTTTATGGCCGATCTCAGGTCATATAGATTATGATGCACATTTGACTGGTTTAGCGAGATATTATCGAAGCACTCGAGCGAGGTCTATACGTCAAATATCGTCTAGCAGCAGCGGATGTCCTCTTGCTTTTTTAGTGTATCGTGACCGCACATGCTCGTCTCCAGCGCAAATGATGGTGTGAGTACTACTACAACTACTGCTCCAACATATTTCGGGAAAATTCTTGTAGAAAGGATGCGTCAAAGCAAGTCGTTTATCCGCTTCGGATAAGGTGGACACGGTCCCGGGCAGGTGCCTTGATAAAGGCATGTCACGCCACACATCTGGTGAGCGCAAGGAAATCTCGTGCACTGCGAGGGCGAACTAAGTCGCCCATGGCGAGTGTGTGTATTTAGTCCAAATCGTCACTTTAACAAGATAAGCTCGACATGAACAGTGGAGCGGCGGACGAAGTTGCATGCCTTGGGTGAAAGACTGATTCGATTCGATTCCACGGCCGCTGCTGCAAAACGAAAAGCACTATCTTGACTTGGAGTCGCAAAAGTTACAGAAAGAGTCAAGACGAACAAGGCGGCCATGGAAATTTGCTTAACGTGAAGACAAGACAAGATTCGGACCTCAGGAGTTCAGACTTCCAGTGGAACGACTGATTCCGCCATCCATTCCATTCTTCCTCCTGCTCCTGCTCGCAGTTCAGGTCAACCTAGGAGTAGTTTCCTGCATCTCGGCTCCGAACGACGCTCGAAGTACACCATGTTGCTTCGTGTGTCAAGGAACGTCCAATCGTGAGCCAGGGGCCACCGGGATTATAAAAAATGCAAAACAAAGGCAAACAAAACGATGGGAGATGGGACGGCATGGCGAGGCATCCAATCACCAGGTCAATTCGGGCTCAATTTGCCTACCGAGCGCAGTCACAGTGAGGTAACGGTAGGTCGTTGGTACTGCAGGGAACTACTGAGTAGACAAGGGAGTCACAAGGAGTTGGAATTGGTCACGATGTCAGGGCCAAAAGGAGTGGTCGTGTCTTTGTTCACGCAGCTGACCCTACCTGACCCCTCTGACAGTAAACTTCCATAGAAAAAGGCATGTGAAAAGTGAATTGTCTAGAAAAACTTAACTATGTGAAGAGACAGAATGCAATGCAGGGGTTGTGGAACTGTGCAAGTCAGAAACTGTTGACTTTCTGACTTCCAGGCTCATTAAATGCGAATGGCCGGAAAGCTGCTGAGTATGGACTCTTGCCAAGGTTGCATTCCCCCTTGCAAAAAAGCTGCTCCCGGAATGTGTTCCAACAGACCCCACTGGTCACTCCAACTCGGTGGCAGGATGTGCACTCAACATCGAATCTTCAATACGGGTGCTAGAACCGACCGCATCAGGAACTTGAACCCGTGCAGCAGGATGGCTATTTAGGCAGTCGTATAGCGCGCCTAGATTGCACCGATCCCTCATTCAAACTTCAGCCTTCTCGGCCGGGACGGCGAATGAAGAGGGCCTCTTGCACACTACGGGGCTGTAAGCTAAGATCCCGAGGGCCCTAGGTGCTCATGCGCTCTCCCACATGACTGCGAGGCACACTCGCAGGGCCTGCGAATTGGAGGAGCATTCGGACCGAGATTGGTTTCGCACCAGAGAGCGATCCCACGTCGGCTCACAACTGGGGGCCAATCCCGAACACAAGCCTCAAATTCCGAGAGTTCGCTGCCTGCTGTCCTCATCTGATTGTTTATGGAGCTCAGGATTGTGCCCTAAACTGTGCTCGCACTCTGAGAGAGTTGAGCACGGAACTCCATAACCTCTCACCGAGGCGGTAGTCATCGAGGCGCGCTTCGTGGATTGATGGGCCTGTGTTTGGGATTGGCCCCATGTTGAGAGTTGGTTGCTTCCGCCGCTTCGACATCTCCTGAGATCCATCGACATTACATGCCAGACGGTCGGTGTAGGTATCTGAAGTCTCGAACCCAGCAGGTCCATCTTCTCATGGCCAAGAATCAGTCTAACTCTGTTCCTGCATCTCTGTCGGCGCCTCAAATCAAGTCCAGCACCTTAGTTCATAATCTGCTGGCTCTTCTCCGAGCACGCACACTTTTAGAGGATAATTTTTATCGCGATAGCTGCTAGCTGCCGTCCAATGAGTAAAAACAAAGGCACGAGTTTGGTTTTGTCCTATATATTTGGAGCTAGGTAGTAGGACTGCACTCGGACCTTTGTGACCCAATCAATTCTGCCATTGTTGACTAGAAGCGCTCTCCAACAACCATCATACTGAAGTGGAAAGTACACAGAGGTTGCCAAGTGGTTTCTACAGGAATGGCCTGCCATATCCGATTTCTCCAATTGAGTACCAATGGTGCTGTCCGCACGAGTGAGGAATTTACGACCACGACTTCAGGTTTGTCACCTCCCTCACTCAAGCCCCATAGTAGGACTGCCATTTTGTAGCCCAAATCTTCTGAAGTCCACACCAAGAAACCACAGCCTTCTTGGAAGGTCAACATCTGATTCACTTCACGTGGCGCTCGAGGGATCAAGAGCTCAGTCTGCTGATTCTTCCCAGTTTTCGGCATTGGTCTCGCACAGCCTAACCTACACTAGGGAGACAAGTGCGTGTCCACTTGTCTTGTGTATCATGTGGCCGTGAAGGAAATTTTGCATCTATCTTGCAGCTCCCGTTTGAGGAAATGCGTCGTTTGCCTGTGGTGAATTTTCCAAGAGAAAATCCCGAAGACGCTTCATTGCCTGCGAAGCGACGCGAGATCCCGTGGCAAGTGGTAAGGATGTCTCTCACAACACTTGAGTGTCATGCTCTCGTTTGGTATGCAGCTGCTGCATTCATTTACTGACAGGCGCATCGTGCCACGGTGACACTGAGCCCAATTTGCGACCACTTTCCGTCTCCACAACCGATGCCTATCTGAGAGGATGACACATTATGGCCATGGTATAGAGAATGATTCTCATGAAGACTTAGTGCAGGAACTGATACTCATGGTTCCTTTGCAGTGTAGCACCTATTCGCTGCGTGCTGAACCTTTAGAGGGTTTTGGGTGTCTCTTATTGCCTTCGAGTCTCCCTGGCTGCATTTCGATATGCTTCACTGCTATTGCAACTTGCTGAGTCGTAACGTAAAAATCATGCACGAAATTTCCAGGTGTAACACAGCTCCTGTGTAAGTAGAAGTTCGATATAACATGCGAAATCTGTGGCTTGGCGTAGGTGTACTCCAGCAGAAATCACCCTCTCATGTGGTTGAACGTGCTGAACGTGCAGTCTGTGAAGGCCTCAGCGGTCCATCTGCTAAAGCCTGTCCCGGCCCCCATTCGTAGTCAACTGTTATTGGAGATGAATGTGTATGGAGATTATCTTATTCTCTCCCGTGCTCATTAGGGCCTGAGAATGAATGCCTTACCACGAGGTTAACATTGCAGTGCATTCACGAAGAGTTGTACCTCGATTGTAGATGTAGACCAAAAGCGCCAGATCTGCTTGTTGTAATCAGCCAGGAACCCGACGTCTGTGATCGGGCCGGTCCTGGCTCCTGCACCTCCCTCTTGCATCAGATGCGCACCACAGACGTAAACATTGAGGAGGTTGATCGTCGACCTTTGTAACGGATCGCCGTGTAGTAACGGTGTCATCATATTCTCGATGCCCAATACCGGACAGCCCATGCAGATCCCTCTTAAAGAATCATTGCTGTACCATTCTGAACTCATAAAATAGTGTACTATACTGATTACAACGTCAGCATTCGACCTCAGTCCTGGCCGAGGTTGTCACCTTGAGTTTGCTCGTTCTTCCGACAGGAACTGCCTTCGGGATACTATGTATACTTGATCACTGCCCATATTCATGGTGGCCACCTTGACATTCTGCTGCCGCAGCAGTAGCAGACGCAGTGGGTGGTTTTCAGCGGCATGTCTATTTGAAAAGGGAGCTAGTACCTCTCACGCAGTGGGTCACCGATAGGTTTGATTTTATTACCTACGGCAACCATTTTGGATGGGGATGGCAAACTTGGCCGTGATCGAGGTGGATGTTAGTGTGAGTTGAGTTGGATCCAGTTGACTGTGCCTTGTACATGCTGTATTGGTGAACAGATGACGGGGAACGCGTCGTCCGAGCCGGAGTAAGTCTTACATGCTCTTCGCGTAATGTGCAGGAGGAACCGAATTTCGAATCAGATCTGAAATTTCGTTCTGATGCGAAACTAAGCACGAAAGAAATATGCCGCCTTCACTTCGTCGGTAGACAGCGCATCATGTTTATTCACTCCTCTACCGGAGTGAATAAATATCTGAATATCACCAGAGCGGCCTTGTATTTAGCACAGTTCTCATCTTTGTCTCGACCTTTGCCCATCCGAAAGTATCAAATGATTCTGCATCGCACCCAGCTGTTATCGAACGAAGCGAATCAGTGGCTTCTGCAGAAGCAGTGAACAGCTGAGCTGCTCTTGGTGATATGTGGCTGTGGCTGAGACCGAGGACGATCACTTTGATTCTAACACCTGTTTGTCCCTTCGATGAGCACAGCATCTGACCCTTGCGCTGTGAAATCAAGAAGGGCGTACGATGTCGCCAGCTTTGATGCACTGACCGAAATAGGATTTCGGTAAGACTACTTCAGACCACATCTCACGACCCGATGAATATGCGCATCAACTCCGAACATACCCACTCTCAGAGAGGGAAGCTCCTGGCACTCTCCTCGCGTCCGATGCCGCAATGGGGCCTGTCGCTGTCATGATCCATGAACTGCAATTCGGCATCAGAGCAGACGGCTCAGGTAGGAAGAGTTCAAAGCCTTGCTTTTCATCAGACCGAGCGTGTGACCAGCCCCAGGGACCGCTGCTAATAGAAAAGCATATTTGCTGTCTGCACAGCGTACAGTCCTGGGCGTGGAGGCTGGCCAGGTTGGTGAACTCAGGCCTTACACCTTGATCAATTATCCATGACTGCCTGTTCGACGACACAGAGACATGCGTGAGAGGAAGGTGTCCATCGCATTCTGCCTGTCACCAGGACGAGCATGATACTCGAATGGCTGAAAGGGCACATTAGTTAAATCCGAGCCTTTACATGGATTTGCGACAAAAAGTTTATCTGCTACAGGTGCCCAGGTACGCAGTACAGTGTACTGAAGCCCAATTAAAATATCGCATGGATATGATTCCAGGTCAACTTCGAGTCGTGAATCAGGATACTCTGACAACGCTTGCGCTGTGTGCAATCTACCCTCGGCCTAAAACTGTTTTCTCTAGACACTCTAGAGCGCGCTCTTGACCACTCTCGTGCTTATGTCATACACGTCACCCTGCGCTCGATCGTTTGATTCTCTCTCTCTCTCTCTCTCTCTCTCTGAATTAACAGAAACATGGGGCCGAAATGTAAGGTGACAAGGCTGGGCACAGGCTGACTCGATCCGATCGTGCGAATGGGCACAGCAGCAACACCTGCCTGAGACTGCCTGCCCGCTGCGTTGCGATCCTGTCTGCCTAGAACAGCCGAGATGGGAGACATCGATGCTGCAGGACGAGAGTATCGAGCTCGGCTCGGCTTGGCTTCGGCAAGAGAATCGAAACGTGATCGAGAGGTGGAAGAGGACGGAATTAGCTGCGAATATGACGAGCCCTTGACCGAGCGATGGATTCGCTTTTCCGAACGCGCACCATGCTCGCGGCGTAGCCTTGCTGGTGGATGTAGCCTTGGGTAGATGATCCTCGTAGAACATGCTGGCCTTGCTTGCATGTGCATCAACCGTCCCCCTCCATGTCTAGCTTCTGCTGCTGCTGCTGCTCTCGCAAGATCGGGCACGTGTTCGTTTCCTGTTTGGCAGCAGAAATCCTACACGCCCTCGCGTACATCGTACATGGCAGAATGTATACTGAACGAGGAGTATATCGTACGAGGGTGCCTCCCGTCCCAATCCCCATGGCCTGCCCTGCCCTGCCCTCACCCTCAAAAGTCACCGACTTCTCCGTCCCGTCGTCGTCGATCGGCAATTTCAGATTCCTCGCAGAGCCTCCTGCCGATCGTTCGACTTCCGCTGCGCCGGATGGGACCCGAACGCATTCCATTCGTGGTGGTGGTCGGAGCGCAGCATGCGAGCGAGGCGTGGACTATCATTTCGCCGATGTCGTTGTTCGTTTGTTCGTGGTATCGCGGGACGGGCCGGGGCCAGTGGGGCCAAAGAAGAAGAGCCTCGACGAAGAGGAGAAGGAGAGAAAGCTCGAAACATAGTGCGCGCGTGGCGAATTGTGGCTGGCCTGCCTGCCTGCGCTCAGATGGTTGCAGACGACGAAGAGAGTGAGTGAGTGAGTGACTGAGTAAGACACATTACGGTGGGTGGCGTCGAGTTTCAGGTGGCTACGTTAGGTCTGGCACCGAATGCATGCACGCATAGCTCTTCCCCTTTCGCTTTCGCCATCGCTATCGCTCGTGGGCCAAGCTTGCGAGCAGAGATCCATCGTAGACAGACACACGGACAGACAGCCAGCCAGCCAGTCAGACAGACAGACAGGCTCGTCGAGAGGGCGAGAGGAGGAGGATGACTAGTCGTAGCTCCATGGCCCCGCGGGGTGGGGTAGAGACAGCTTCCGTTTCAGGCGAGATGAGATGGCGATGGCTCGAGGAGGGAGGGAGGGAGGGAGGGGGGGAGGGACGCTCTCTGAATCAGGCGAGTTCAGGACGAGCCTCGAATGGAAGTGGCAGTGCCCGTGCGACAACATCGGACATGCGCAGCTACCTCTCATTAGCTTTAGCTTTAGCTGATTAGCTGAGCCGATCTGAGCCGAGCTGCTGCTGCTGCTGCTGCCGCGGGGCCTGGCGCTGGCGCGCAGGCTGCAGGCGGTGAGCATTTTCTAGGAGCGCAATGAATTCCAGGTGCCTGCGGCAGGCCTAGGCTAGGCCCAGCACCCGCTCTCATCACTACCGTTAGGAAATGACTTCATCCGTCTTGTTTTTCTCATCCGCGCACGCGAAAGCGCGCATTTTTAAAAGAAAGAGGCAAAGCGGACGGGGCGCAAAATCAGCAGCAAAAGGTCGTCGCGGGCGGGCCAGAGCAAACAAAACAAACACTTTCTTGTCTCGCGTCTTCGCCTTTCGCAAGCCCCTGGGCCACGGTGTCAGGTTTAGATTTTTGGTTGATTGTTGGTTATGGCACCAGCCTTTGCTTGCTTACAGTAGCATCACCAGCCTAAAGCTCTCAATCCCCCGAGCCCCCGACGAACGAAATCTCGACTTTCATTAAGATCGGATTTTCCATTTAAAGCTGCTGCTGCTGCTGCTGCCGCGCTGTAGGCCTGGACATTCGTCCCAAGGAAGGACCACGTATTGCATCGATCGATCAATCGATCGATGCGCAAGGGCGATGTTGTTGGTAGCTGGCAAGGACCCGAGGATGAGGAGGGAGGGAGGGAACAAGAAAGAAAGCCGAGGACGCGGCAGAGGAGGGCGAGGGGTTGCAGAAGTGGATACGGTGAATCTAGAGGAGGGCGAGGGCGAGGGCGAGGATAAAGGTTTGTCCAGTAGCGGAAAACGATGATCGAGGCGATGGAAGGAATGATCCCGCGGCGACGATTGGACTTTTAAAATCGCCACTTGGAGAAGCGAGGTAGGTACGTCATGCCGAGAACATGTCTGGCCTCCGTCCACGGCGATGTATGTAGGCCTAGAGCAGGACGAGCTCGAAAGGGAGATATGGCGAAAAGGAACATTTATGTCGATGGGTGTCCTGGCAGGGCGGGGCAGGGCGGAAAACATAAGAAATTGCGAGGCCAGGCCCCACCGAAAAGTGGCTGTCTCGGAATTTTCAACCGTCACTAGTCGACAATGCAAATGGTCTCGGTATCTTTGAATCGGCGACGCCTTTGTCCTGGCCTTTTCAGCTTTTTCTCGGTAGGGTCGCGCGCAGGCAACGACCTCCACTCGCCACCTGGAAGCCTTCAATTGCGCTCAATGTGTGATCGCTCCACTGTTCGAATTTCGCCCAAACCTTCGACGAAAGATCACTGTGCCCTCATATCCATCGCGCTCCGTGTTGCGCCCCGGAATCTCGCCCCGATTCCGCCCCTCGCCTTGCGCTTTGTTTGTTTCGCCCCCCACACGCCTGCTTCTCGGCGACAGCCTGCGCGCCTCGATGCCCGCGCCGACGACACCAGCGCGACGCACCTCGCTTGCTTGCGCGCGTCGCATTCGCGGGGCAGCGGAAGGCTGCGAGTGGCTCGAGGCCCTATTTCTCACCTCCCGCCCTTTTCTTCCTCCCTCCCGCCGCTTCCGTCCGCTGTGACTGCCATGGTAAAATCGATCGAATCTCAATCAGTGGACGGCCCGCCCGACGAGACGAGAGCTCACAAGGTCCAGGCCGGGGGAGCGAGCGAGCGAGCGAGCCATCTTCCGAGAGCGCAGCAGCGGCGCCATGAGGAAGTCGGTGATGTGATTTCTTTCTTTCACCGGAAAAGAAACTCCACTCTTTCACGGTGACTTCTGTCCGAAATGTCGAGGCTCGCCCGCCCCTCCTGAGTCGGCAAGTTGCTCTGTGGATTTCTTGTGCACGCGAACTCCACACATGCGCATGACATAACTGCCCTCTTGCAAGTGGGCGGGGCTCGGGATGCTCTCTCTGCTTGGGAATGTCGATGATAAGTTTTCGCGGACCTGCTCGTGCACCGCAAACCCGGCTGTAACTGCGAAGCAGTGATCCAACCGAATTACCGATGTTCATTCACTTTCTCGTCTTATTCTCTCGTCGGACCGATCATAATTAAAATTGCATCCTTACATCAGCAGCGGCTCCAAGACCAGATTTTCCTCACGCCGTGACGTGCGCAGTTGAATCGGGTCTCGCGGAGAACATGCCTGCGAGGCTCCGATCCTTCGCCCCTGTCCGGAGAAACAGATTGTCGCGGACCGCGCGAGGAGAGGAGACTCTACTCCTCCAAATGTCAATGTTGCGCAGTGAGAAAGAAAGATCGTCATGCGCTCGTGCACAAAGACTTCTGGCTCGAGAATTGTACGACTGCATGCGTCCGATGTCACGGTCGGTCTGGTCTGAAAGAATACCAGCGAGCGAGCATCAACCCTCGGCCCTCGAGGTCTCTTCCTCCCTCCCTCCCGCCGTCCTTCGCGGAACCAAAAGTACAAGCCGACCCGACCCGACCCGCGAGAATCCGGTCTCTGGATGATGCGACGCGTGATGGCGTCGTTGTCAACTCGGTGGGACCTCGCAAGATCGGCAGCAGCACCACCTCCACCCGCACCCGCACCTCCCTCACCATCACCCCCGATGCAAGCAAGTAGAGGAACAGGGAGAGAATATAATCGCTGTCTTGACCTAATGCTGTCGACTAGTCAGCCTCTCCTACGAGATCAGGATTCCTGAAACATGGCTCGCTCCCTCCCGCCCCGGAGATGGAGGGAGAGGCGACCGACTTCTCTGTAGACTGTGTGGCAGTCGGAACCGGAATGGATGAGATTTACGGGATCGAGGATGCAGAGGGAGGGCGGGCGCGGTGGCCATTCACTGTATGGCTCGGCCCGCGACCGCTTTTCCGCAAGGGATTGAAACATTCCGTCGCTCGCACGTCCAAGAAACCAAGAAGGTCGAATGGCACGAGGGCAGTGAGAGAGGGAGTCACAGCTCGCCCAGCCTGCGCATCGCGCGATGTGACGCGAGTCGGCGCCCTTTTGAGATTTGAAGATGGCAAGCAAGCAAGCTCCGGGGAGTGGAACAGCGGGAAAAGCGCGAACGCAGGCCGCGGGCGGACATGACGATCCTCGTAATTCCTCGCGGCGCGACCTCCTTTTCAGATATTTCGGTTGTACCGATCCGATGTCGTGGACCCTCGTCCACGATCGCCCGCAGGATCTACACCTCGCTCGCCACTGTGCGGGCGGAGGAGGAGGAGGTCAGTGCGAGGAGGACGTGGAGGAGCCACTGCGAGAGCAGCAGGGGCGGCAGTTTCCCGTCGCATTTGCTCGTGACCTGAACCCGATCGACGTGCTTCGAGTCCGTCCCTGCGCTGGCTCGCCGCTGGCTGGCTTCAATCGCAGCGCAGCGCTGCGCTGCGCTCCATCGCGCAACAGTGTTGCGCGATGGAGACGGCAACATTCGAAAAGGACATTTCGGGCACTTACTTTGAGAGCGAGCGACAGAAGAATTTGTATCCATTCTCTGCTGAATCCCCGTGCCCATCAATCGCTCGCCCCTGCGCTTGCGCGCGCGAGCACGTTCCGCCTGCCGCTTCTCTTTAACCGCCTCGCCTCGTCGCAAAGCGAGCCCCAGAGTCAACCCCGTCGTCGTCGTCGTCGTCGGGCGATGGCTCATTCAATCCCCCGCATGCAGAGGAGGGCTCTCTCTCCTTCGGCCAGCCCCCCGTCCCTCGGGGCCTCGGGGCCTCGGGGCCGTCCTGCGTGCCAGAGAGCACGATCCGCGCGCTCGCTCGCATGGCAGAGACTCGCGACGCATGTCAAAACGATCTGCGACGACACGGACGAGGAGATCGGATCGTGGTCGAGAGAATGGAGCATGGAGCATGCTCGTGGTAATCCTACCCTAGCCCGTCAGTGGACAGAGATTTGTCGTCTGCACTAAAAGGGAATCTCGAATCCCGTGGTGATATGATGGCAGATGCGGGAAAATGCGGTCCTGAACGGAGCCGAGGGCACCGTCGATTGGATTGTTGCGATTGTTGGTCTCGGTTTCGGTTTCGGTCTGTTCGGCTCGAGGGCTCTCGGCCCATCGAGCCCGGAGCAATCGAGAGACAGCCATTCTCCACTTGCTGAGCGAGCAGCAGCTTGCGAGTGTACGACGCTTCGTGACACGTGAAGCCTGGATTGGTGGCCCCTCGTCGTCCTCGACTACAGCGAGATACCCAGACGCCGGACATTCTTCTTCACTTCATGATTGACTGTGGTGATTCAGCAGTGCCCGGGGATCGTATCGTGTCCGGGGACGACGACCTCGAGCTCCAAACGCCCAGCACTCCGCCGCTCTCGAGACTTAGGGTTTAGATTCTTCTCGTGACGCGATGAACTCACACTTCTCTCTTGTTCATTCATTCCACGAGCAATCGTCGGCCATTTCATCCTCCTCCTGTACTGCGCAGTAGGACATCCTTGGCATCCATCATGTACAGATCCCAAAGTCTCAAGAATCACGAATTAATGTTCTCACTGAACCGCGAAAGTGTCAGTCTCACGGGCGCTTGGGTTTGGGCCGATTTGTTCCCGAGTGCGAGGATGTCCGTCGATGATTCCATCTCCCGGCAGGCCATTACAGCGGAGCCGATCGGTGATGGAACTCGTCGATGGAGTTCGAGGGACATGCAGCGAGGGCCGATCGATGCGCACGAGCACTACTTTCAAAACGTCTGAGGACTCGGCTTCTACGACATGCCAGACCGTCCGCATAAAGGCTGTCGAATAAAGCGTTGTGGACCGACTGACCTTTGTCTGCACGAGGAGGAGATGCAATGAACACGACCATCCGTCATCAGCAACGCATCGCAAAGCAACCATAGCGTTGCCTCATCAGAAGCTTTCTTTCCTCATAATGTTGTTCACGTCACGGTCCACTCGGAGAGTGCACCAAATATTTTGTGTGCTGGAATGATAGAACGGATCTCCCTTCATCCCGCAAGCAAATGATGGACCCGAGACAAGTGCATTGATTGCATATTCCATCTGTCTGCGTCGTCCACGGGGCTACTAATCAACACAGATTTAACACCTACGAGGTGAGGTGCCCATGAATCAGGGCACCTCCCCAGTTGTTTCTCAAGCTGAGGACAAAGCTCCCCAGAAGCCCCCTCTGCGGTACCACATGTTCCATGGGGGAACCGTGGCCACGGTGATTGAACTTCTTCAGTGCACAATTCAATGCTTTTGTCCTCGGAGCAACAGTAGAACCGTCTGATCACAAGGACCAACTGCCAGGTAGACGTAAACACCACGAGTCAATCAGATATGCACTTGCTCAGATATAACCCTCAAAACATCAGGTTTCAATGCTATACGTAAAGCCCACGACTTCTTCCTCGGCCTCCCTCGATCATCATGATGATGGTAGCTAGCTAGGCATGGGCCACGAACCCTCGTCAAGAGTTTCCGTTCCTCCAGACGCAGCTCTTGAACCAAATACGTTTCGATAAGAGTGAAATTGGCCATGGATGATTTTAAAAACATTGCGTATATGTAAAGACGTCATTCCATTTTTTCTCTAAAATGAGAACTATGATCAACTATGAACCTAGTATTCAGCAGATTCATTTTTATACGACATGATATCAGATAAATTATTTCATAAAGAAAACATACTTTGTGCACAAATAAAATGTTTCCATTATTTGTAAAAAAACACCAACTAATTTTATGAGGGAGCTACTTCGTATATCATGTTCCCTTTTGTCTATACAACAAATACATGTTTTAAATATAATTTGATGTATTTTCCAATGCGATCCTATAGGGTCACATCCTCAGGTTACCAATTTGGTTTCGTCCCTGTGTATTTCCATACCTTTGCTATATGAATTAGTTCGCTATTAGCCTACATGCACCAACGGAATTCCAACACTAACATCGCCAATCATAGGCGTTTAGTCTATACTCCGTAAATAAAATCCGTACAAATACAAAGTACAGTAGGCAATATGGAAATACAAGTGGCGCTCCTTGACGCCTTTCATGAATAACCACCGATGGAACCTCAAGGGCTTGACATGAGAGCTAAAGAAACTAGCCGATAATTCCATGAACGACCAAAGAGGCTGAAGATATTGTCTGAAAGCATTTAACATGAACACCATACCATTTGGACTAGAGAGCACCATCTTCCACACAAGAAGCAGCGAAGAGCTGAAGGTGACAAACCTGACGTAGGAAGCGTGTCAGTACTGAATAAAGAAGGAATGAAGCTGAGACTCGGGACAAACCAGGGCTGGAACCCATCACCAGTAGCTGAATGGCAAGCATCACAGTGCCACAACCTGCCATGTCATTAGTGTTTACAGAGGAGCTAGAACTAGAACTAGTTCTAGTTCCACTAGAACCCGCAATGTAAGGATGCAATTTGAATCACCTGATGAATTAAACAAACTATGCTTAAGGGTTGTTACAAATCAGACTGATTCTACGCTCTCACATCCAGAGGTTTTGAGGCAATAGACAGTTGCATGTGTTAGCCTAGACAAAGTTCAGTACAGATGCACTCGAAGCAGGAAAGGGAAAAAATTCACACATAGGCATGGAACTGGAAAGGAAGTCAGCCGTCCAAGGAAATGGAGACAATCCACGCGCAAATCTTACTCACGACTAAGATCACAAACGGGAGAGCCTGTAGAAGGAACAATATACAAACATGACATATATCATCAACATGTTTGTGTACTGTGAGGATAGCCGTCAAGTGCTTGACAACATGCATGAAGTCTAAAATCCACAAGTTTGTTCTGCAGCACCATATATTTACTCAGCCTCGAACAGGCAACAATCTTGAAATGTTTGTTTTCATCGGATGCAACTGTTCTTTAAAAAATCCAATAGTTTGGTCAAGATGTCCCATTTTACCTGATGGAGTTGATGATAGTGTCATGTTCACATTCCAACTGCATATGATTGCAGAGCATAACAACTAGAACGTTATCAAACACAACAATAGTCAAAGCAAGGCCCTGCATCGAATCTCCATATAATGTCTGAAGAGTAATATGAGGAGGGAAATGCAAACGTCACAACCCCGATGGAAAGAGAAGGTCATGAAAAGGCTAGACCTCGAACAACCTCTAAATTGTGTTAAGGACATTTACTACGAAGAGAAATACTGACAAGTAAGGATGAAACTCAATTGGCAACAAGAAAATTTCCTGTCCATCACAAAAGCTTCATGATGAACAAATATTCCTATTTGAGCCTAATGATCCATTTAATAGCACACAATAAGTTTTGCACGGTAGGGGAATGTCCAAAAACATATTTTCCCCGCAATCGGCATGTCGTATGATCCCGCTAGAACTCCATCCGTGCCCACAGCACATGCTATGATTTGAGCTCCTTATCCAGAAGAATACCTGATTCTAGTTGATTCATGAGCGATAATTAGGAGCAGGCTTTGCGGAACAAGTTCCTTGAAGAACGCATGAGCAAGCAATGTCATAAGAATTACAACAAGAGCATATCCTGCAGAAACCCAGAAGAGATCACAGTGGGCAGAAATCGAATAGACAGGCAAGGACGACGAGTCCAGAGTATCATGCATAGACAGAAAGCAAGTTCAGAGTGAAAGACAGGGAACAACGGCTGGGGACCGAAGAGTACCAAATTGTAACGATTGAGCGCAAAGTTTATATAGATTTGCATTAGATGAAATCCTATTACAACAACAGATCTAAGATATGGACTTACCCGATCCTAACATGTGTCCAGGATGTATCAACGACCTCTAATTACTAAGCACTACCTTCCTTTTCTTTGAGCTTCGTAGGCGTCTCTAAAAAACAATTCCATTTCTGGAGGTGGATCTTCGAGTAAAAAGAATACACTGGACGGATCATAAGAAGTACGATTAAATCAAACTGACTTATTTTGCTCAAACTTCATCCAAACAAGAGTTGATTGCACTATACACCAATGCGACGATATCGTTCAGTAAGCGGAAAGGTTGACTAGTGCTGGTATTATCTGACAAAGCGCTTTCATCCAATCATCTAACCCGGCTGGAGCTTCGAGAAATTGCAAGTGTGAAACTGATGACAATAATATCGCCCATTGCTAGTAGCGAGATTAAATTGCTTTCAGAAGTGTGGTTTCTTGGTCTTTCTAATGTACTTTAGGCAGTACTCATTCCCCCATGTAATATGGAAAGTTATCCCCTGTCCTGAATTTCCAGGGTTTTGACAACCTACATACCAGCGTTTCCTCGGTATAGATTTAAGACAACATGATAAAAGTTCCCTTAAACTCAAAAAAAATTAGGCTGATTCCAACCAGAAAGGTTGCTTGCAGGTTGAGTGCAGGTAGTCGTGTTGAGAATTTTTGGGCTAGATCAATTGTCGTACTTGTGCATCTTTCATGTGCTATAATCTCAGAAGTCTTCCATGCGCGCTACAGTACAACCCTACTAGCGGTGAGTTAGGAAAACCGCACAGTTACTAAAAGGGATGTCATTAGGGTTTCATTACAGGAAATTGAAGACAACTAACTTGCTTCAATCTCATGTCAAGAGTAAAATTACAAATAACAGTACATGCATGACCAGAAACTTATCTGGTCATGGGCAAGGACGACACGAATCTATTATCAGAAATATAATGCCAAATGCAGAATTACAATCTAGATAACAGCACAAGAAATCTGAAGTCCAAAAGGATGGCAAAAAGATGGAGTAGCCAAAACTTGGAATAAGGGACAACGAAGAGAAAAAGAGCAGCTTGTGGTCTCTGATGCAATATAATGAAGTGAAAGCGTCTAATGGAGGACAACTTCTACGTTCATCTGATGTGACTTATCCATGCCAAAGGCTGTCTTATAAGAAAAAAAGCCATAGATGTGACATTTGGTGAAATAAACCACGAAACCAGAATAGTCTTCACTGGACCCAATGAAAGAACTTCGCTTCCGAGATACCTTCTACGACAGAATAAGTCTATACAAACAGGAAAATGTACCAATAAGAACAATTCCTTTGAAAGTCATGTAGCTTCCTTGAAACAAAAAGTAGCTTTCAACAAACTCCTCATTTTCATAAACCCGACAACCTAGCTGTATACTAACCTCCTTCATTTCAAATAAACTTCGAAGTCCTATCTATAATTCCTACTCCGAATGAAAAAATCTCCTCAAACATGCTCAAAGTGCCTTCAAGCAATACAAGCCACTACACATAAACTGTATACGGCTGAAAAATTGCTAAAATCATGCACCTCTAAAAAAAGAGGTGTCTTACAGCTATCTCGAGACTCCTTGAAAACTGGACAACATCCAATTTCGTGATGCTATGGGCTATTCCATGTCATCCTCGCCGCCTCCTGCTGCAGCTTGTCTACGCTTCTCTTCCTCCTCTGGAAATATCATGGATACAAAAGTTCAATATACACTGAGGTGCCCAGGACTGTGAAATTACCGGATATCCATGGAAACTAGGCACATGCTACACAAAATCCTAGATCTTCCACAATTCCACTTACGCATGAGTTCAATGATTGCTCGTTGCGTGCGTCTCTCGAGCTTTTCCAACTTCTTTGCCACTTCCCTTCGTAGATCCCAATTAGCTTTCTTTGGCGCAATGCTAACTAGAGTGTCCTGAGAAAATCAAGTACGCCCACTCAATCAATAAGCCAATTCATGTAGAGGAGAACATGAGGTCCTCTCCAATAAGCATATTAAAACCAGCTACAGTACCAAATGCTGACGCCATCATCAACTCAATTCATGACTTCTGAGCACGAGGTTCTTTCCTAAATATCAAATCTCAGATTGCCTAAAGGTTTATTCCCAACGTTTTCTGATATTCTCCAACTAGAAATTACGTTTCATTCAAGACTTTTACTAATCTGGCAAAAATCATCAAAGAACAGTTTTGTTTAGAATCCTATTTCTCCCACAGCAATGGATGTGCTGTCAACTAGTACTAAACTATGATCCTTACGCATATTAAATAAATAACGATTGCAGTTTTCAATCCTAGAGTGGATACAGGCAATTTCCAAACTTTCAGCTTGTGGTACTCAAAAATTAATACTTCTCGAGTTAGTTCTGCTTGACTATAAGATACAATTGAAAATCAAATCCACAGCAATTAAGAACCAGTTTGTCAAATATGTCCACACGTATTAGATTATTCAAAAGCAGACCTGAAAATGAATCTCAAGCAAACCAAAAAACAACAACACCAACCTTAAAGTTTCAACTAGATAATATTCACAAACAAAGAACAAATAAATACTAGATGAAAACAGCGTTGTTGATATACTAGCGAAAGTAAACAATGTTCTTTGAACCAGTAAATGCATGAGAGGCACCTAACCTACCTCTGTGTCATTCGCATCTTCTGGAGCTTTAGCAAGAGGGTCATCGAACTTGGGTGGTTGAGGCGGCACAATTTTGAGCTGCTGTAGCTGTTCATCGCGGGGAACATAATTTCGAAATTTTATTACAACCTCCCTGTCAGTCGTCACAAAATCATCACAAACTACTTAAAACCAGAATCTCAAATGTTTGGAAGTAGGGTAAATTGCAGTCACTCATCTAATTCAACGACTGAAGTCCTCATTCAAACAGCTAAGGCATGTGAAACCTACGGTTCTCCGTCCTCTGCTGCGGCTTCCAAATCTCCATCGTCAGCGTCGTTCTCCGGCGGAGCAGACAATTCAGCAGCAAGACGAAGTGCTTGCAACCTCGCTTTGCGCTCCTCAATCGGATCAGATTCTGCTGCCATCGAGGCCTCTAGTTCGAAGTGCACATTCGAATCTGCTAAAAACGAGCACAACTACGACCTAAGCCGACAACTTGCTTCCCGCCCTCGCGTCCTCTTCGACTTGCGCAATGCTTGGCAAGCCAGTTTCTCCGCTCGAACGACAAATTCCGAATATGCTTCAATCGCAATTGCCCTAGACAGCATCCAAGCACCACCTCCCCCTCCTTTCCGCTCGTATGCTCTTCGTTTGTCTGCAGCTGTCTGTTGTCGATTTGTGCATATAGTCGAATCAGCTGTATCCTAATTATCGTCTAAACTAATCCACTGAGCTGCGATTGTCACACGTGAATCATCATAATCCCCCGTTTGATAATTAATATTCGGGTATACTGTACATGTAGTACAGCATACCCAATTTAGATATTCACGGGGATAAACCATACCCTCAAACTATAGAGACACTACCATAGCCCCACAATCTGCAAGCTTTTCACTAGCAACTTCGCCATGTCCAAACGCTAATAACACACAAATCCTCGAACTGCCTCCCAGATCTTCTCACCTTGCAAAATTTTTTGACCATATCTTACATATCTCAATGAGATATATGAGCTATTTTGCAGAACGAACGGTGGATTCAAACATCAACTGAATACTTTACATCATAGCTACATCCTATTTTCTTTATCCGTTGATTTCCAGATTACATATACAGAATATAATATTAATAAAGTGTATAGGGCGTACGTTTTGAAACACCTCACCCGTTTACAATCACGTTCAGCATTTGCAATTTCTGACTCTTTATGATCCATTTAAACTGGCATACAAATAAGTTGACATATAACAAGTTGATTATCTCGGCAAAATTATTTCCACTAAATTTCTAGCAAATCGGGCAATTTGTAGCATGAGAAAAGTATTTGACGAAGATACATAATGGGTTTGTCCCTATCGATTGGGACATCAATGATATTGTATACTTTTTTCTTAGCGTTTTACTATCCGAAGTTTATGGTTTGCATGTAATTTTGTTCTGCGCACCCTTGCGGGTAGGGCATCAGTAACCGCACAACCCCTAATTCTTAGGGGCGAAATGTTAAGATCTCCTATCATTGGAGATATTTTATAGGAACTAATTGGTTGAAATTTAGTTGAATATCTCTTTAATTTCATGCTCCACGAAAACAACTATAAATATTAGATCCAACGAGTACAATGAATAGCTTAGTACCTTGCATTTAAATTCAAAATTTTCAAAATCATAGTACAAAAAATAGTCTACATGTGTGAAAAGAAAAGTCATAGTTAGTCTAAAATGACATTTACAAGTGTTAATAACATCATTTAACATATTAAACTCAATCTAACTTTAAGTATTATTAGTTTCATACATTTAAATTTTTATCTCATCTATGTCAAACTTCTATTTCAAGTATGTTTCATCTCATTCATGAGCTTGAGGTATGAACTTGCCATGACAAACTCATCACCAAATCTAGCAAGTACAAAATTATATTTCCGTTCCCAAGGTTGATTGTTGACGTCTTGCCGTACATCTTTGCCACTACAACGAGGATATCATCATCTATGACGTCATCAAAATCTTCTGCTTCTGGAATCTTGATCATCTCCTCTCCACTTTCTTCTTCCTCTACCAATTCTTGGAGTTGAAACAAGCATGTATGAGTTGTTGAGGGTTTAAAGTACAACTTTTCTAGCGTACTGAACATCGTTATTCACTAGATCCTTGGGACTTGCTTTAACCTATAAAGAGTTTTTTTGAGTCAACATACCAAGTTATTGTTTCCGTGCTTTAGCTGTGGACTCAAGAAAACTCTTTATATGTTAAAACAAGTCCAAGGGTTTGGTACTTTGGCTGTTCTATGTCAGTATTTTCTTCAAAATACTCAATAAAAAAAAGCAACCTTGATATTATATTGATTAAAATCTGAAGCTCAAGTAGTATCCAAATCTCGATAAGCAGCAATTGCCAACAAAGCTCAAAGACTCGTGTGCTTGCATGTTAACTCAAATGTTTCATTGTAATCAATGTTTTGTTTTTGTTGGAGTACTTGTTCATCACTCTTCTTTTGTACCTGATTATTGATAATTAAAATACATATTTAGAGGATGGAGGTAAGAGACAAAACTTTTTCATTATTCAAATTATCTTTCTTCCTAATTTCTTTTCACTTTCTTACAACAAAATACAACCCGTTTTTTGACTAATAACATACTTGAAATTTGTATACAACATAAATGTAAAAACTAAATTTGAAACAAATGCAATTAATTTTTATCCTTGAAATAATCATAAACTTTTTTTGAAAACTCCAAACAACTTGAGACTTGAACCACTAAAAACTAAGCTACTCAATTGTACAAAATGATTTAGAACTATACTTTCAAAATTATCATGCAAAACAGCCTTAAATTTGTCCACTTTGCAGTCACAAACTTAATGAAAAATTAAGTTTTCTCATCAACAATTACGTTACTTTTGAGCAGTATTCTTGTATTTGAACATTCATTTATGAGTTGATTATTTTTAACATCTGATCAAGGCACTAAATCTTAGATGATGTAATTTCATCCTCAGCAGTGAGTGGGTACATAGTCGCATCATCTTGAGTCATATTGAACCATTGCTTTGATGTAAAAGACATGCTCGTCTAAATAACATGATAAGAGTCTGAATTCTTTTGATTTCATGTGCCTTGTATGCAGTTTTTATTTTGGTGATGCCGTCTTTTTTTTTTCAAAATGTAAAAATGCATTTAGAGCACTTTTTGTAGTTATGCTCATCTTTTTACTTGTTGTCAAATCTCATCTCTAAACTCCAAGTTGCTCTAACCACTTTCTAATACTTCAGTATCACCTTTTTTTTATGATTGAAGCAGTAACGTCTATCCGTTTGACTTTGTCATCTGTAATGTTGAGATCAATGATAGCTTTAGAGGCCAAAAGTCTCTCATGTCTTCTGAAGCCGCTTGCTCCTCACATCTATTCTTGATTGATTCTTTAGATCAAATTGAGGAGGCGCTATAAACTTTGCACATCTTGACATTTAATCAAACTTCACATCTTGAGAAGTCACTATCTTCTTGTTGGAGTTTACAAGAATATTATATCTCTTGCAACTTTCTTCAAAGACAAGAAACATACGCGGTTGTGACTTAGTCTCCATCTTGTTTTGCTTCTTGTTGAGGATGTGAATGTAGCCCCTTGAGCCAAAAACTTGCAAATTGTTCACGTTAAACTTTAGGCTAATGAACATTTCATAGAGTATCTTGTGATTGCACCAAAGAGTAGTTTCTATTGTTGCAAATGTATTTGGAGATCTAGCATTTTTACTAGAAGCTTGTATGTAGATTGTAATCGACCATCATACATCTTGTCCTCTCATTCATTGTCTTGTTAAATCTTTCCGCCACATCATTCTCTTGCGGGGTACTTGCATTATTTATCTCGTGCGTGATAATTTTTTCTTTGAACCATTTGTCTAGGTCCTTGTTCATTTACTTTACTCCTTGGATGGGAACTTGCTTGCCGATTTGTCTCTTCAATCTTGTGAGCACCACCTTCATCATCTCCAAAACATGATCCTTATGTTTGATTGACACAACCTTGCAAAATATCAAACACTTGTCAACAAAGGTTCTCACATATTTGAAGTATTCTAAAATATCATTGACCATAGGTCCAACAATATTTCTGTGAATAAGCTCATAGTAATTCTTTGCTTCCATTCTAGAGCTAGAAAAGAGACATCTCTTTATCTTATCAAAAATGCAAGGGTTGCAAAGCTTCAACTTGAGTCTTAAAAAGTATTCTGATTTTGCAGTCAGCCCCTTGACAAGATTTTCATATGTCATTATAACAAATCAATCAAGATCAAGAAAGCAAAATCGAGCGGATTCTTCTTCTAATGCTAGGTAGCTCTTTTGTGTAAGGCGAGCATTGTCGTGCAAATACATATCGCCATATACTCTACATCGCTGACATGCTACTCACATACACATACGCACACATACACACATATAAGGCGCGAGAGAGTACACACTCAAATGTCACACGTTAGTTCTTCGAGTGAAATGAACGGGAAATTCCCCACTTGAATTCCCGTCGGTCGATTACCCTACTGGCAACAAACCGTCACCGTCACAAACATGAGTCAAGCCCAACCCACTCCACACTCGGAGAATCTAGGTCGACGCAAAGGGAAAAGTCGCTCTACGCTCCCAACGCTTCCAGGCTAAACTCGAAGAACTAACGTTCTTTGAGCCGTCCCCGACTGTATACCCCTCATGACCCGAACCCTATTTCCACGTCTAAATATAATAAGTGTCCAAACTGCGTGAGCCGACTCGAAACTACATGACAGCATTGTGATTAATGATTTACACTCTTCTCTTGGCTTTGACAAGTATATTGTTATAGGCATTGATCTTCATAACATCAATTGCATCATCAAACTCTACTTTGCAGTACTTTTTTTGAAACTTTGCTTATCAAGAAGATGCTCATTTTTTAAAAGAACCATACGTTTTTGAGCAAAGTGTACAAGATTTCATCCAAAGTTTTGCACTTAAGCTCCACGTTGCCTTTAGATCAGCATCTAAACATTTTCCATTCTTAAACTTGATTGACTTAGGCTTCTTGAATGCAATGAGCGTCTTCAATTGCTCATTATTATTGGACATGTTATTTGTAAAGTCCAAATTCAGAATCCATTTTTCTCCCTTCGTCGTTGCCCCAGTCATGAACATACTCTCTATAATATAAATGTTTTTTTATGCTCTTGGCTTGATTCTAGCGTAAGAAGATGCTCCGATTGTTTCAAAGCTTTTGTACTTTGCTTCCTCCATTCCTCATCCATTTAGACTTATTGGCATAACTTCTTGATATCTTCCGCATTGTGCGATTGTGACACTTCTCATGACACTAGGAGCGGTATGTGTTCTTGTGCTTGCAGTTAGACTTAAAGTGATTAGCACTTTTGCAAGCAAAGCATTCTTGGGACATTCTTGCAGCATTTTACGAACTTCACTAAAATTTTCACTCTTCTCTCAAACCGCCTCATGCCTAGCTTAGTCGTAGATGAGGAGGTATTAAGCTCAAGGTTTTTCACGAATGCTTTTGCCTAAGTTTTGGGCAACCTGTTCATTATTGAACAGAATCTTATGCAGATGATTGACCTTCTTGCACTTCTTCGGCATAAGAGCTAAGGTAGTGATAAGACTTTTAATCTATGAACGTAGTTTGAACTTTTTATCGGATACGTTTTCTCTAATTTGATTGAATTTTCTTTGAATCTTCTT